CACGCACCTGCGTCCTGAGGGATACCAGGAACGCCACCAAGTCAGATGCGGAGGACGAGGCGGAGGCGGAGGCCCCTCCACCCCCGGCCGCTTCCGCTCCTCCTCCCCCTCCTCCCCCTCCCCCTGCGGCTGTCGCTCGCCCGCCCGGCAGCGCACCCGGCAGTGCATTGGGCTGCGGAGCAAACCCCACCGGCTCCCTGAGCAGCAGCGCGTCCCCCTCCGCCGCCATCCCCATGCACACATCCGTGCGACTGACAAGCCGAGTGGAGGGACAACCCACGGAAAGCGCTCGGACCTCGTGCTGCAGGGGAGGGAGTTGCGGCTTAGTGAAAATGTGTGTGTGAGAGAGAGAGAAGGGGGGGTAGTTGTCGGGTTGAGGAGTGAAGGTGCGAGCGGGGGTGGGGGTCGGGATGCGGGATTGGTTCTCAACCGAGGTGAGGCTGGGAACGTGCGAGAGTGTGTGCGTGCGAATGAGCACACGAAATAAGCTCCGGAGGACAAACGACAACGGACAAACGGACAACGAATGTGAGCGCAGATTCTGGCCCCTACGCCGCCAATGCTCTGCCCGTGCTGAACTGCCCGTGCTCAAGTCATACGACCCCCGCCTCCAGGCAAGACCCGGCAAGGTTGACGTCCCGTAGGGATACGCCCTGCAGCTGACCCTCGCACCCCCACCTTCAAGACCTTCAGCACCGAGCGAAATCACATCATATTGACCCACCAGGAAGGCCGCCAACATGCGGGCCAGTATGCGCTCAGCCATAGCCAGGAACGCGGATGCGAAGGGCGGCAGTGCGGCCGCAGCCGCCATCAGCTCCCGCAACACGCCCTCAATAAACCGCGCAATGGGGACCACAGAACGCGAGGAAATCGCGGACGTGGGGGAGCTGCTGGCGCTGGTGCCGCCGCCGGTGCCCGTCGCCAAGGTCGCCGCCGACGCAGCGGCGGCGCTGAAGCCGACCTGGGCCCGGAAGGCCTCGGCATCCTCCAGCGCTGCCGTACAACTGCGGACGTGGAAAGCGCAGCCGGGAAGTTGTCCAACAGATCAGTCAGCAGGTCTACCTCCACCTCCACCTACCTCCACCTACCTCCACCTACCTCCACCCATCCACCCTCTAATCTCCGCTCCACCCCCCCCCAAGCCCCGGAACCAGTCCCCGACCCCACCCGCCCACCTCCCCCGCAGCTCCACCCAGATTTTCGGCAGTAGCTGCTCCATCACCACCTCGTCCAGGTAGTGCTGTAGCCAGCTGGATACAAGGGGAGGGCCTGACGGCGGGGATGATATGTGGAGCAACGTGGACGAGGGAGAGGAGAAGGAGGGGCCGCTGACGGGGGCAGCAGTGGCAGTAGCAGTAGCTGCGGGGGCGTTGCTGCCACCCGCCTGCTGTAGGTCTGTTGGCAGTCGTAGCAGGTCCTCAGCTCGACTGATCAGTTTCAGCACGGGCAGGTACAGGTCCACGAGGAGGTGGAGGCTGGTGGGGCCCTCGCCTGGGTCGGGGGGTAGCACACATGTACGTGTGGGACACAGGCGTGGAGGCGCGGAGGGGTACGACGAAGCATAGTCGATTGACGCGAAGCGAAAAAGGGGAAAGGAGGGGAGGGGGAGGAGCGGATCTTCCTCAGGAGGCCAGTGAAGGTGAGGGGGGAAAGACGAACCACGAACAAGTGAAGCTGGAGAACAGCTGAAGATAAAAAGGGGGGAGAGGGCTTGGCAGCTGGTTGACGGACGGCGCAGGGCAGGGCAGGGCGTAAGGGGCTCCAGTACGCATTTCATGTCCCCTAGAAGGGGGACTTAACAGGGATGCAAGATGATGCTGGGTGAGGTGGAAAAGAGGGGCGCGGGAAACCCGCCGCGTCCCCCCTTTCCGCATATCCCAGATCACCCCAGAGCGGTTCAGACGCACCTAGCGCTCGCTGTAGAAGTGAAGCATAGCCTCCCGGGTCATTGCCGCGCACCCGCAAGGCCGCCAACGCGCCCAGCTGCAGTCCTCCGCAATGCAGCAGGGACAGCCCGGAGAAGCCAAAGGGGAGTCAAAGGGGAGTCAAAGGGGAGTCAAAGGGGAGTCAAAGGGGAGTCAAAGGGAAGTCAAAGGGAAGTCAAAGGGGAGTCAAAGGGGAGTCAAAGGGGAGTCAAAGGGGAGCCAAAGGGGAGTCAAAGGGGAGTCAAAGGGGAGTCAAAGGGGAGTCAAAGGAGAGTCAAAGGGGAGTCAAAGGGGAGTCAAAGGGAAGTCAAAGGGAAGTCAAAGGGGAGTCAAAGGGGAGTCAAAGGGGAGCCAAAGGGGAGTCAAAGGGGAGTCAAAGGGGAGTCAAAGGAGAGTCAAAGGGGAGTCAAAGGGAAGTCAAAGGGGAGTCAAAGGGGAGTCAAAGGGGAGTCAAAGGGATCTAAAAACTGCACTCAAGGGACCGAAGTAGCCGCAGAGGTTGCAACGGAAGAGGGGGAGGAAAAGAGACAAAGGCAGATCCGACGTCATGTGTAGGGGTCACCCATGTGATGCATGTAGAGCGCGCACGCGCGTGTGTGTGTGTGTGTGTGTGTGCACAAATGCGCACACAATAAGTGTGTCCGCTCCCACTTTCCCCGCCTCAAAGCTCCTCCATCTCCTCCCTACACCCCTTACACACCACTCACCTGCGCCGCGTCCCCTGTCAGACCGGGTATCGTCACATCGAAACCAAAAGTGAGCCGGCTCCCGCCCGGAGGCCGCTTGGGCCCTCCTGCGACCACTTGTTGCTGGGACTGCTGCTGGGACTGCTGCTGCTGTTGTTGCTGTTGCTGTTGTTGTTGTTGTGGCTGCGGACGGGCACCTGCGAATGATATGGTCGATATAGCCCCACAATTCATTCCCAGGCAGCGCAAGGGGGGGGGTAAAGAGCGCAAGGCCCGATGTAGCTAGATGCAGGATTCGTAAGGCTAGGCAGAAGACCGCCAGAACCTGCCGGGCTTGCATGCATGATATGCTCTCGGCGGGATCAGCAGCAGCAGCAGTCATGGCCGTGGTAACAGGAAAATCAAGAACAAACAAACAAAGTATTTCTGCTGCTCACGGCTACAGGGGGGGGAGCCATTCCGCCGAGCAGCCGTCAGCTGTCGCAGCGGCATACCCATCGATGACCAGCATCAACAATCAAACCGCAGCAAGCACGGCAAGGAGCAACAAGGGAAGGCGCGCCTTACCCTGTGCGCCGCCGCCTCCGGCTCCTCCTCCTCCTCCTCCTCCCCCTCCCCCTCCCAGCGCGCTCTCCGCCAGGTCCGCCGTCTTCTCCGCCAACGCTGCCAACTGCTCCAGGAAGTGCACCGGGTTCAGGTCCGACAGCAAAGACCACACACCGCCGCCGGTGTTTTGCTGCTCCCGGCCATGTCTCCTCGGGGGCCGTCTTCGTACGGCACCTGTTTGCAGCAGATCTGCTATCAGCTGCTGCAGCTCCTCCTGCAAGAAGGTCGAGGGCGGGGCACAGAGGGCTTCCACAGCGTGTCAAGTCCTCCTACGAAACAACCACCGGGGAGCTTAAGAGTAAAAGGGGGGAAGTAGGTCAACGAAACGAACTCCCCAGGAAGGGAGAGGGAGAGAGAGAGAGAAGGGGGCAGCAAGAAAGCGGATATCTGAAAAAGGTAACTACCGGCACCTCTGACTCCCCACGCTGCGCAACACCAACACATACATACATACATACATACATACATACATACACACACGCACACTGGGCTTACAAGACACACTCACGCACATACGTTCCCTGCCAACCCAACCCCCTCTGACGCACCTGCATCACGTCCCACATCTTCTGGTACTCCTCCTTCAAGTAAGCCGCCCGCTCCCGCGCCGTCAGCCCGCCTCCACCTCCTCCGCCTGCACCTGCATGTGGCCGCTTCTGCTTCCTCTGCTGCAGCACCAGCAGCTCCCCCCCACCATCCTCTCCTCTTCCTTCTGGCCCCCCTCCCTGGCGCGATGTGATCAGGACGTCCAAAGCGGAGCTCTGCGTGGTGGCAGGTGCGTTGGCCAGCTCCCCCAAAACATGGTGGAGCCGCCCTAGGGCCTGCGGGGGGTGGGGTTGTATGTACGCATGTACGTATGTATCTTGGGGGGGGCCCGTATGTGTGTTAGGATTGGCTGCTGTCGTACGCTGAAGCTGCCAAAAAATCCCCTGCCTGCACCTAATCGTACCAACATGCGCACCTAGGGAGTGGTGGGGTGAGAGGACTCTGGGGGTGCGTGTATCGGAAGGAAAAGAACAGTAGGGGGGAGATGTACAGCGGCGACGGTGGTGATGAGGGATTGTGGTGGTAGTGACGATGGTGATAATGGTGCAATTGAAAAATTTAGGTTACCGTGGTTTCTAACTGATGGCCGTGATAATCATTGGTAATGATAATGGTGATGGTGATGATAATGGTGATGATAATGGTGATGGTAATGATAATGGTGATGATAATGGTGATGGTGATGGTAATGATGATAATGTTGGCGGTGCACTACCCACCCACCCCACCCACTACCACTGCACGCACCTGCACGCACGTCTCCCCCACATGCGCCACCAGCCGCTGCGCCAGCACCCTCTGAGCCGGACTGAGAGGCGGACCGCCGGCACCGCCAAGACCACCTCCCACACCGCCACCGCGCGGAACTCCTCCCGCACCTCCACCACCACCACTTGCTGCTGCATGAGCTCCCGTCCGGATGGCGAATACCTCCACGCTGTGACGGATGAGCGCCCGCATCTGGGAACCCGGGCGAGTTGACCCACAAGTAAAGAGTGATGTCTGTCTGTTTGTCTGTTTGTATGCACGCATGCATGTATGTAAGTGTGATGGTGTATGGTTGAATGTAGGTTTGCAGTACATGTGTTCCCACACGCAAACAGCGCTTTGTGTGGCCGCTCATCCACCGCCTCCCGCCCACTCGCCCACCTACCTCAGGACGTGCCTTCTTGGCCACGTGCTGCTTGGCCTCCATCACCCCGCCAACCTGCGGTGGTGGTGGGCGTTGGCACCGCGGTGGCGCTTGCATGGCGGTGGTTATGTCGCATGGTGGTGGTGGTGGTGGTGGCTAGGATGGGTATATGGGTTAATGCGTTGGGAATCACACGGTGCAAAAACAAAGCAGCGAAGGGTAAAAACTGCCGACACCAAAGCACCAATCACATCCAAACCCGGGTAAGCCCCGGCTGCCTGAGTCCGACGGTGGTGCTCTGGGACAGGCAGGAAAGGGCGGGGGAAAGAGATATGCGGATGCGATCTGGGCTGTTGCAAGTGGCTGGGAAAACCTGCGGACTACGAACATTCAAAGAATGCCCTAAGGGGCTCGAGCTGCAAGAGCTGGAGCTAACTGTCCGTGTCCGTGATTAGAGCACAGCAGACAGAAATGTATATATTCATATTGCTGCCGCATATGTCGCATATTGAGAGCTGTGTGCCAGCTGTGCTCTGTTGCTTCGCAACCCCGGCGGGCCACCACACCCGGGCCCTTCCCAAGGCAAATCAAACACCCTACTCCCACACCCACACCCGCGCCCCCAAAGCCTAGCCGCCTTTGCTGAGATAGCTGGTAGAGCTGAGCCAGGGCCCGTAACATTATCCGCGAGGGCGTTATACCCCTGCAAAGCAACAGGGGTAACAGTCCGCCACTACCCACTACTAGTACTTCACTACATTCCCCACGCCCTGATCAACCCAAACCCCTCCCCCACCCCTCCCCCATCCCGACCACCGCCCCTCCACCATCCGTCCTCCACCCCGACCCCCACCCCTCCCCCACCCCGACTCCCACGCCCCCCTAAGCCCCAACCTGTGCCAGACACGCCACCAGCTCCCGCGTGGATACATGGCGCATGGCGACATCCACATCCACGGAAATATCACCACCTCCACCCCCACCTCCACCCCCAGCCCCACTGCCGCCTGTACGGGCGGCACCTCCGACTGCAAGGCCGCCCAGCGGCGCCGCCGAGGCCCCTCCCTGGCCCTGGGTCACCAGCCCGGATCCCGGCCCCGGCCCGGACAGGGCCCCGGAGCCCAGGGTTAATGCGCTGCGGAGCTCCTGGGAGGCGGAACGGCTGTTTTTCAGGGTCTCCTGCAATTTACACCGGAGGAGGGGGGGTTGTCGGGGGGTCAGACGAGCCACTGGCGGGTGTCGGGGGGGGGGGAGCGGTCAGCCTTTGGTTCATCACCTGGGGTGGTTAAGTTGGTTAGGGTTGGAATGTAAAGGTTTGCAGGGAAGGAAACATCGGGGAGCTGTCGGGTTGCGTGTAAAGACAGGCTGTAGGAGCAGCAGCAGTAGCAGCAGTGGGAGTAGCAGTAGCAGCTGCTGCAGCAGTGGCAGCAGTAGCAGCAGCAGGGGATGGAATTGGCTGCGGCGGCCGGGGAGGGCGGGAAAGGCAGCAGCATGGGGTGGGAAAGGCGGGGCAACCGCCTGTGCGACGCAAATGACCTGGTAGACAGCCCACCCAGACAACCCCCCCCCCCAGCCATTATAACCCCCTCAATTCTCTCCTGTTTTCCTGAACAGAACTCCACCCCCCTACACTTCCCTCTCCCTGGACGCCCCAGCCGCTCTTTCCCCCGCCCGTCCCTCTCCTCCCGGTTCCCGGTCTCCCTCCCGCCACCGGCTTCTTCTCCTCACCGTCACCAGCTTATACGCCGGCTCCGGACCCTTTCGTCGCCAGCTCGGTACTAGCTGCTGCCGCCCCGCCAGCTGCAGCGATCCACCGGGCCGCGCACCACCACCACCGCCACCACCGCCGCCGGGACCCCTCCGGGCCCGCGGTTCGCGCCCAGGCCCCAGCACCGCTAAGGAAGGCGCCAGCCCACCTCCCACCCCCGTGGACCTGCCTCCCGTGCCGGCACCGCCGCCGCCACCGCCTGGCAGGCCGACCGGGCCGCCTTCAGCCGCCGCGGCGGCGGCGGCGGAGGAGGAGGTAGAGGCGCGAGATCCGCTAAATATCCGCGCCGTGAGCTCGTCCATCATTTGATCCTGGATCCAGCCGGCCAGTGAGACCATATCGGATCTCAGTTTGCGCAGGGCCCCCACCCGCCGGAGCTCCTCGTGCGCGAGCAGGGTGGCGCCTTCCAGCAGACAGGACACGGCGCGGGGCCAATCCTGGCGGGATTGGGTTAGGACGGGTGGGGGTTAGTGCGGGAAAGTGGGGGGAAGCAGCGGCAGCAGCGGGAGCAGCGGCAGCAGGAGCGGCAGTAAAATGAGTCGAACAGCAATGAGGCGGCTGAGACCGGACCCGAGGGAGCTGCGAAACCCGGAAGGATGTCCCTCGGAAGCTGAACACGTGAAACGGAAGAGAGGGCAAAGGCTACGGAAAGGATGGGGAACCCTAGCTCCAAGTGCCGCCGGCGCGTACGGCAGGCACGGCGGAAATGGATCTTGGGAAACAACAGCAAGGCAATAAGGCTGTCGTCCACACACACATACATATATACATACACACAAGCATACATCTCCAGCCGTCAGGGTCGGCCCTAGACCCTACTAGCCCCTACCCCTGGCCTGGGGATCAAAATGAGAGGGCGCCGGCCGGGTGGGAATAAACACACACACACACACGCACGCACGCACATACACACGGACGGGGGGTTTTACCCGGGCTCCCAATGCCGCATCCACGCTGGTGGGTACCTCCACCACCGTGCCGATATCCGCCAGCAGCCGAAGAGACGACTCCAGGGATAGCGTCTTGCGCCACTGCGGCCACAGTGGGCGACCCGCGCACCCGCACACACAGGACATGAGTGGGTTGGTAAAGAGGGTGTACGTTATTAAGGTGTACTCTGAGATACGAGTGTGGGTATGTGTGTGTTGGTGGAGTGGGGTGGAGTGGGGTGGAGTGGAGTGCGCTTTCGGGAGGAGTCCGTGAGGCAGCAGCATCCTCTGCATCTTGTGGCGCACATTGGGGCTAGCCAGCCCCTGGCGGACCGCTCTCACTACGGGCCCCATGCTGCCTCACCTGCGAGTTGAGGTAGCGGGACTGCGCTCCGAGCTGCTTGGCTGCGTCCGCGAGAGAGCGCTTCAGAGCGTCCACCTAGAAGGAGGTGGGGGAGGGGGGAGGGGGGAAAAGACGAACCACGAGCGGCCGCGGGGGGAGGGGGGAGGGGGAAGATGAACCACAGACGAGTAAAGCTGGTGCCAGGGGAGAGACGGGAGGAAGGGGGGAGAGGGCGGGAATCCCACGGATGGATTGCCGACTGGGCGGATGGGGGTGAGGCGGGTTGACGGAAAGACGGACACAGCCCACCCACCCCAGTGGCTGTGGGAAGCGGAGACCCAGGTGGAGGGTGGGGGGATAGGCATGTCGAAGTTGAGTCGAACAGCCAGCCAGCCAGCGCAAGGTCGCCTCTCAGCTAGCTGCTTATCGAGCACCAACTGCCCCCACACGGTGCCGCGCCGCTTGCCGCGCACCTGCTCCTTGGACTCCTGGAATAGCTGCAGGATGTGGGAGTAGTTTTGGATGGAGCGCGCGAAGCCTGCATGGTAGCCCTCCACCACCACGTCAAGCTGGTGACCAAGGCGCTCAGAAGCATCGCGAAGCTGCAGGGCAAACGTTGTAAAAAGTGCGGCAGGGAGCGGAGGAGGGAAAGAAAGGAGTGAGGATTGGCGCCTGCGCGTGGATTGTAAGCTCTTGTAAGTAGCTGCGGCAAGCTGGAGCAGGTGATTGTGGGCACCAGGTTAGGGGTGGACATGTGTGGATTCAGCAAAGGAGGCAGCAGGGAAGGGGAGAATAGATACAAGAAAGGCATGGAGGGGATTAGGCTTGTATGGCTCGCACTGGTATGCTCAGCTTGGTGGATTGTGCGGTTTGTGCGGAGTGGCAGAGGGTGTACCGGCGCACAGGCATATATACAGACCCATGGGCCGCTGCCGTAGCGCCTGGAATACAAGGGGCCGATTGCTCCTGCCTGTCCCAAAACCTGGCCCAACAGACATGCAAGATGACGCATGAGCGCTGGGCTGCTCATGCGATGCTACGCACCTCCTGCGTCAAGCCCTGTGGGTCCGGCGCGCTGAAGACTTCGACCACGTGTTTTAAGGGGTGAAAAATCACCTCCCGGTAATCAGCAGGGACGGACTGAATTTCCTCGTCGACAGCTGCCCAGTCCACGAGAGCTTGCTGCCGGCTGGCGACCTCCATCTGCTCTCGTGTTCCCGCCATGCCAGCTTCTTAGGCTCCTATGCTAATTTGTGGCTAAATATGGCTCTAAGGATTCCATCTGACTCGATAACCTGGAAACTGATAGCTTGAGACTTCATTGTGCAAGCCAGGACGACGTAGTCGGGCTCCTCTTTATTGACCATTTAATAAAGTGAAAACGTATGAATTGATAAGGGCACACTTGGTCGCAGTATCATGTTCAGCAAAGTTAACACTCTGCCAGGAGTGACAGCTTCGGCTGCAATGTGCAAATGCATATGCAGTTACATTTCATCGAATAGTATCGATAAGGACATAATGTACAGCAGCTATACCTGTCAACTTCGTGCGCTACACCAGAGTGGGAAATACGGCCGTCTCTTTGACTTCATCGCAAACAATAACCGAGTTACTAGCCGGTCGTAGTCGCGCACTCATGGAAAACGTGCAAAACGAATATACATTATCCTCATCCCTGATACGTAACGAAGTGGATGAGCTTATTGTGAAACCAATCGAGAACGGCCAGAACTCCGCACCGCCGTTCTTGCCGTACACCGACGGGAGCGAAGAGCTGCGGTTTACAGTGATGTTTGGCCCCTAGGACCCAAAAATCTCAGGCCCTTGCGTCGTAACCCATCCTGCAAGATTGTGCGCAAGTAGTTGAGTAAAATAAACAGTGAAAAGCCGCTATAGGTAGTTGGGTAAGGGACGCCGCGCGGGAAGCAGGGTAAGAGAACAACAAGGGCGCAGAGTGGATCTGGTCTCAGTGGTTAACCGATTTCTCGTCCGGCTCGCTCGTGGCTCCTCATGAGCCCCCCTGCCCTGCAAAGTCGTCGAGAGCTCCGAGTCGTCCCCACGGAATGGTGGCTTTGGCTTTGGCGGTTAGTGCCTGACAGGGGTGGGGTGGCCCTGGTTGGCTAACTCCCTCTTCCTTGATCGTTTTCCTTGTTCCCCCTTCTATGTGGGCCGTATTTTGGGCATCCCTTCGGATTTGTGCAGTGCAGGCGGAGTACCTCTGGTCCATGGTGCTGTCCGAGCCGTGATGCAGTGGTCGCCCTGATACCCCTACATCCCGGCCTACATCGGCCATATACAGTATTTGGATATGGACACCACCTGTGATGGAAACACCACCTGGGAGGATCAAATATAATCTCATTCGAATCCACGGGTGCTACCGTGCCGGTATGCAAAAATCCGCTGTCGGTATGTGGTACAGAAAAGCTCTCGTCCTCAGCAGATCGTACATCGCAATCACACGTATCGCTTTCCACCACTGCTCCGCAACTCTTCATGCCGTACTTTGCATTCATCGCGTCCATGACCAGCTTAAAAAGGATAGCTTAATGTAATGTCGCTTGCTTTACATCTCTTGGCTGAGTGGTCTGCATGCCCGGGGACTTCTTTCCCTTCCCCCCTGTTTGGAGGTTATGGCGCCCCAGCCCGTCCGTTTCGTACACCAGCACCGAGCAAAAGCAGCAAGCAGCTCGAAGCCATACATCACGGCAGATGGAGCAATACGCCACTACCATACGCCACACATGTACAATGCGGAATAACGTGAGCACCAAACACGATGTTAATGCCGTTGATACAGTTAGGCATACAAGACGGCGCGTTAGCATTGAGTTGACGTTACGACCGCGTTCCATCGTGCAATCACAGCCGTTGCACCTATTCGTGGTGAACCGTCCCAAGCCCCTTCCAGATGCGCCTAACTCTCAAACCGCCTATTGCATGCTTGTTGTAAATCGTTGGCAAGGTCTTGGACATGACAAAAATGCTCGGGATTTCCTAGAAAACTGAATCGAGGCGAGCGAGCGTTAATTCGGATGTCGTCCCACCCGACAAAACGATTCCCGTGCACGTCCAACTGTTTGTTGACTTGCGGGGCCCCCGTCCCGTTTTACGCAGTCGCAGTCCCCAACCCCCCCCGCTCTCTCACGGCCAGCGCGCAATTCAATTTAGACAAACCAGTACTTGTACGCAGATGGCGCGATACGGCAGCAATTGTACCGCTTTGTACCGCGTCACCTATGACGAAGGCACCTAGGACGCATCCACAGGCGTTCGGATCGCCCGGCCACCTGCGAACCAGCCCAGAACGCATCAGACACACACGTAGTACCTCGGGCAGTGCCCTGCTATCTGGGATGAACCCGCAGCCACCCGAGCAGCTACCTCGCAAGAATACACGGCTCCAAGCGAATTCAAGACGTACCACCTCCGCTGCACCTGTCCATTCTTCGAAGCAGTTGCAGCGTCGTTGGCTGGCAAAAAACAAGGAAACCGTCTTCCGGGCACCGCTTCTAATTGAGAATTCCGGACACCTCTTCCAACAGTAGTTTTGCCCCCCAGGGCTGCAACCCCTGGGGTAGGTACGAAGTGCAGCTTTTGTAATCCTGCACGGCTGCCTTCTTGCGGTGGCGGTGACGGGACGTGCCTTCTTCTTCCTGCGTAAGCCGAGGCCAGCCGCAGCTAGATCGGGGTTACTGATCATCATTATCTTTACGGCAGCACAGGGGGCATCACGCCGCGTCCCCGGGGAGGGATGGGGTCGCATCCCCGCTGGGAATGGCCGGCGACTGCCAGCCACTATGCTGTCCTGGGGTTGGACTTCGGAGCCGGACAGGGGGAAATAAAGCGGGTGAGCAGGGTGAATACGTCATGTTACAGTGGGCATGGGTTTTAGGGTTTTAGGGTTTCAGGTGAATAAAAATACGCCGTGGCGTGGCGGCAGACTGCCCATAAGGTCTCCTCGACGGTACGGACCGAAGCCCAAGTCCCCGCAACAGGCCGAAGCCTTAAACCCCCATCATGACGTCGGGTACTGCAGCTGAACGGTGGGCCTTTCCTTGGTCCACTGCAAACCTTGCCAGCTGGCGTTCTGATACGCTCCCCCTCGCGGCAAATCCTCTGAAGAGCGTGTGCGCAACATGTGAACGCTCAGGCACGCGGCCCGCTGTCCTAAACACCGATCACCCTCAGGCGTACCGGGATGCCGCCCGACGCTGGCACCCAGACAAGGGCGGCAGCGCCGCTGCTTTTGCTCGTGTTCAGGACGCTTGGGCAGTGCTGGGCGATTCGCGCCGTCGCGCCACGTACGACGCTTGTGCGTACGACTACTTGCACCAGTACATGCACCAGGATCGCCAGAGGGTGAGCCAAGGAAGGGAAGTGAATGAGTGAACGGCTTAGAGACCCACTTCAAATGATTCTGGGTCGCCGTCAGGAAGCCGGTCCTCAGCCGTACTATGCCGTGCCGTACTATACAGCCCCTAGTGCTGCAGCTCTCGATGGAATCTTCATCGAACGAGTTGGTCACGTCCTCCTTCAATTCCATTCCTTTTCCGATTCCGCCGGCCCCTATTAACCTTTGTAACATTGGGTGGCCAGTCCTGCGGGGGTGAGGGTGCACTGCTGGCGGAGCTGCAGGCGCGGTGTGTTGCTGAAGCCGTCGCCAGCGGTGGCGCTGCGGCTGCAGCTGCCGCTGTGGTGCCCAGTTGCCAGTTGGTGGTGACCTGTGAGCTCTGCAGCCGGCCCGCCACCCGCGACTGTTCTGTGTGTGGGATGCCCTTCTGCAGCTTCTGTGCGCGCAGACAGCACTGGAGGGTGCGTGGGTGAGGGGGGCCTGGGCGGCACAGGGACGGAGGACGGAAGGGTAAAAAACATGCGAGAAAGTGTGGAGGAGGGGTAGAGTGAGTTTCCCAACATTAAGGGAAGGGTGACGTTGATCATTAGGCTGATTAAAAAACTACGCTGAAAGTCACGGAAGTTTGGGGAAATAGCCCTGTGGCGTGTGGCTTACGTGTGGCTTGTGTATGAGCCAGTGGGAAACGTGCGGGATAGGGCCGATCGGAGCGCCCAGCGGCATGGGTAGGGACATGGGTACGGGCAGCAAGTACAAGGACAGACAGCCCTAACCAGTCTCAGTTTCATTGGTTGGTAAAGCTGCGCAGTGTGCACCCCGCCGCTCTCGCTTCCCACTTGCACATTGGTCCTTTCGCCCCTTATGCACGCACAGGGCAGCCATCCGCTCCATTGGCCACTGGTGGTGACCCGTGGGTCCATGCTGGAGCGCCTGGGTCGGCGAGAGATGGAGGCTAAACGCCTGGAGGACGACCGCAGGTCGGTGCAGGATGTCGGTTTCAGGTTGACACCTACTCGCGCGATTAGGTTAGCGGGAGAACCCAGTTGGGTGTGCAGGCATCAGGCTAGAACTAGAGGGCCAGCATCCACCCGCGAGGCACTGGGGGACAAACCCAGGGAGGGATCCCGAATGGTTGGCTACGCGGTTCATGCCCCTCGCTCTCCAGCGCCCTACCTTTCTCACTATCTATACCCCCATTCATCCTCCACCTTGCCCGGCACCTCTAATCCTTCTTCTTCTTTTTCTTCTTCTACTTCTTTTCCTCTTTTGTCTTCGCCTTCGCCTCCGCTCTTTTGTCTGTCACGGCCGTTTCCTCGCCACTGTTCCCCAGATTGACCACCTCCGACCCACACCACCGCACTGAGGCCCAGCTGCGGGAGCTGAGGTCCTTCAACGAGGCGGCGGCACTGGCGGCTGCAAGACACGACCACCAGGTACATACACTCCTTGCGTGTGGTGTAGGCCACCCAACTGTGTCGTGCGTTAGCCATCGATGCCCTGTCGAAGCCGTCATGTCAAGGTCATCCCCACATCTTCAATGTGCAATTGGCGCGCGAACACGGCAGGTCCGCTACGATCCCGTCTTGGGCCGGCTGTACATGTGGACACAGACGGAGCATCACGTGGTGATGGCCTGCTACCTGCCTAACGGTGCGTTTCAATGTGTGAGGGATGGGGCGTAACTTGTGGCTGGTGTGGACTCAATGGGCTCCATGAGGCCGATGGATTCAATGATGTAACCCGCACCTTCCACGACATCGCGGATTACTCCACTTTGTACACGGGTCTCCTTTTCGGGAGCCACGATACAACCAGAACAGAACAGAACAGAACAGAACGAGCTATCTTCTGCAGTGCAAGCGGCGTCAGTGCCTTCTCTTTCTCTCTCACCCTCTCTCTTTTAGGTTCTCTACAGTATATATTCACTCGCAGCCGCCGCTCATAGCCCCGCTGCCCTGCTCTCCTCCCTTTGACGGCCCATGTGACCCTGCGGACCGCAGGGAGGCATGACCGGGCGGTTCAGGTGGAGGTGCGGAGCGGCGTGCTGCGACTGGGACCCGCCGGCGGCCTGCCTGTGGTGCATAGAGCCCTGGAAGGAGCCCTCGACCCGGAAGCGCCCTTGGAAGTTCACAGGTGCTTAGCGTTACATTGCGAAGCCGCAATGTCCCAGATTAACCTTAGCGGGAGGGAGGCAGTGCGGGTGGAAACAAGTGACCTCAGTGAACAGGAGCAGGGTAGCCTCCGCACAACCCCCGAACGTTGTGCTCCTCCATGTTTGCTGCATGTGTTAGTAGCGCTACCCACCGGGTACGGTTACGTTAGTTCAAAGGATGCAATTTTTGTGGCACGGCCGCAACAAAGTTGCATGTGCGTGTATATGTGTGTGCTTGCGTGTTTATCCTAGACAGGACGGCTGACGGGCTCTTTGCGTTTGTAGTTCTGACAAAGGCACCGCAGCTTGCGGTGGGGTGCAGCAAGCCACGCATGTCAGATGACCGGCGGGGCGCACCGATGGCGTGGGCCTGGGGCAACGGCGGATGCGCTGGCGGCGGCGGCGGCAGCGTGGCCCCCTCTTCCTGGTGGCGCCGTCTCTTTGTGGGGGACAGCGACGGTGCTCGATCTCTGCCGCCCCCTTACAAATTGACCCAGCTGTCGGACGAGGTGCGGCATTTGCGTTTTACTGTCCTTCTTCCCCTACGGCAGCTGCGACGCCCAACCCGGGATTGCGAAAGCGCATTCATGGCTCCCAATCTTACTGCCCGAGGCCTTTACCCTGGCTTGAGGGTGTTTCCTGTCCCGGTGTCTGCGGCTTCCTGCATGCATGATAGACTGGTTGGTTTGCCCGAAGTGAATCGTGAGCAGCAAAGCCTCTCTCTATATAAGCCTCTCTAAATATGCAGCACGCGGCGTCCAGGTCGTGTTGGAGATCGCGCTGCCGTGGTGGGTCCGAGCAGAGGACGTGACCGTTGATGTGGAGCCTCGCAGAATGGCTGTGGCGGTGCGCGGCGTGGGGCTGCACCTCGAACGGCACTACTGGTGGAACAGGTACGTGTGCGGGGAGGGCGGCGATGTCATTATGATACATGCGCTGCGTTGGCCACCTGCCACGCAGCTTACACCCCTATCCTGCTACCCCTCACTCGCAGCACCGAGGCTGCGCGGCGGCCCGCCACTTACCAGCCCGTAGTCCCGGAGCTCAGCAGCTGGAGCCTAAGTGACGAGGGTGGTGGCGGGGCTCCGCCGCGGGCTGCTGTGGCACCGGCGCCGAGTGCAGCAGCGGCGGCGGCGTCCAGCAGTGCAAGCCCAGCGGTGTTGCAGGCGGCACGGGTGGTGGCGGCGCCGGCGGCAGCGGCGTGCCATGAACCTGCCGCCCGTCGCCGCATGGGGCGCTGCCTGACCGTCAGTTTGGCACTTCCCGAGCTGACGGAAGAGGAGAAGTCATACAAGAAGGGTGAGCTGGCTTGGGAGCGCCACTGTGCACCATGCACTTACCGGGATTCTTTTAAAGAATGAAACCTAGCCATGCGGTGCGGTGCTGTGCTGTGCGGTGCCGCGTCGCGTCGTCCCGTGTCGTATAATCAACGAGCCGGGAGAAGAGATATGGGCAAAATACGTGGTGTTGTGTCAAGTTACAAGACCAGGCAAGATCCTGGATCCTCCATCGGACTTCGCTTCCTAAGAACAAAGCAGGTAGTCGCACGGCTTAGTAGTCGTAAAGGCACGCCTGAAACTTAAAACCTATAAACCGCAGGCATTCGGCAGGACAACCGTCAGGCGCTGCGCGGGACGTTGTACAGTGGCCCGCGGACACAGGCGCAGCAGGGCCGCGGCGTGCGATTCTTTCAGGAGGATGAGGACAGCTTCGGGCTAGAGCCTCTCTTGCAGGTACTGCAGGGTACGGAGTACGGCGGCGTGGGCCCGTCGCATCTTCCTCTTATGGATGTGGATGTGGATGTGCCGTGGGCCGTGTTTTGCCTGTCGCTCACCCGTCTGCGTGCAGGATATTCACGGGGGAGAATTAGGCCTTTGCCTCCATCTGACGCTTCTCTCTGAGACTCATATATAGCAATGTCGCAGTGCCGCCGACTTTCCCTTTCCCTGCGACTCATGGGTCTTACACAGGCGGCGATGTTCGGTGTGCGGGGCGGGGCATGGGTGGTGCCGCCGCCTTGGCGCCATGAGGAGCCGGTGGTGAGTCTACATAACTGCTACGTGCTGTAGAACCGTCTGCATAGGGATTTAAAAAGTTTACATCCCTTCACGCAAATTCTCAATACCCAGAAACGTACCCTTTTTGTGCTGCAGGTATGCCGTTGGGTAGACCAGGAGGCAGATCTTCCGCCGATAGCTCGCGCACACTTGGCCACGATGCGCTCCGCAGCAGCAGCCGTGGCCGCCGACTGCCGGGCCCTACCACCAGGGCCAGTATAGCGCAATGCTACGCGCTTAATACATGGCATGTGGAGGCATGGTGCTGCTGGGCTATCTGCCGATCATGGCGAGACCTGACCTTTCACAATACCTTGTTTACACGACTCCGCATTGTTAAGGCACGCACGCGGCGTGCTTGCGGGGTTGGCTTGACAGACAACCAACCCGGAGGACAGCTGCGCTTGCATCTGTGAGTTGTGAGTGATTGATCCATTTTTATATACTTTTTCGGCCATAACCGACTATTTTTTGGACTTCTAAGTACACCATATCCGCACAGCATCCCCGATGTCATCTTTCCCGCCTTCCGGACTATCCAAAGGAGGCTGAAAGAATATTTGACGGTTCGCTGTATGCAGCTATATACATTGACTATATTATGTAAGCTCTACGGATGAGTCCCGTCCTATCCCAATTCGTCTTATATATGTTCCAGTCGTTTCATGCACCTCGTCATGCCATCGTACGTACAATGTTCCACCACCACAACTTGCACGGTACTACACACCGGCGGGACACTTGGCGCAGAAACCCAAAGCCCGCAGGCGCCGCTCCGAATCGAAGCGAGATTCTGCCGACGTGGTGTGGCAGCAACAGCGTTAAGCATTATCCAGAAGGTCGTGCAAGTTGTCGCTCGTCACCTACTGCAATCTCGCCCAAAACATCATGTGAGCCAGGTATTCCACACAACAACATATGCAGCCATAGGTCCAGAACATCTCACACCTTAAGTCCGGCCACTTGACCTACTTCCACACTTCGCGACCATCTGTTGACCGAGTCCCTTCCCCCCCCCCACATGACCTAGCAGTCCTTACCCTTCGCTTACGTACCTTCTATCCATCCCATCCCGTGCAGGCGGTATCTCCTCCTGCCTCCTGCTAGCATTCGCATATGCCCCTAATACCGTTCCACACATACATACATACATACATACATACAGCAGCACTAGCTCTTAACTCTCTATTGGTCGCTCTTCCACACTATCACTCACTCGCACAGACACACGTGCAGACAGACAGACAGACAAATGTTCTTTGCGGCTTTCCAAACCACATTCATCTCAGCGCGCCCAGGTGCGCCTGTATGGCCTTAGCAGCTGTACCGGAGTTGCGCATCTTGGCAGCGTCTATTTCAGTTGCAAACACGGTTTGGCCGCCTCAATTATGAGCCGGACAAGCGCTCTACTTCCACATCGCAGAAAACAGGACCCCCTCGAAAACGCTTCCATCACAGGGTTGGACCGGCCGTGAAAGGTACCGCAGCTGGGTTGTGTTGTAAGGGCACGCTGAATACAGTAGAAGATTGTCAGCTGAAAGCAAGCGCACACCATGCCTAAAGGTCACCGTCGCCCTGCAGGCGATGCGACTTATCCGGTGCCACAACGGCTCGTCCCTTCCGGACGTCCAACTCGCGTCTTAACCATTGCTTGAACGGCACCTGTGAAAAAATCCGGGGACCAGCAAGCGACGTCATGCCGAGCCCGACAGCAGCTGTTGCCTGTCTACCTGCCTGTCCCTAAGAATTTACATTTTTAGATCCTTCTGCATACTCAAGGAGAAGTAAAAATTTAAGAATTTACATTTTTAAATCCTTCTGCATACTCAAGGAGAAGTAAAAATCTAAGAATTTACATTTTTAGATCCTTCTGCATACTCAAGGAGAAGTAAAAATCTAAGAATTTACATTTTTAGATCCTTCTGCATACTCAAGGAGAAGTAAAAATCTAAGAATTTACATTTTTAGATCCTTCTGCATACTCAAGGAGAAGTAAAAATCTAAGAATTTATTATTTTTAGATCCTTCTGCATACTCAAGGAGAAGTAAATATCTAAGAATTTATTATTTTTAGATCCTTCTGCATACTCAAGGAGAAGTAAAAATCTAAGAATTTATTATTTTTAGATCCTTCTGCATACTCAAGGAGAAGTAAAAATCTGCGCAAGAAATGTGAGGAGGAACAGACACCGGTATACAGGGATACTATGCCATGCAAGTGAGAAATACTATATGCAGTTGCAACATTGACGACGACGCCGCCCACGTCCCCATCCCCATCCGCAGCTCGCGCGCCCGCGCCCTTCCCTGCCAGGCTGGCGCGCCCTTCCGTGTGGTTACCTGCAAGGTGCTTGCTAAATGGTGGGCTGTAGACAGCAAGTCCGTGAAGCACATGAGCATCATTCCCACGAAGATATCCTGCAAAAAGATAGCGCAAATCAATCGCACAGCACACGAGCCTGTTACATATTTAAAAAAATGGAGACTGAGGACGATATGTAACATCTTGTGCAAAGACCTGGTCCGCAATGCTTGTGTGTGCCGTGAGTTTGTGTTTTGTGTGTGTGTGCTTGCAAAAGTCAAAATCGGGTAGGGGTTGAAGGTGAGGCCGAGGGCCTCGGTGTCGTCGGTCCTTTGCCGGTCGCCATGCCACCCAGCTGCTTCGTCAAGATGACTGGATGAGTCTTGACAGCAAGTCCCCCTTTCACCTCGGCCAGCATTTCGTGCATGTGTAATGGAAAAAAAGAAAACAGCTCCACTCCTCGCGCGCCCCTATGCCTTATGCCGGTGCATTCACATCACAAATCAACTCAAATCAACTTCAAACCGAAATAGTTAACCGAATAAACCAACTCCAAACCGAAGTAAAAAAAGAATGAGCCGAGCCATAAAACCCCAGTCCATCCTCTTGTTCTCCTCGCCCTCAACGCCCATATCCTTTCCTTTCGCATCTCTCATCCCGCTCCACCTCATACATCCAATCCTACCGTGTTAAAGAACTGGTAAGACGTCTTGACGCTGTTCCCCTGCCAATACGCCAAGCTGGAGAATATGGCCCAGCAGGTGCTGCTCAACACACCGCAAGAGTCCATCAAGTCGATGAACCTGTCGAGTTGGCATGACGTGAGGGAGGAGGGGGCACGGGGTCAAAGGTATTCTCATTCCCATTCCCACCTTTTCCAACTTCACGCTTGCCCTCCACTACCGGCTCAAGACGATCTATGAGGTAACTATTTTTTTCCGGAGCGACGAGGGTTCGACGTTGTTAAGGGTTTGGGACCTTACTGCTCTTGCATTGTTTCCTTGGGCATGAACCCAAGTCGATACTAGGAAGAGCATTTTCGCAGCTCTATATCGCAATGTACAACACTCCCTTCGACGGTTCCGTTGAGTTGCCGCGTTATTGCCCGCACTCACTTTTCCCAGGATATGGGACCAAAGTCCGCCCAGCCAAACGGGTACGTGATGAAGCCGTACACCAGGTAGACGGACGCCATGGTGAAGGGCAGCAGCGGCACCGGCGCCACGTACTTCCAGCGGCCATGCGTGCCCGCCATGAAGGCCCGCAGCATGGCGATGCCCCCCAACGTGTGTTCTAAATAGTTGGGGATGAGCACCAGCAGCTGTGGAAGAGAGAGTGCGTGCGACTAGGTGTGAGGATCTGGGCTCACATACAAGTCGGAGTACACGACTGCGCTTGCATGAAGGCTTAGGTTAGGAATGATGAGGTGCGCGCGGCCATGATGCGAATGCTTTTTTTGGATGGCTATGCGATGTTCTTGGAGGCGCCTGCATCCTGAGGGAGGTAACTGTGGGGCTGCACGGAATGGAGGAAACGGGAGCTGAGCATTCACTCGCTGGGCGCAAAACCACATATGCCGAATGTGGCAGGTTCCGAACCGCCAGTGACCGTGGTGCGCTCCGAAAACAACAAACAGGCGGCCCACTCACCACCCACCACGCACCGCCCCATCACGCAGCATGCACGCACCTGCCAGCCGCCTCGGTACCTGATGAGCCCATACGCCCAGTAGCATTCAAGCCCAAACATGCCCAAGATGAGCAGCGTGCGCAGCTGCATGCCCAGGATATCCAGCGCCCGGGACACCACGGCTCGAAGCACACCGCGCCACCTGCTCTCGCCCCCGGCAGCCGCGCCGCCAGTGCTAACGCCGCCGCTGCCACCAGCCGGCGCCGCCGCTGCTGGATCCAGGGCCCAGTTTGCGCCGCCGTTGGCGCTGCAGCTGGACCCTGGATCCAGATCTGACGTGCAGTACAGCTCTACGTCCATATCCCGAATCGGTTCGCATCCCGGCTTGGCGTCGCCGCCGCCGCCGGCGCTGTCCACCAAGCCCGATGTCAACGCCACGCGAATGCCGTTAGGATCGCGTTTCCCCATGCGAGCAAGTATCATCGACCCCCAGCGGCTCCCAGAGCCGTTAACACTATGGCTGGCACCGCCACCGCCGCCACTGGTCCCTGAGAGCCCCGTCACCGTCACCGTCACCACCGCTGGCAGCGTCGGCGCCGGCGCCAGGTTGACGTGAGCCGGGGGGTTCGTACTGTAGCTGCTACTGTCGCTATGGCCGCCGCCGCCTCCGCCGCCGCCGTCTTGGAGTCTGCCGTTGCCGGCGCCGCCGACGGAAGAAATCTTGGGAATCATGGCCTGACACTCCGCTAGCTCTATGGCGCGTGCATTACTGCTCGCAAGGCCCACATAACCGTTCCCGGGCGAAGCGGCGTCCAAGCCGCCGAGCGAGCTGCCGTTCAGAGAGCCCGTGCTGCCGCCGGTACCCCGGGCCAGGACCTCAAACGTCGGCGCATTGATTCTGGAGGAGGGCGAAAGACGAGGGGGTGGAGTCCAGGGTATTGCGCTCCTTGCCTTGCAGTTACGGCACGGCAAGGCCAGGGCCTTTTCGGGCTTCATTATCATGCATGCTTAGGTGCGACATGACCCAGACGCGACTTTTCTCAAAGTTGTCGCCCCACGCTCCGTCCATATTCTACTACCCCTCCCCTCCCCATTCCACGCTACAACCAACGCTTCCGAACCCAAGCACCTGCGACAAAGCCGCAAACCACTTGCCAAAGGCCGCTTTGAAACCACGCGCAATCCCACCACACCGCCTCCTCACTATACAACTGATAACCGACAACGACAACAAAATGCATCTCACCGCCCAGATGCCCGCCAGTCAGCAGTCACCTCTCACCCGATCCCATCTCCCCACCTGAAGGGCACTCGCTTGAGCCGTATCCTGGCGTAAAGCGTCACGGCCAGCGTGGCCAGCAGCAGCGGAATGAAGACGCCCCACATGGTAGGCAGCACCCAGCGGGAAGAAGGCATGAAGCACCAGTTGCTGCGGTCGCGAGTCACGTAGCCGCTGCCAAAGCGCGTGCCGGCCCGGTAAACCAGCCCCGGATTGTCCTGTGGGACATGAAACCCCATGAAACCCCAGGGCCGCATCAGACATCGCCCAAAGACCGGCAAACCGGCAAACAGACTAAAGAGGCCGAGCAGGTGGAGAGGGGCTACGATTGTATGCAAGAGGCAAAGCGAGTCGACCGCCAAAGGGGCGGAAAGGGTTCGGGAAACAAATGGCAGTGACAGTGGTTGTGGTTGTTGTGATGGTATGCGGCCTCGCGCCGGGCCGGGCTGGGCCGAGTCGGGTTGGGTTTGGTTGGGCTGGGTCAGCGCGCCATCGACGGCATTGCCTCACGTTCGAGAGCCCCAATAAAAATCCCACACAACCACTTTCAACCAGTTCCGACCCGCGTCTCAGATCATTACCACACATGCAATCCAAACGCATTCACACACACACAGAATTATAACCAGTCCCCAGGCATGACGGCACATACAAAAAACGATTGAGCCGCACATTCCCAAAGCATCCCATCCCATCCCATCCCATACTACAATCCCCCTCCAAACCCCACGAGGCCCCTCGGGGTAAAACCCACCAGCGCAAAGATGACCAGGGGCGCCCGGCACAGCACCTCCGGGTCCGTCACCCCGGGTGCCAGCACCAAACTGATGCACGCGGTGGAGCAGATGGCGTCCGTTACGTCGTCCCCCAGGGCCGCGTCCGTGCTGATGGGGCCGGCGAGGCGGTTATTGGACACATCCAGGGTCTGCATCGAAGAGCAGTCCGAGTCGCCGTAGTCGTCACCTGACGGGTGTCGGGTACATACCCGTGTCGGGTTGCGTGCGTGGGTCGTCAGAGCCCGAGGGCAGGAGCTGGCGAGAATAGATAGATGGTATACCGGCGTAACTTTACAAGGGCAACGTTTTTGGGTCAGGTGTATTCAACGGCAAGGTTTTGGGGTCGGGTGTTAAGAGTTAAGTTTGAGGGGAAACAACACCGACTTAAAAGCAAGCACGCATGGCATGGTAACGCTAAAGAGGGCGAGAGAGGGAGCGCTTCATTACGCACAACTGTTTGTTTGCACTAGGTAAGGGCAGGGGATGTGGTGCGAGACCGTTGGGAAAGTTGCGGGCAAGTAGGGGACAGTTGCAAATCTGGGCCCCAGCAGCTCACCATCCGTGCCCACACACCCTCGTTCTCGCATTCTCCGCACCCCACCCCACCCGCAAAGGTGTCGTTGCAGGGCTTGTCAAAGTAGTCAATGGACGTGAAGTCGCCGGTCAGTGAGTTACCGCTCAGATTGACGATTTGGACATCGCTCAGGTAGGCACTCCAAAGCTCCCCGTAATGGCCCTGATAGCAGCAAACCAAGGGCGAACGAATACTCAAACCAGCGGGCAGGAAGAATGTTTACAGCAAGCAGGGCGCGAATCGCAAACCCGGGCTCGAATCCCGCTGGCCTAAAGAGGAGCATGCGACCCACATGAGAGCGGGGAGCGCGTTGCGCTTTCATGATGTGGGTCACCTGCGTCTTTCTCAGGTAGGTCGGGGACAGAGTCACAGTCCGCGCATCTGCCGCTCCCCCTCCCCAAACCAAGCTTCCCAATCGGTCCTTCAATGGCCCGCATGCGCTGCCGCTGACGGCCAGCCCGCTGTTCAACGCACAGTCCAGTCCACCTTGATGCGCAACCTCGCGGGAGGTGCGCGGAAAGGTCCACGGAATGGGCCCCACCCAAAACGCCCCCCCTTCCGGCCCGTTTCCCACCTCGAGGCCGCAGTTGACGATGCTGATATTGCGGATGTTGGGACCGTCAGCAATCTTCTTTGCGGTTATCAAGTCGCGAAGGCTCTCCAGCTGGGCAGGGGTGCCGAAGCGGCCGACGGCCTCCGGGGTAGGGGTGGTGCCGCCGCTGGTCCCCTGTCCTGGAGGAGGAGGCGCGCCTGGGCCTCCGGTCGCCAAGCAGTCGATCACCAGTGTCCTCAGCGTAGTCAGGTTCGCCCAGGACATCGGCAGCGTGTCAGGCAGCACCAGGCCTGTATCGGATGTGTGCAGGGGAAAGGTGTGCAATGCGTTTGTGTGCGAGTTACACAGTAATATCTCTCCTCCCGACACGAAGAATATATTGCGCCCACGTCGAAACGCCGACGGAGTGAAAAGAGGGAGCGCGCAAGAGCGAGATGATGTCGGATGTACATACATAGTGTTTCCATGGCTGAGCCTGGCTACCTCCAAGAGTGAGACGGCCTTGTGGACGCGGTCCTGCGGGAAACGACCGGGCGGAGCTCCTGCTGGTCTCGTGCTCGTGTTCGCATTTGTGGTGGTGATGGCGGTGGTGGCGGTGGCGATGGTAGTGTTCGCGCTTGAGGTGGTGGTGGTGGTGGTGGTGGTAACTAGGATTAACTGGCACCGGGAGGGCACTCCGCAGGCCGGGCTAGGAAACAGGGGCCCGCGCTGACCCGCATCATTGGTGCTGACCCACATGGCCGTGCTGATTCTTTATTCCGCCAGCGGATGTGCATGAGTGCGAGGCGAGGTTCCTGTTCTAGTCGCCTGGAGTTCGATGAAATTATTGAAGTGCTGGTGAGGTCGCGGCGCTGCATCGCCGGCTGCGGAGGCCGCTATGCAACACCCCCCCCAGTCGACACCCGCGCCACTAGCTGCCCGCACCATGCAAGCCGATGCGCCTGATGGCATCGTGCTCTCTGACAAGGTCAGCAAGCTGGGCGGAGTCAAATACGTCGCCGTTCCCGAAGACATCGATGAACGTGCCATAATCCGTCGCGTTGACGACGCGAATATACGGTGGCGGAGCATCGGGGCGAAGAGCGCCTTGGGGTGGCGGAGCTGCATTAAGCCGCGAAGCAAGGGGAAGTCAGGCATGAGCGAGGTCGAGGCAAGCTGCAAAGTTGTGTTTGCAGTCATCAATATTACCGTCATTGCATATAACAGCGTCAAACAGAAGGTATAGAAACGCAACTCTCCGCAGGCCCTCCAACTTCATCCTGGCCATCTAATTGTAACTCATCAACCCGGTTTCCCTAAGCACAACATGGACATCTCATCACAAGGTATCATATCAAGAAGCGTAAATGCACCACTGGAGGGAGATAATCTATTTCAAATGTACAAATCGGTCTGTTGCACTGCGGAAACAATGAATTGCATTGCCGGGGTTGTCAAGCAGTTGTCGAAGTGAAGCAGGAGACATCAGGAGTTGCTCTGCATCGTGAGTACGTTGCGTTGGGGAAACGAGGCAGTCGGTCTGACGAGACGAGTACGGCGCTCTAACCACTTCTGCTCGAACATGCATACAATATATCGTTCTCAATTACTATCATGAGACTTCAAGCCTCCAAATTTCTACATGTACTGCGTTAGACATTTGAACATATTTCTCCTCGACCGCATCGATTGTCCTGGAGGGGTTTGATTTGAAACCCCACACAATGTCTCCTCCTGCGATCCTCGATATTGGTCAGTTGCAACGTGTCGCAAACTTTCTGGGCATAGGTGGACCTCCCAAATCACAGCCTACAGTGCGGGTCGGCATGCTGGGCGCCTCGCAGGTGTTGGCTTGCGGACACATCCACATGGTAGAGATCCCTCCCTTGTCTTGAATTAATGAGAGAACGTTCTCTTTAACAGGTCGCTACGTATGCTATGATTTGGCCGGCACGTCGAGTTCCCCAGGCGGAGGTGGTTGCCGTGGCGGCACGGGATGGAGAGCGTGCCCGAGATTATGCCAAGCAGCATGGGTGATTATGGCCTCCTTTATTAGCACGGATGCTTTGGTGTTATCCACGCCGCCAAGACTGCAGAGATGGTTTTACGCATGACGTGAAATCCCCACCTGGGTTTTTCCCGTCCTGACAGAAAGCATGGAAATCAAAGAGGGCTTCCGTCATCAAAGTGATCTGCTTAATCCTTACAAGGGCATATTATTTGCCAGGCTTTTGCAAAACTCCAAAATCACTCTTGCGACCCAACCCTGCCGCCTGGCATGCTTATGCTATGGTTTATATGCAATAAGATGGTCGCCTTGCTGAACGCCGATTGACCCTTCCAGGATTGCTCGTTCCTACGGCTCTTACGAGGCCCTACTGGCTGACCCCGACATCGATGCCGTATATGTGGGCCTGCCCAACGGCTTGCACGGACATTGGACTCGTGCCGCGCTCAAGGCCGGCAAACACGTCCTCTGCGAGAAGCCGTTCACCGCCAACGAGGAAGAGGCGCGGTAAGCCTGTGCGCAAGACCCGCTGAATGACAGGTTTGGGGCAAGGCTCTGTACGCGCGTCCTAGGGTTGCTGCGGGACCGTACCTGTTTCGTGTTCATTACATGTTTCGTGTTCGTCGCGCAGTCCGATGAACTAGGAGTTGCTGTCAGGCCACCTGCAACTTAGCTATGGCGCTATGCGGTAAATATATAGCGGCGCAAAGCAAGTTTTGGACAGCCTTGAAGCGTAGGAGTTTTCCTTAGGCAACTAGACATCGTTTGAGCTACATAGCCAGTCAACCAGTTCTTTACCCTGGCAACCGGTCAGCTACCTTCCGCTGGTGGCAGCAGCGTTGGGCGCGGCGCCCTGGCCCGATCCCGGGGGCATGCTGAGGTTACAAGTGCGCCCTCACCGCCACTTTCTGCCAGGGGCGTCTTACCCGCACAGCGTCAGCTCGCAGCCCAGGGCGCCCAATATGGCGCCCGTCCCATCGCAGATGTCATTGCAGCAGCCACAACCCGTAGGAAGGTGAAGCGCTAACTGGGCTGTACTTCGCTCCTCGCCTGATGGTTCCTGACAGGGAGGTTCAGGCGCTAGCGCGCAGCCGCGGCCTGGTGTGCCGGGAAGCTTTCCACTACCGGGAGCACCCCCTCATGGAGCACCTGCACAGGCTTTTGGGTAGCATGTCGTCGTTGTGCACAGATAGCAGCCCCAAGGCAGTTGGAAAGCAGCAGCACCTGCAGCAGCAGCAGCACCATGGCAAATTTCATGAGGAGGCCTCTGGGGGAGTGCTCGGCCGGCTCAAGTCGGTGGATGTGGCTGTGCTCATCCCGAAGTGGGTTTTCGGCGGAGCCAACATTCGCTTCCAAGAGACTCTTGCAGGTAGGCATTAGCATAAGCTGCAGGAGGGAGAAGGGAAAGAATTGTAAATGGGGACACAGGCAGCTGCGGTGATGTAGTAAACTTGTGGGGTCCAATACGCTTAGAAAGATATTTATCAATCTCCTGCGAGGTATTGTACGGTGCTGCAGCGCGTTGCTATATCTCCTTGAAGCGCTGCTGACAGGGCCGCGGTTCAAGTCCCAGGGCGGGCTTTTTCGCCTCGTCCACTCCTGTCTGGTCTCAATGACCCATTCCTTGACGATTGAAGTCCCTCTCTTGCCGTGAATCTTGATGTGCCATGACTTCTGGTTGTTTACCTGCGAATATTCTCTCCTGTTTCCCTCCTGTTAAGGTGGCGCGGCGATGGATGCGGGTTGTTACTGCATTCACGCCATTCGAAGCCTCGTGGGCGGTCAACCTACGGTGGAGTCTGCCACCGCTGTCATGGCGCCCAAGTCGCAGGTGTGCCGGAATCCTTGAGCTCGATCAGGGCGTAGGGAAAAGGGAAGCAGCTTAAAATGCGACAGACCGCAGTTAAATGTCGTGCCTTGGAGGTTGACAGCGTTGACTTACATTGGCAGATGAGAATGTGTACAAGAATCCTTGTGGGTTTGGGGGGCATGCTTGCAGACTATGTTACATTGTGTAATTCTTACGTCCTCGCAGCAGCCTAAAGCACACTTAAACATGGATAGCTATCCCAAGCCGGACGTCATCGAAATGGGATTTCCTTTCCAATTCTGATACCATACCCAGCGCTGTGATTGTAGCCCTGGTCGTTGTCAATTGGCCGCGCATGTGGACATTGTAATTTGTGCTCCATCGCTTCTTATCGCAGGTGGTCGACGCGGCGATGAGTGGCACGTTGCGGTGGCGCGAGGGCAGCAATGCTGGTCTGCACGCCTCTTTCCGGGCTTCGCTGCAACATGATGGGTTGTTTCCCATCAGCACCATTGACGTGCGCGGGGACAAGTAAGAAGCTGTGCAATGAGCTGTATGGGGCCGAGGTATAGAGTACAGCCTATCTCAGGCGGGTCGTGCTCCGTCGCAGGTGCCTGGGGCTCTCCCCAACAACAGATAGACGTATGATATGTAGGCATCTGGCTCAATACGGACTGCTGCTGACTGGATGAGGGTTGCAGCCGGGATTGGGTCATGCGGGTTACTAGAGGAAACACGGGCGCCGGATGGAAGGACAAAATGCGAACGGAGATGAGGGGAGGTTCATCTGGCTGTGTTCCTCATCAAGCATCTGTCACCAATATCGGGTGTACATGTGTCTTGGCCTCCGGCTTGATATGCAAATTTGGTAAAACGAATGATGAGGGACCTCCCCCGGTCTAATGTGAAAAGCACGGCAAGCTTCTCACAGTTGTCTGGTAATTTTTATATTGGTACTGTCACGCCGCTCTCGGCTGAACTCGCACTCCACATACCATGGTTGTGTATCTCTCGCTACTGGGACCGCGGCGTGCAGGGGTCACCTGCACTGCTCGAATTTCATCATGCCCGTCTTCGGCAACGTCGTACGGCTGACAACCACTTCGCCGGCCGTCGAGTCAGGTGCAGGCAGCAATAGCATCGGTAACGGCAGCAACAAGACCACAACCACCGTCACCCGCGTGTATGGTAGCGGCGAGAGTACCTATTTTTACCAGCTCTCGCGTTTCGTACGCGACGTGGGCACCGTTAAGGACGCGGCCAAGGATGACGATGCCGGGTAGGCAGGCAGGCATTGCTATCTCCGTTCGGGATTGCTACTGGCCGGCTACCTCCGTTGTACCTTGCTTGCTTTTAAAGGAGAGGTTGCCAAGGCGACCAATAATTGTTGGTCATCCTTTTGCCATCCTGGACTAATACTTGTCCCTTGCTGCTTAGACTAGCTTGAGTTCATACATCCCCCTGTGGCCTTTGGTAAATCTGCGAGGCTAAGAGGAGGTACTGGCATCGTCCGCCGCACACAGCCGCAGGACGGCAAGGCAATCAAACGAACTGCCATGGCCTGACGATCCGTTGTTTGCATGACAGCCGAGGGTTTCAACAAGAGATTCGCCGTGTGCGACACTCATCCAGACGTTGGATTTCTTAATAGGTTTTGGGCTTAATTTAGGTTTGGACTTAGTTACCTGGCTGCCTGCCTTTCGGATAATTGGGGTGCAAAGCCCTGGGTTATTAGGGGACATACGACCAAAACAGCAGAAGCGCATGGAGGCAGTGTCGCCGGGTGTCTTGATGTGCTTTGTCCACGGCGGTTGCATGGGAGCGGCCTCTTGAAGCCCATCACCTGATGCTTGATAAGCTTCACCGGGTTGGATAATCACGATACGGATGCACGGATATAGTACTCATGAAGCACCCCGTTCGCGTGCCGAAAAAGCTACAACCGTACTGCCGTACGAGGTGTTTCGGTTACCTCGGTCCTGCCATGGAAGCGGGGGTTGCTAGGGTGCTAGTGGAGGCGCTGAGGGGTCCTCGGTAACCCACATAGTATCGCACAGTATCGCTTTGGAAAGCCCTGTACTCCACATTTCCCCTTGGTACATGTGTCTCTGATAAAATGCCAATGCTTTCGTCTCTTTTCCCTCCTTTCTGTCGTGCTCCCTCAACACCTTCGCCAGGGCCTTGGTTGCGGCATCCACCATCCTGGCTGATGACGCCGCGGACAGCATCGCCAACATGCACCTATTGGATGAGGTTTACCTGGCGGCTGGTTTAGCTCCGCGATTGCCGTCTTCACAATCAGCCAGGAAGCAGCAGGCGAAGCAGGCAGGAGTGCAATAAGGAGTCAAGATCTCCGAGCTGCGCTTCTTGCAGCACAGAAGCAGGTGTCAGCTGCGTACCAGGTTTTGGATTTGTGGAGTGCGTAGACAGAAGGGGATATCACCCATCCCTGAAGCAAGGCGGATGGCGCGTTGGCAGCCAGCTTTTGGTTTCACTTTGCGTCTGGCAAGGGTGTTGGCAGGTGATGCGCTCGCGGCCTGCTTGCCCAAGCATTGAGCCCTGCATCAGGCCATCCGCAAGAGCCCTACAAACATGTTTCTTTTGCAGTGTTTTCCGCCTTTTCATGTGAATTTGCTCAAGGCATTATTGGGCCTTGAGGTGTGACATCTCGTACCCTAATGCCGACTTCGATGGGCATGTGGCCTATTGGTGGTACTGCGAGATCTACTATTTGCTGGTAAGACACATACAGCGCAAACTTGAGCTAGGATTGGATATTCTTAAGTATCATCGCAGTTTTGTGAGTTGTCTGTATCGGGAATTTTTTTGGATACTGGCTACGATGTGTGCTGCACGATGCAGTGGATGATGACCAAAACGTCCTATTATATTCTTAATCCTGGCCAGCCAACGTGATGACCCATGGGACCGTCGTTTGCTGTGTGCCGCCATGCGGAGATGCTCGATTAATTTAACAGCACTGCGCGGACAAAAAAAATTAATTTTTCAAGCCAAATGGATTGTGGTGGAGGTTTTTCTCCGTGTCAGGTTCGGATTGAACTTTCGATATTGACCATGATTTTGTACGGTGAATGCGATGATCCGTGTATTTCTATAATATTTTCTTCTGGGGGTGTGTGATTACTGCCCTTGCCGGCGTTCGACCTTGCGATGTCGCCGCATCGTTTAAATTTTGTTGACATTCTCATCGTCGCCTGGCTGGTTCGTGTACGGCAGTTCGTAGCGTCTGTGCGTCCTCTTGTCGTGCTTTCCTAAGAATCATGTATCATCTGGAAGCTATAAGGAGGAGGTCTGTCGGCCTTAAATATGTGGACATGGTAGAACTCCAGTCACACAAGTGCAAAACTCGGGTGCCAGTCCAGTGTTTGTGCGATTGTTGGTGCCTTCAACTCTCCTTGGTCCCGTTCGGCATGACAGCGCGCTGGTAAGCGATTCCACTCCTTACAACGTTATGGCCGCCCATTGGTTGAAGGGGTAAGCCGTTTGCCTTGGTATATCTTCTGTAATCAGGTTGGAGCTCTGTAATCTCTAGGTCGAGCTCGTATGTCTCTTGTGTACGTTACTGTGGGTTCGTCCTCGTCCTCAAGGTGGGAAATGATCGGAAGGAGTGAGGTGACCTTTGTGCAAATGACACGTCCAGTTTCGATTATGTGTATTGAATGGGATCTCGCGAGGGCCGCCTATTGTAGCCGTAATAGGCCGTAAGAAGGCGATTATCGGCATGGGAACTCCGGCCTCATTGCCGCCCTTCTTCTCCTGAGTCTCCTGTGAACGTTGTATGACCAGGATATACTTTGCGTAATCGCGTTCAGGGATTATCTTTGATAACTTCTTTGCATTGCCAGTCTATCTATTTTCATGACGAGCGACTTGCAAAGTAATTCTCCCGGCCATACACTTTTTGCTGCCCACTGTAACAAAACACACACACTTTTTATACTGCCCGTGTTGAATGATATCGTCAGAAATTTTCGATTCGCAAGTATTGTTATGAGCGTGCCGAGTCAGATGGGGCCTGGCATCGCCAAACGTCTCTATGTACAAGTAAAATGGAAGTGATTGCAGCAGATTCCTCCAGGAGAGCGCAGCCTTAAACAGAAGATCGGGCCATAGGTTCGTATTTCCCACGCCGGTTCGGGAAGTACGGTAATTGCGTCTTACCGGCAGGCCTTTGACGAAGAGTTATTCACACATGTTCATGTGCACTCATGAACTTTCTCGCTGTAGTTGTGTTGACTTTTTATATTCATGGCCCTGCTGCCGTGCCAGACCGTTGGTAAAGTTAATTGATTGCTCACGTTGGGATGTCCACAACAGGTCTCCCTTTTCAGGTTGTCAAGCATCGCTTTTCTGTACATGTGGCTAGCTTCATAATGCAGCTTTTCAATTAACTCAATCGGTGACCGCCTTTCGCCAGGTCCAGTACTGTGGCTACGTAGGATTAATCCATGCATGCTATTTGGTATAATAAGTGAACTTAAGTTGAACTAATGGTTGCTGAGTCAGTCGCTGGGGCTTCCAGCTACGCCGGGAGCGTCGCGTCGAGCAGGTCCTCTGCCTCAAGACCAGCACGGTAAGAGCGTAAAACACAGATCACACTCGAATTATTTTCTTCATTATTATGGGCTATGTTGAACAATGCTAAGCGAGGCGAAGTGCAGCAGGCACTTGCTGACGCTCGGCATCCCAGACAAGCAAACTCCCCGTTGCCTTATCTCCCTCTGCACCAAAGTAACCTTGATGCAGCAAATAACATTGGATTGAAGGGATGATTACAGGTGCCGTTCTCCTATGTTGTCGGGCGTAAGCGGGAAAGGCCGCCATCGCGCGAAGGGCTTCGGCTAGCCACTTTCCTGTTGTACTGCTGGGGTTACCTAGCTAGGCCAGCTCTCAGCGCATCTTGTGTGAGCTTGGCTTAATTAAATATTTACGCGGTTGAATTCGTGCTCTTTCGGTACTTGCTTTGGCTTCGGTTAACACGCAGGCCTGACCATGCGAATCCGGACGGTCAAGGCGAAGACCTTTTCGACAGGCGATCTTCGCTTGAGGTGGGTTCTCATTTTCGACACTATTTATGCTTTAACACATTACGCATCAATGTCTAAGTACCATCGGTAGGTTCACTAGCAAACCCATGCCCCTTCAATACCGACCACGCAGCAGGCAGGTAGAAGCTCTACCCAAAAAAGCAATCCACCCAAGTTTCATGGCACTCATATCAACCCTTGCATTCTTGTGCTCACGATTACTGCAAAGTAAATGGATGATGCATGTTTGTTTCAGCGAAGCCAACCACATCATCAATAACTAACCGCACCCAAACGCCCACCAAGGCCCACCGAGACTCCAGTACGGCCAAAATCCCGTAGTAGACATCCGGCCTCCACAACTCCACCTTGGGCATCCGCACAAAGTCTCGATAGCGGAGGACAGGTGGATAGCGGAGCACACTCGAGCACCTGTCCTTAGATTCTAGCTATCCTTAGCTTCTTCTACGTGGCAACGTCAGTTCTCGATTGATTTCATGTACAAAATCCCCCCTGATGATGAACAAACCAGAACCCCGTACCATGTGACGACAAGTACATGTGCATTACATTGCTTGTTGGGAGGGGACATCGCTCTTGTTGGATTGCGTGTGTACGGCAAAGTTTTGCTATCAGATTCAATAGTAACGGTGATGTTTTCATGACCTGCGGAGGTCGACCCACTAGAAAGGGGTTATCGTTGGCCTCGTGCGTTCGCGCGTACGATGCGGTGTATGCATCCTATGTTTCTCTTTTTTTTTCCGCAAACGGAAGGATTGGTAATTCGCTTGTGTGTGTGTGTGGCCTCTGTGTCGGGGTGGGTGTAACGGTTGATCATCCCCGAATTTATATGTACTCATCGGCCAGTTTTATTAATTGTATGTACCACTGGTAAGCCACAAAGGACTGTATGCAATGTTACCTCACCCCTGCTTCTGCTGTTTGGTCTGCCTGCATGCCACGTGTGCCCGCTGCAGAACGGTATCTTTGCAGTCCTTTTCACGCTTCGGTAAGCGTGTTCGGTCGTGTCTATGTGCGCTTCTCGCTGCTGTCTGCCTGGTTGTCTGTCTGTCTGTCTGCCTGGTTGTCTGCCTGTCTGTCTGCTTGGTTATCTGCCTGTCTGTCTGTGTGTCTGTCCGTTCTATCCTGCCTAATCCGAGCAATACCATGGACAGAATACTGCTATATGTCGCGAGCATCATTTACAGTAGTGGGACTGTAATGGCGGCGTACGATGGTGGGAGACCATGCGCGATGTCGTACATCCAATACGGCGACACTGCTGAGATATTCGGAGTACATTCATGTATAGGAGTTCAGTACATAGCAGCTCGTGCTGCTGTGTGTTTTGCCTCAACGCGTTTCCAAACGCTTCTACACCTACCTCCCCCTCCCTGCGCCTTCCTGAATTCGACCGCAGAAAGGAGAACACCGAGGCACGCATCCGCATACGTTGGACTTTGATACAGATAACGCTGGGCGGTTGGCAGCTCTTCACGACGGTCATCGATCCGTCCAAGCAGCCATGGGACATGAATCCTGACAGCACGTAAGCCACTGTCGCTGCCAATCTAGCTGCGTACTAGCTGGCAGTTGAGTGCATCCTGTAACAGAGAATTCGGAAGGATCGTGGGATACAGATCACAGCCCGCCTTGTGGCTAGGTGGAGGCGGTTCCGGTTGTAAGGGTGGGGGTTGCAGAACGAACAATGCGCTCGCTGAACGTATTGGACCAGCAGCAGCACGCTGGCTATGCATGCATGGGGGCCTTGCGCACTTCAACGCGCTGCCATGCAACTGTACCCGTTTTACCGATTGTTTTTTTCCTCAATGGGAGACCTATGGGATGCACACGAACCCCAAACGATGCGTCAACCATGTTACGTGTGAATACGTTGCGCACATCCGTTGCGCACACATATGCAACAAATGTATGTATTCTCATGACCGATAGCCGGTCAAGCAGAGCCGTCCGCGTTGTTGACAAAGGATAACCACCACGCGTACGCAGGGCATGGAAAATTGTTGGTATCTTGGACTTCGAGTGGCTCGTCCACGTGGTAAGTAGAAGCAGTGGCGAACGTTCCGCTCTCCTCATGGGGCGCATACGTAGCACTGGTTTGCTCTAACTAATAAAATCTCTCCACTTTAGACTACATGAAGCTGTACATATGTACATACATACGTGCGTGTGCCAGCTTTTACAGTACGATGACCGCAACTGGTTCCGTACGACACAAAACACAGACATCCGGTGCGGCCCAAGAGAGAAAATTGTGTCTTTATGGCGACTTTACCCTGACATGTCTTGATATCAAGTGAACATGTATCACGTCATCAGTCATCAATGAATATGTATCGCGACTGGGTTCCTGCTGCCGCGTGTACGTGAACCAACATGTAGTAGCTGCCGTACACAGTACGGCACACATAACAACTACAAGCACGCGCGAAGCGCTCGACCAGCATCTCGAGAGGCCTTTTCATCAGCGGCCAGCTGGCTACTACACAACAGCCTGCTGCCTGCCTGGTGTCTATCCTGACGCAGGGCTACAACGCCTACCTGGCTGTGCTGTACACGATGGTGACTCTGTTGATGGTTAATTGTGGACTCTGTGTGTGGGTTGCTTGGTGCTTCAAGGAGCAGAAGTTTCCCGTCGTGTGGCCGGTTAAGGTCAGTTGTTGGTGCGAAATGTATGTACGCGCCTGGCGCACTCAAAGGAGATTTTAGCTAAGACAAATCCGTTTAGGTGTTAGCCTGTATTATTGCTGTCTGCGTGGACGTGTGGAGCTTATAGCTTTTTAAACTCGCCACCGATATATACACCGTATGGGTGCTTCGTCATTCCGTTGGGGACAGCAATTGCACATTCCACCCTAAGTTAGCTTGGCTTGCGCATATATGGTATGATGATAGGTACGACATCACGTGTCCTCCTGCTTACCGCGGATGTAACTACTTGGACTTAACCTGGGTTTTCTAGGTGTTGCGAATCATGACACGCACTCATGCAGGCCCTGCAAACGGAGGACTAATCCTCCGTTGCAGTACTGCAACCTTGCCCCAGCCACTTAATCCTATTTCAACACTCGCGCGCTGTGTGATGATGGTGGTGTTTATGCTTGACAGGCCTTGAGGCTATTCAACGCCGTATTTCTCCATGCTTTCGACATTGCCTCTTTGAACGTGCTCCAGGTATGTACGGCAGACGATGTCGGATGATGCGCATGCTGACCTGTTTACTGTTTGCATTTCCAAATGTATGGGGCGTGATGAGCAACGAATTGTTACTCAGGTTAGCCAGCAGGGTTAGGACTAACCGCACAATCACGTGACATGGTCGCAAGCGTATAAGATTGTGACAGGACTACCCTGTGTAGGGCGGGAACTTCATGCAAATGCTTGTCATCATGGCTCGCCTTGCGCCTGCGTGCGTGCCACGTGTGTGCCGTTCTCGTCCCTCCCCCGTACATCCCCGTACATCCCCGTACATCCCCGCGCAGCTTGGCATCAACTGTCGCTTCACTGGACCGGAACATCCGCACCTGCGCTTCGACATGTTGCCAAAATACAGTAAGCAATCGTCGCGTGCACGCACGCTTCCATCGATGGTTTTTGTTATTACATTGGTTCCCCGCACACGGGGTCACGCACGCTTGAGGAATGATTTTACGAACAAAGCTCTGGTCTCCTGTAGCAGCTGTACATAGTACGGCACACATATTGGCGATAGATATGCGCTAAGGCGCTTCACCAGCATCTATAGAGGCCTTTTCAGCGGCCAGCTACTACACCTCCCCTAAACCCTAGCTAAGGCCCTGCACGCCCGGGCATGCAAGCGCCCGCTAAGTGCTTGCTGCTAGCTAGGATAGCTAGCCAGGACTTAAGCTTGAGGAATGTATGCGTGGTTTGCTTGTCAATTACCCAGAATGGCCTGCCGCATTCACCCGTTTCTATACGTGCTCGTACAGGTTGCGTGAAGCCACCACACGTGATGCACGCTGTGGTGTCTGGCTTGGCGCTGACCCTGTTTGTCGTCCTCTCCCTCGTCTCTATTATGGCTCAGGTAAGTATCATTTGGAATAAATCTTACATATATCCTCTATCTGGAAACTTGTCAGCATATTCGTCAGCAGCAGGACGTGCGGAGGGGGGTAATAGCGGTTCACGTGTTCACGTGTGCAAACGATGCAACTACATGCAACGGCGCCGATCAGACGGCATGGCACATACAATCGCGTGTGTCGCAGCGGAGCGGCAGTAGCTGACATGTAGCTAGCATATGTGTACACCCTGCCATATGAGTGTCGATAGCATTAACCTGACAAGGCATGATCGTACCTGCAATCGCCTCCGCCCACTTTGTCCGCCGCCTTTTCAGCCAATTATTGTATTTTAATCCATCAAAATCGTCCCGCACAAATCAATCGGCCTTGTTTGGTTGTGAACCTGTTGCAGGTGGAGGTGAACCTCCTGTCAAACAGGCCATCAGCCCTGGGTCACAGCGGCCCTGAAATGATCGCGTTCATGATAAGGGTACGTGCGTACGGAGTAATCATTGGTTTGGGAAGGTGCCGTGATTCCTACGTGGGGATAAACCCACGCAAAGCGACAGTGGAGAATGGTATAAGTATACAGCGGATAACAATCAATAACATTCATGCCTGTGTGTGTCAGGTGCTGTCTCTTATGGCCTGGGTTGCATGTATGGTGTCCGGCGGCGGGCCGGGTCCGGGTAATAAATGCGGTGTTCGCCTATCAGCTGCACCTTAAGGTGCAAAAAGCGTTTTGCACTGGCGACGCTAAGTGGACTGCTCCCGCTGCTGCATATCACATACCTGGCTTTTTTTCATGCTGCTTACGAGTGGACGAAGGTGCTGATGACGCTGGTTCAAGTCGTCATCGGCTGGCAACGCGTGGCTTCCTGCATACATGTGGTCCTGTCCGTGGCATTGGCGTGGCAGTACATTCGATGGGTGAGGCTTCGGTAGGGCGTGACCGAGGTCCTCTTTATCAGCTTTATGACGTCTACTCCAGTTCATCTTAAGACACAGAGAAATATACGGACAAGATGCGCACCCGCAGTTTGAGACCGGAATGATGAGTGCAAGCACGTTCGAATTCGTAGCTGTGTGCGCATATATATCTGTATGCATGTGGGGCGGCCCCATGGAGAGGTGCTATGCTGGGCTCCTAAACGTAAACTTATATATTTATATATAATGTATTATATAATTACTATATATTATAATATATATAGACTGTACGCGCTTGCCTATATCGGTCCAAGCACCTGTTTCCTCGTTCTTTTATTACTGATGCAGAACCCTAACCGCGGGCCTCATGTGTGTGCGTGCGTGCAGAATCCGCATCTGGTGGCCTGGGTGAACTACCTGAAGGGCGGTGTGGCGGTAACCGTGGTGTGGTGCTCGGTGTCACTGACGGTGCTGGTGTTCCACCCTGGGATCAACGGACAACATATGAAGGATTACTCCCGGGCCATAACCCTCGTGATGCTCCTGGGCCTGGCTCCAGCCTTCACCCTCGGCGCCCTCATGTCATGGCGCATGATCTCTTACATGACGAAGTCGGCGCTGAAGGCCCTGGCGTGCGTATTGCTAGCTTGCCAACATGTTAAAATTGAGCGGCTGGGATATTGCTGTTGGGGTTTCGTGTGCACTCAGGTTTTGTAGTGGAATGCATGCGTGCTTATAGCTCAAGCGATCTTGAACCAAAATAGACTACTCATAGCTACCGATATGTCTTGTGCTAATCTTGCTAAACTCACGGGCAGTACGTCATCATGTATGCCTGCCTTTACCGTGCCGCTGGTATCTATATAGTGTGGGCTAGTACCCGTGATTAAGCATTTGCCCTCCAATCTTGGTGCCTATTTGCAGCACGGCCAAGCCTGATGCCCCGTTGCGAGAGATCTGCCCGAACATCGATAGTCCGCAGGATGTAGAGCTCGTCGCTAGGTGCGTCGGTTCGCATGCAAACTCGGAAAGTCATTCGAACGCCTTTTGATTGATTGCCGATGGAGACGCGGATGGAGATGCATACATGGCATATCTTCCAAATCAAATTGCAACCCATGTATGGTGGCTACTCCGTCCACTCTTCGTTGCCGTAGCAGATATTGCACGGCAAGCTAGCTGGTGCTCGTGCGCGGCTGCCGGAGCATCACCAGAAAACTAGCTGGCTGGCTACAAGCTCCATCTTCCATCCATCCATCCATCCATCCATCCATCCATGAATAGACACATAAATAATACATAAATAAATACATAAATAAATAAATACATAAACACATAAATAATACAAATAAATACATAAATAAATACATAAATAAATACATAAATAAGTAAGTAAGTAAATGAGTAAATAAATAAATAAATAGACTAATTACAGAATTGCTCAGAGGGAAGCAGCCAGGAATGCCACATGGTTGCTCTTACAGCTAGTCCCCAGCACATTCGTACCTACGTACATGTGTGCTAGATAGACGTGAGCGTCAGGCAAGGGAAGGAGAAAGATTTGATTCCTCGTCCACGTATGCGCAATTAAGTGCTATTGCGTGTGCACCTACACAGGTGCTGTCGCGTATGGAAGGATCGGTACAACCTTGACCCTGATGCCGTCCACAAGGCCCGCCAAGTAATTCAGGTACACGTGCGTGCCATGAGTTTTTGTGATGAAGACGCCGCCAATGGAGCCCGCGACCGTATTGAAAAGTGAACGCTGTTACAGTGGATCTTAAGGAAAAAAATACTACCACCCCTGTTGCCATGTACTTACACGCTGAACTCAAACATTGCCTAGGCCAGCAGCCACAAGGCATGGTTGCACAACATACATTTCTCGTAGTAGGACAACTTAGGGGTGGGCCCGGCCTCATCTGTCTGTTAGCTTTTCATCTGTGGCGAACCTATTGCTGCCCCCATAGGCCGGCCTGGCAATGTTCCCCACCAGCGCCTACATGGTGCTGCTTCACGGAAATTTTATGATTGACGTCCTGGGGGTCAGCCAGAGCGGCAGCCGCCGCATCGAGGTGCGTGCGGGGCGTGGGACCGCCGCGATAGGTGGCGATGTGTGTCGCACATGTGACTGCACAGCAGCTTCCTTTTTCTACCTTTGCCCGGGTCTATGTGATGCAATGTGGTGCACATGCACGTTATCCTTTTCTTTAATCCGAAGGCGCTTGCGTAGCGTGGGTGGGACCCGAAGCTAGGCCGTCGTGCAAGGTGACTGCTTTAAGTACGGCCACCGCCACCTGGCTTGCTCATACGTTTCCTTGCGACTGACGGCTTCGACAGTCTTTTACTCTTAGGGTTCTCTGCTGCCGTTGGGGACGCCGCGGCGGTGACAGTGTATATGCGTCGGTGATGGTACTGCTGCTGATGTACCTGATGTACACGCAGGACGCCCGGAAGCTGGACCCAAACTTCATGTGCCGCTTCATTATGTTTGTACGGCACCAACAGGCCTCGGTAAGCCCAAACAGGTTGCTTTCGAGTGTTGCTTGGTCCTTTCTGCCAAAAGTAAGGGCATTACCATGACATGATGCATCCTGAAGCCGCGGATAAAGCCAAAGGCATTCCAATCTCACACCGATGTTCTTCAGCCAAATGCGCTGCCGAGAATCGCTGCTACTGCAGCAATTAGTTACGGCCGTATGCCATGTGTGAACAAAAGAGGGAGAAAACTCATGCTTTGGGTACAGGGCAGCCAGCGGGATGCGTTTGGCGTCCTCTCTGGCATGTCTTGCATGATAACTCGTCCAGGTTGTGGATCCGAAGCCTCACTTGCGCCCTTTTCCTCTACACTCGATACGCAGCAACTCGCCGCGGGGAAGCAATCCAATGGGGGCGCTAATATGGACCTCCTCGCGTAAGTGAAGTGAATGCACGGGTAGCAACTCGCCGCGGAGGTTAGTAACCGGTGACTTGCATGAGCCTTCCGCACCTCGTTGCTAAGGCGTGGACCTAAGGCAGTGTAGAGTACATAATGTATTCAAGAGTACATATCCAAGAGTACATATTCAAGACGACGGTGTGATATAGATTCAGTTACATGTAGGGGACTAGGTAGGTGGAAACAGCTGTCGCGTCACATGACTGTAGCACCGAACAAAACACGTGCGTACGGCAGACTATGAACGTGACGCTAAAATGTCGTGACACAGCCCACCATAGATGCGTTACACCTAGTTGTTGTACAGTACGGCACACACCTTTGATGCATATACGCTCTAGAGCGCGCTCCCAGCATCGTGAGAGGCCCGTTTGGCGGCCAGTTACTGCATTAGGTTTCATTAGCTTTGTTGGATGGCATGGATGGTGCATCTGCGGGGACGGGGAGACACTGGCTAATAACTGCTTTGCCCCTCGCGACACATCGGTTTGCGTGCCTTTGACAGCTACGTAGAGTACCAGCGCAAGCAGCGCATGGTGGTGCGGCTTCACCGTGAGGCGCTGCAGGCCATCTGCAGTTTCTGGTAAGCCGCCGCTTGGGAGGCAAGGTTTTCAGCAAATCCATCCCAAGCGCTTTAAGCAAGCATCGTTCGTTCACCATCCATGCGTTGATCGGTTAGTTTCCATCGCTCTCCCCGTCTTTGAGCTTTATGGGTCGGGTATGCAGCAATGATGTACCCGCCGCTGCACACGGCACTGACGAGTCATCCGTAATAACTGGACCGTCCCTTCTATTATACTAGGGCACGGTCTACAGACGATGTCAAATCTACAGGCGATGTGCTATGTGCTTTACGTACAGCGGAATACATGTATTGACTTCACACCATGCCATTCATGTAATTCTGCAATGTGCAGGAAAGCCCTCGATTCGTCCACGGTGTCCTTCACGACCCTCAGCAAAGGGCTTGGCAAGATTGAGAGCTCGGTCACCCAGGTGCGCCTTACGTCGGTAGCCGCTGCTGCATGTGTGCGCTGTTCATCCGGCCTTGGCAACCGCGTTTGCAGTAACCAAACATTAATATAATAATAGCACGCCTTAGCCTGAACTAACGTGTATTAAGGGGGTGGCTGGGGGTGGAGAGGCGAAGTCATGGGTTTAATCGCTTGGGACCTTTGCACCTCCCGTCACCGTATTTGCAGTTTTCAAATGGATTACCAAATGAATAACTATACGTTTTGTATTTACCTTTGCGCGTGCAGGCGCAAGCAGCGTACAGAGTTGTGTTGGAAACCTACGGCAATAATCCTAAGCTTGTACGACTGTACGGCAAGTTCTTGCAGACCATCAAGAACGATCCTTGGCGAGCGGTGAGTGGGTGGCTGTGCTTCGGGTTATATTTGGATGGGAGTTCATGACGCGTTGGTGGATGCGCCCTGCTGGCCAGTTTCCTGCATCCTGCCGTAAGCAAATCCTTTACACATCCTCCGACAGTTTCGGTCGTGGTCGACAGTCCCAACGCAGCGACACACCTCCTTGATGTCGCATCCCACAGTCTGAGTACTTTTCAGAGGCCGATCGACTGGAAGAGCTCATGAACGGCGACTCATCGGGGGGACCGCTTTTGCCGGATGGTACGTTCGTGAACACACGGTTTAATACTTTAGGTGCTCAGGTTTTATACAATAACAGGCAGTGCTGCAACTGATGCATGTATCTGATAACCTTGCTTGGGTCAACGCCGTAGAGAGAGCTCGTTTTGATGCCCATGCTTGCTATAGTGCCTCCGGACCCTTATATGTTTCGTCGCGGCTCTACACCTGCTGTGTGCGAGCATTTTTTTTTGCTGTTTTGTGTCATCGTGGTGGGCTCTCGTTTGCTAGGTACGCCGCTGGGCCGCATGGACGAGATGGCAACTGCCGTACTGGTCATAAACGCGGCAGGGGAAGTGCAAATGGTAGGTGCTGTTTAGTTCTTACTTATGGCCATTCTCCATTTGTAAAATATCTAGTTTACAAACGCATGAGCGCTTGCATGTACCGCCTGTAACTCTGTATGCATGTCTCTGCTAAACAATTAACAACAGCAGGCTAGTTGATCAGCTTATCTGCATCCTCATGGTTAGTTACGTGGTGGCTCTAAACATATCGGTGCCGGTGCCAGTTCTGCGATTGTCAATCATTGAAAATAGCAGAACTGGGACCACCATCAGCATGATGCTGGTAGTGGTGGCGATGCTGCTGATGGTGGGCAACCCCGCCGGCTAGTAGCAGCCGTCGCCTGGGTGTAGGTCGTACAGATTCACACGCACCAGCCGACAGGCAAATGCACCGAGGCATGTCTGCTTGTTCGCTTACCACACGGTTCTCACTGCGTCGCAGGCCAACCGGCATGCCCACGTGCTCTTCGGTTACAGGAGAGGTCAGTTCAGTAAGCGTCTTTGTCTGTGTTACTGGTGAATGCATGGAACACAACCATGCATACTAACACCGTACACATTCCTGTAAATGTCTGTTGCAGCAGAACCCGGGGCTCGCGTTCTGTTACTTGCGCCTTGAAGGTGTGCCCAATGTATATGTGTGCACACACGCCGAACTGGTTGCTCTAGCTCCCGGCAAGTAGACCAAATAACGCAAAAGATATATGCCTGTCTGTTATGTTCATGTGCGCTCCACAGAGCAGCATACCCTTATCCTCACCGTTATGCAGCATTGTGGATTTTCTCAATTTTGCATTTAATGCGTGCGGCCGCGGTCAGGTACGCTGGAGGGCAAGCCCATGGCCACCCTCCTGGCACCGCATTTCGCTCGTTGGCTGTCGGAACACCTGAACTCCCTGATCAGTACGGCGGCTCTGGCGCACGCCACTCGAGACGACGCGCATGGGGACATCAAGGAAGAGGTTGTGGTCGGCATGCACTATGAACGGCTGGCCTTCCCCATTAAGCTGTCTATGCGCAAGGCATCCGGTGCGTGAGTGGCCTCTAAAAGTCTCGCACGTTAGTTGGTATGTGTGAGGTATAACCCTCCCAGCAGCAACCGTCCAAGAAGAAGGAAAGATAGAGGATGCCAAATGTATACCTGCCGCTCTCCGCAGGCGTTGGGTTTTGATGCAATGGGCTTGTGCAGGATGTGGGTTTTGTATAGCGCCCATTGCCTTGCCCATTACTATGTGATGTCCCAATGCAACTCATAGCATGGTGTTCGATTCCCTTTTGTACCTGCTGTGCCTCTGCTGGCAAACGTGGCACATACATTCCGCCCGTAGGTGTGGGAGAGGACTCGACGTTCATAACGATGATGGAGGCGGTGCCTCCTGTTCGCGGAGTTGCCAGCCTGTGGGTGGCGCATAACGGCACTATCGTGGCTTGCGACCCGCAGTTCGTGATGGCATTTGGGTGAGTGCACCAAGCGCACGCACGTGCGAACAAAAGTAGTAAACATATCCTGCACGCGCGCATTGCCATTTGTGGTACACAACGCCGCTGCCTGCTGCTGCTGCTGCTGCTGTCGTGCGTGCACGTGTACTGTCTATGCCGCGAGTTGTATGGATTCATAAGCGGGGCGTTGACTGCCCGTTGACTTCCCTACCCGGCTCTTGCGTACTACCATATCAATAGATAGCCTGCTCATGATGGCCACCGGTATTAGGGGCCACCATTAGGTCTAGGGGCCGTAGTTGTTGACGAACGTTTTTTAGCATCATGAGATCTTGGCACATATGCTACTTTCAGCAAGTGGGCGAACTCCACGCTCGTTCCACGCCGGGTCTGTCCTATGCCTCTGCTTGCCGGTGTTCCGTTCGACCCCGACCACCGACATACGTCAGGTGGAAGTCCCAGGAGATCAACGGTACCAGCCTCACCGCGGTGGTCTCGATTGCAAATTTGGAGTGGCAACCGACTGGGGAGCGAGGAGACCTGGAGGCCGCGAGGGTCATTGTACGCGATGACAGCCCCAGTGACGCCGTCAAGCGGTGCGAGCAATTTGCTCTGTCCTCCTCTGTGGTGTGCGTCTTGCTTGCCCCGGTTGACCCGGTGTAACATTTTTTCTACCACCGCATGACACACATTGCACGCCAGCCATGCGGCTGTTCAATGTCTCATTCGAGAACTGCGCTTGGTCGTGCCGCAAATGGGTGACAGATGCATGGGTGGCATATGCCCTTGCTGGCAAACGAGATGCCCTGCACCATCTATATATAGTATTTGCATTTTCATCAAAGCCTTGTTGCGTTATGGGCTATAAGATCCCACTACTGTCGCTGCCTCTCCGCTGGTATTTGCCCCTCGCCGATTCCGTTTGTGTCCTGACTGGTTCTGTAAGCCGCACAGCAGTACCGAATTACGCTGGTTGTCCCTGGGCTGAAATTGCAGGCTGATCACACGCGCCAAGGCCGCAGCAGCCCGGGGGCGCGGTCAGCATAGCGTTCGTTGCTTGGTCATGCACAAGTACGACAGTCAGCCTGTGTCGTGCACGTTGACTCTTCCGGAGCCAGGTGCGTGTTTTTCCACTCCTGAATTGCTTGGCAAGGTGATGGCTCGTGCTTCTGCAATAATAACGTATCGCTGTCATGACGCATGCATGTATGTTTGCGTGAAACATACTACGATATATATTGCATATTGGATTTTGGTCTATCTCTCGCTTTCAACGTATCGTGTAGTGCTATGTCTAAAAAGCAGCAGGACGTAGCGCTACACGGCTCGTAGAGTAGTGATTGCTCGGCTTGCATAGATCCTTTATGCAAGCCGAGCAATCCCCCACTTGCCGAGCAATCCCCCACTTGCCGAGCAATCCCCCACTTGCCGAGCAATCGTAGTTAACCTAGACAACTAGTAAACAACTGCACGGTAGACGTGCCCGTGCTTTTTTGCCTCCGCCCGTGCCCGTGCCCGTGCCCGTGCCCATTGCGGTATCCGTTTCGCCCGCTTTCTCGCAGTGGACACCGAGGCGCCCGTTCATGAGGTCCGTTTCAGAACGACGGAATCCGACCAGTCTCAGCTACTTGTTGTAAATCGCAAGGGAAACATCTTGCACGCCGCATCAGAGCTGGCCACAAGCTTGAAGGATGCAGGGGGGGTCACTCTGGGGGTCATCGCCGGTTCGACTGGCCATGGCGGCGGGGTGGGCCACGGCAGTGCTGGTGGCGGCGGCGGCCTTGGCCATGGCGGCGCCGCCGGTGCGAACAGCGTGGCGATGGCAGCTGGTTTACCTGTCGGTCCCTCCGCCGACCAACTGGCGGGTTTCACACTCTGTGACTTCCTGCCTACCCCGTGGAAAGAGATGCACATTAAACACCTTAAGGTAGATGCATGTAGTAGATGCATGGACAGCTGCCTCGCCTTGAATAATAATAGTATTACCTTGCGGCATGTGTGATGCCCGTGCGCAGTTGTTTTGCGTTCTGCAAACGAGATGGCGCCATTATATGCTGCCTGAACAGCAGCGCGATGTTAAAGGGAGACTTGGTTTGGATTGGGCGTGCAGTTTCGTTAAAGCGCAAGCAACCGCGCCGCCGTGTGTATTCAGTATCGCGCGAGGCGGGGTGTTACATCACGACTTCAGAAAAGTACCGATCGGCGGATGCAGATCCCGTGATATGCCCTGCAGATTACTACACGGGGAGGGAATCAGATGCTTGAAGATGGGAGTCATCCTTGGTCCTGTGCGTGTTCTGCACACATAACGATAGACATGTAGATCCTATTTACCAACCTAGCTTCTTGTGTGTTACCGTTGCCGGATGCCGCCGTCACGTATTGGAAGGCTACGACCAACACTTGCCCGGTCAGCCGCAACCCGTGGACGTGCCGCAAGGAGGCCACCACAGGGCCAACTCTCGAAATGCGCAGTACCAGCGGCAAGCCGCTGTTCGTGCGTGTGTCAGTGTCAACCGCTGACGTGGCGGGGGAGCTGAACCATGTCATTCGGGTAACCAGGTGCGTGCATCCGCCGGTAGGGCACAGAACGTGTAGTAAGCCTGCTGGGTGCGTGAAGGTGCCTCAAAAAACACCCTTCTGTGCATGTGTGCATGCTCCATCCCCAGATCATCCCTAGAAGCGGCCCTGGCAGAGAGAAGGCTGCTGTTGGAACTGAACCACGAAGGCGAGGTCATCAACGTTGTTGGCGGCAACCCAGCGACGCTGTTTGGGCTGGAAACTGGCAAGGTGATGGTGACGTAATCCATCGCCCCGAAGTTACAGTAGCTTTACATCCTGCTTCGGCTGTACTTGACGCGCCAGTGTGTGTAACAAGCGTCCGTACAGGCCGGCTTACAATTTCTCATCCGCACACTCGACCCCATGCATCTTTGTACTGACACCACCTTACATGCGTAGCACATTACCCCTTAAGGCCTCTTGGCCGTCCTGGGTGGGGCAATTGCCGGCTAGGCCACGGTATGCTTTGTGTTCTCATTGGTACATGAGGATCAGGCAGGTTAATATTTTGTGTATGCGTAGTACCAAATTAAATATGAAGATAAGTGTCCACCGGCATTTTATACCTTAAGCCTAATAAACAAGATAGGCACACCAGGAAGGCCAAGGCAGGCGTAACTGCCTTCCTGGGTCTCCATTACGCATACGCTGTGAGCGATTCCAAGCAACAGACCCGCGTTCTGACCTTCCATGCAGCTGACCGGCCACCCGCTGTGGGACGTCCTCGACTGGTCTACCCTCACAGAGGCGGGCAAGCTGCCTGCCGAGGGCCGGCCGATGTTTTTCAACCTCGTTCGGAGGTTGGTGTCTTCTAAGCTTAGCATCCTCGGCGTCCCCACAGAAACCTGATCAAACCATCATAACATCTGTCAAAGCTCATCCAACAGTGCTTATACCTCGCTATATATCTAAATATCAGGCTGCTTTTCCCGTAATATACTGGCATGCATGCTTACCCTGAACAGTACGGCATAGGCTTGACATGCATGCACGGGTGTTGCGTGTGGGTTGTGCAGGGAGGTGGTTGAACCCGGTTACAGCTGGCGTGTGAACGTTTCGCCTCCTGCAAGGCTGGGCCCGGGCACGTCGGAGCTCTTTGCACTTGCGAGGTCAAACAGCGCAAGGCCGGCATTCCTCAAGGTGAGCCTATGTCTGCTCTGGTTGGCGTGTCCAGATGCCAGCTGGATGGATGAACGGATAAAACAATCTGAGGGGTGACTGTACACATATGCATCCTGCGTGCATTTGTTTCCAAACTTGCATGCTGTCCAATCCCCAGGAGTGTCTCACACCGCAAAAACATCCGCTGACGTGTCCACAGAGGATGGAAAACTACCAAAGAGCATACATGGCTGGGCCGTGCAGACGAGAGATCCTTCATGCACGGGTACTTCTCTCCCAGTTGGCCGTGCGGATATTGAGTTCTTTCATTCCTCACATACGTGTGTGTCATGCACATGCTGACACCAGGTACCAGCACTGTACAAATACGGGCACCATGCATCAATGCACGTGTTTGCAGGTGCATATTGAAATGGCCGCCCCTGGGAACGAAGATGCTGGCCAAAGCCACAAGGTCTTCATTGAGCTCTGGCCGGCACCCAACCTCTCGGGCGTTCTGGAGGTGGACAGCAACGGCCGGGTGCGCACGGTGCTGGAAGAGCGCATGCGACCCGTGGGTCACCTGTTCGGCGTCTCCAGTCCCAGCTTGGTGGGCAAGTTGCTTTCCGAGCTCGTAGTGATGCCGCAAGGGCGCACCAAGCCGAGCGACTTGCTTTCGATGAACGGCGTCAAAAAGAGCAGCCTCAAGTCAAGCTCGGCCGACGCGGCGGTGAAGGTACGTATAAGCTATGGTGAAGACGCGTAAAAAAGCAAAGGTGGGAAAGTAGCAGTACTAGGAATTCTACTGGAGCCATGTTCCCCTGGTCACTCACTGTTGAAGACTCTCGTCTATAAATTTCTTTCGTCGCCCGTAGATCGTTCCCTACCTGGAGTATTAGATGAGGACCGTGTCTATCTACTGCACCAGGGCAGGATCTATAGACGATACAGAATTACATACAGATGATGTACGCATGAACCCGCAAACCTAGCTGCCTGGTATGCAGTATACTTCGGCAATATACAGCGATAATTAAAAACCAAACTATGCAAGAACCGGTTTTTCCCTCCGGCAGGTGGGTCCCCTGCATGTACTCCAAGCCTTGCACTGGGATGGACTTCCGAACAACCTCGAAGTTCAAGTCGTAGGCAAGCCCGGACCCGGCCAAGCTCTGCACGTCATACTACGAGTCCACAACGCTCCCATGCTGCCAATGCTGCCGGGGACACTAGCGGGATCGATACCCGCAACTCCCGCAGCCGCAGCCGCAGCGGCACAACAGCCAATAGCAACAGCAGCAGTGCCGTCAGCAGCAGCAGCAGAAGCAGCCAAGGTGGCGCCACCGGCAGTAGCACCTGCAGCCGTCCGAACAGCTTCAATCTCCAGGTCTATGATCACACGCAGCGTTGCAGCAAGCGTGGATCAGAGCGGAATAACGACAAGAGCGATACGGACTGCGGAAGCTCGCATTTCTGTACCTAGTGTTGCGCAGCAATCTACTGTTGGGGGGGTAGCGGCGGGGGGGACGTCTGAGGCGGAGGACGAGGTGCAGAATTTTCGAACCATGTTTCCCAGCTTCACCAGAGAGGAGTCCTTGAGAGTATTGGCCTTGCCGCCTCCCCCGATTCCGCCTGACGTGTTGGGCCTGCCCGCCGTGCCAGCCACCGCGGCACACGTGCACCGTCCGCGAAGGGAGAAGGTGGCGACTGGTACCGCCGGTGACAAAGGGAAGACTGAGGACCCCGAGGAGCTACGGATCCGCCTTCGCAAGGCCTCCGTGGGAACTGAGACCGTCATGGCAACGGTGGAGGCGGCGGCAGCAGAGGCTGCAGCTTTTGAGGAAGGTGGAGGCGGCGGAATCGGAAGACGCAAGGTTAGCGGTGCCAGAACCCGGCGCCAGGTGACATCGTCACCACCGCCGCGACCGCCGATAGACGACGGCGGCTCTACGGAGGGCGGCGGCAAGGGCCCTTCATCAACTAAGAGCCCAGATGCTGCGGTGGGGGCGGGGCAGGGGCAGCGGCCCAAGGACGTCACTGATGATGAGGACGCCGTTAGCTCTCGGTCCGGTAGTGATGAAGGTGCGTGTACATGTGTGCCGTACGGGTGTACACGAGTACCCGGATACCCGTCCTGTCTATGATGTGACTCGGATATCTAGTCAGACAGCTAACACCAGCTCTGTTTCATTGGCCTTGTCCATACCGCATGCAGACCGAACCTTAGGGTCATCGTCACAGACTCCAGACGCTCAGTCTGTCTTGGGTGCACCCAGCGGGGCTGGCGATATGGACCACGAGGTATGCAGGGGGGGCAGTGGGGAGCCCCTGTGGCCGTTGTGACCACATCGCGTAGGGTCGTGACCACTGGAAGTCTTGGACAGCACATGTAATAGCTGTACAAGTACGGCACACATATCGTCTACAAATACGCGCCAAGGCGCTCCACCAGCAGCAAGCATCTTGAGAGGCCTTTTCAGCGGCCAGACTATGGCCTTGGCCTTACCTACCAGCAATATGTAGCTAGTATTGCATGGTTATCCATCTCCACTTTTAAAGCAAAGCAAACAACGATCAATGCACACATCGATCGTCGGCGTTGATGACAAAGGTCTCTTCCTTCCTTGAGTGCGGTGCCCTCGCTCCGCTGTGTGTTCATGTGCGCTGCAGAAGGTTTGGCAATCCACAACGCCTGCTGCAGACCGCATTGCTAACTGGATAACGAGCAAAGGTGCGGAGTACGGCGCACGTGTACGTGCTGCGTGCACGCACTTGCAAACTTGCCTGTTGTCGTGGTACACATGTCGAATGCCAGGCGAAGACATATTGGTTATTGTTTGGAAGCATGGCATGCGTCTTCTTTTCCTAGCGGTCGACGTGCAAATATACGTTATACGATGTATAGGTGACAAGGCCAGCAGTTGTCGTATATGTCGTGTGGAATGTCGGGCATCAACAAAGAGCCTAAGGGTTGTACTGTTTTGTTGAGAAGTTGTACTCCTACTCGCGGTAGTTTCAAGTTACTAGGGCGAGCTGACGGCGCTGTTCGCATGCATGATTCCTACCGGCTGGCTGGGAACGTGCTCACTTGCTACCTACGAAAGTTACAGATGCGGGGTGCCGTCTGCAAACGTTGGGGGGCCATGGACACGGAAATATGTGTATGTCTGTCAGTCTATCTATCTATCTATGTCTAATATGTATATATGTCCAGCTACCTGAAACGTGCTACCTGTCGTCCTCAGCTCAAGCAAACATCTGTGTACGACTTCACTAACTTTCTTTCAGGCGTGTTTTACCAAAACTCAGTGGCACCGCTGGATGCGTACGACCCCAAGGTGCGTTTATACATACAACCTATCGGCTGGCTGGTGTGTTTGGAGAGGATTGCGTAAGCCAAATAGAAAATAGTGGGCGGATACTCGCCTTAATCCCGCCGTGCCCGCCCTCCCAACCAAGCGCGTACTGGTAGTTTCTGGAGATCGGATAAAGAAGCAGGAATGCGGCATGAACAGAAAGGGAAGAGGGAAGGATGCAGGGCGCACGAATGTTTTATCACGTACAGACGACGTGTCTATGGACGTGCACTCCGTCGTGGAATTCCAAGGTCTAAGAGCACTCGCTAGGGAGATAGGGATGCCAGATGTGTATCGAAATATTAAAGAAAGTTAAAGTGTACCATCCGGCTCGGCGGTTTGAACCCAGCACATGCGTTTTCAGTCCTTAAACAATGTCTAAGTTCTTACATGCCATATCACCGGCTGCAATGCTTGGGGTGCGTGGCTTGACGTGATCACTGCTTGCTTGCGCTCCGTAACGCCTGCTGCCTAGTGCACATGCAGAGTGATGATGAGGGGTCAAGGCTTAGCGATGATGGTGTCAAGGATGATCTGCCTCAGGGCCCAGTCGACATCCGTGCCCTACTACGTAAAGGGCTGCAGGAGACCGAGACGACCGTCGCTGCGAAGGCAAAGCCGGACATGCGGGAACCTCACTCAGTTGACGGGTCGCCACCCCTAACGACGCGCCCCAGTCGGGACCTGAACGGGCTCGCGGATGACGACGCCGCCAGCGATGGGGGCCAGAGTGCCCTGTCTGCGCAGTCGGGTGAGTTTGAAACCCTAAGTAATTGATTGCGGTCGGTGTTATGCCTCTGTTGTTCGCCAATGGACTGCTGTTGCAACGCTCGCAGGCGCACCTATCCAAACCGGATTTATCGTTAGGACTGAAACTTGTTGCCTGTTAGTTACGTTTTTCCTTGCCATCGACGTCCTGTTTGTTTGCAGATGACGCCACTGATTATAAACGTGGCAAGCGCTATCGGAAGCTCGTCAAGCTCATGGACTCGGGCCAGGCACAGTTGGTGAGTAGTAGGACTTGCTGTGCGGAAGACATACCTGCCTGCCTGCCTGCCTGCCTGCCTGCCTGCCTGCCTGCCTGCCTGCCTGCCTGCCTGCCTGCCTGCCTGCCTGCCTGCCTGCCTGCCTGCCTGCCTGCCTGCCTGCCTGCCTGCCTGCCTGCCTGCCTGCCTGCCTGCCTGCCTACTGCCTGCCTGCCTGCCTACTGCCTGCCGAACTACCCTCCTGCCTGGTGCTGCAGGTCCAGCAGCGCTTCCGTACCAACGCGCTGACCACGGTCGCTATGTTAGCTGCTGTGCATATCGTCTGTTTTGCGCTCACCATCTACGCCATCGAGACCAAGCGGGGCAGCATGGTGGAGCTGGGCCGCACTGGCCAGGCGCAGCGGTACATGAACCAGGTACGCATGTGCTTTTGGGCGTCTGTATTGCATGCATGTGCATTTTTTTCATGTGTGAGTGTGTGTGTGTGTGCGTGTCCATGGTTGAGTACATTAATGGGAGGGTGACGGGTTGTGGGTGACAACTTGGATGACGTGTTATAGGTCACTGCTGCGTTCATCCGTACATACATACATGGAGCAGACATTCTTCACGTAAGCTAACGTAGGTAGGGTATGCTTGAACGGCTGCCAAAGTCGCGTATCATTGCTGCTTTCTATCTGGCAGCCGCCGGCAGCAGCAATTGGGTTTGCAATGTGGAGGAGTGGCGGAATAACCATCTAGTTTTAAGCCTATCTTTCATACCATGGGCGATCTACAGACCATTATATACCATGAATATATGCACGTATACGATCTACTTGTCGGTCCTATCTGTGCTCCTGTCTATAGACCATTACCGACTTGTACGACGTGCACGTCCTTATTTTCGGACAGATCATTACAGACGTCCGCTCGTTGGACAATATTGCCAAGAACAAGACGCTTCCAACCTTATATACACGGGATGACGCCAAGGCAAGTGCATGTGCAAGCACATGTGAAGTCAGGACCATACCGGCAATCCTGGGCGGGTGGGCCCCGTTTGGCTGCAGCAGGCGCGCGGATGGACTATCTAGCTACATGCAACCGATGACCTGGCTGGCGTCAGCACGGAAACACGGTGCACAATGCATCCCGCACGCTAACTTCATAGCGTGGATGTATTACTCGGCATGTTTTGCAACGGTGCAGTTACAACACACACACATACACACATACACACACACACACACACGTGTGTGCGTGAAACGCACGCACATGCCATGGCCAGTCGATTCCGGGTGATGGTGCGTAGGCTTGACCCATTGGAAAAGCGCTCACGCGTATGTGACTTTGTTGGCTAGCAAGTGCCTTTGGTGCTACGTGATAATCGGTCACTTCATAAACTTGGGTACTGTTAGAACCCAGCCCAGCCGAGCTCAATGTTTACGTAGTGCAAGACTGCAGTCGTGCACGCAGCAGTTTCGCCCTCTCCCCCCCTCAAGAGCGACTTACTTGTCTTTTAACCTGCTGCCTTTGCATTCCCGTGCAACATGCCTGTTTGCAGAACATCGTGGCACGCATCGCAAGAGGGGCAGATGAAATTCAAGTGAGGTGCCATGCATGCATATGCACGTGCAGCAGTAACGCAAGCAGGCAAAAGACCATGCATGTGCTGCTGCTTATGTTTACCTGTCCAATCATTAAGAGTCCCATGCATCATGTTGTCAGCAGCGATTACGTACACCGCACACGGCGGTGCGATCCCCTTTGTTAATGCAAGACAACTTCTCAGATGTCAAGTAGTAATAGTGGTGTGCATTTACATGTTAGTAGCGATCACTAGCACGCATGATGCATCCAGCTTGTAGGCTGCTCACAAATCTTATGCATAAGCTTTTTAAGGAAACGGTTTTCTTGAGTAGTTGCCTTACCGCTTAGGGGTCGTACAGACGGAGGGGTACCTGCAGGCAGGAAAGTTGTGCTTGCTTCCGTGGGGGGGGGCGAGCCTGGTTACCGAGCGACTCTGCTTCTGAACGCTGTAGATTAGGCAGAAGCCGCAGCGGAAACTTATCAGTACTGACGCTATGAACTCGCGAAATTACTCATTCCGTCGCACTCCTGCGACTTACTCTAGATCTGTACGGTCCAGCCGTACGCACCAACGACATTCAACCTAGTACGCTCTCGGCAAATACACAGAAAACAGGAAGCTGGCAAACTTTGATTCAACGTGGTCTGAAACAAAGTGCGCGTTTAGTTTTCCCTCCGTCCTAACTAGGTTATAGCTGGATTTACGAACTGAAGAGTATGGCATAGTAAGCATCCAAGTACCGTAGTGACAGGAAATGTTCGTGATTTTAATTTCGTGACGGCATCACGAAATTATGTCACATATAAATTACAAGCTGTTCCAGGCGATGGTCGTCACGAATATATGTGTGCTCCGAAGCCAAATCGTATAATGCCTTCAACACAGTAATTACTCGACAAATTCCACTTTTCTGGCCATATATACATCCATAGTAATTGAACGGACATGGATCCGAGGGCTAAGCGGCCTAAGCAACAAAGCCTCCTTCAATGCGGACTGAGGCGAACGGCCAGGCAGTTGAGGGCCCCCGCGCGCCTTGCCGACTACGCACACTAATCTGGAATCTGGTGTTTGCTGGTGTGCAGAATAACCGTGCATGCATTGGCCAGCTTTTGCGTCAATCGGCGTTCTGAGTCGGACCCATTAACGAATATTGCAGGCACCGTTGCTTCGGTTGCGTTGGCTTCTCACGAATTCAAAAGTTTCACCAATAATTTCGGGTGTAATTTTGAGGGTGTCTCGAACAATAAAATCACGAACATTTCCTGTCACTACGGTACATTGTTACAAACGCTGGCGAAGTTAACCAACATACATTATTACAAACGTGCATAAATGCATGCTCTTGCGGAAGCTTATCATCATGCGCCATGCACGGATATGCATATGCAGCTTTCTATATGGAGTAGCGAACTGGTATTTTGCGTGCGTGCGTATTGTATGTGCTGGTGCTTGTAGGCACGCATGAAGGATGTCCTTGACAAGCACCACTCGAGGATCTCCAAAGTCCATGAGGTGCTCTTCCATTCGAGACGCCGGGTACGTTGTGCATGCATGGCTGTAGCAGCCGGCATACCTAGCATCGATCGATTAATACGCGATGATGTAGGGCACTCCGCCCGCATCTATGCATGGCGGCCTTCCCAGCGGCCAGCTACGACAATGGCTAGTAGCTGGAATGGCGGGCACGTGCGATCAGCCCGCCCACTAGTAGTCACCGCCGACTTATAAGTCGGTATAATTCTATATACCCTGCTTTGACAATTATCAAGGATTGCTGGTACACGCCGTTGTGTTGCCCATGAACATACATGCTGCGCTTATTTATACACAGTTCCTGCCTGCAGCTGTGCTCTTACTATCGACCTTTCTATTGATCATTATCATGTGCTTTGCCTGTTACCGGTGCCATGGACTTCGTCGCTTGCCATCGTTCCCCCAGACAGATACAAATGTGTGATAGCGGCATGCATTTACATGACAGCCGTGCATCATACTGCACACACGTACACTGAATATGACACTCCCGGCGACAACATATAAATGTCTCCCCGTCTGCCGGGGTGCGTGCTTTCAGGCGTGGAAAGGCAACGATGTAGATGGGTCCGATGTTTATACCAATCTGACGATATGGGTGAGTCTGGGTTCGCCGGTTATAGGGCGATATCGCCACCTGTAGTATCGATACTACACGCACCCGCAGAAATAAGAATGTATGTAAACAGGCAGCAGGTAGGTGGGCTAGGGTGCCCGCATGCCTTGCATCGAAAATGCCACGACCATTTGTCACGCATCTTCACTATCGCGCCGATGCTCGAGTAGTGTGCATTGTTTGGTAGATGGTATCCATACGCGCATGCTCGTCCTGTAGGACTTTTCCACTCGGTTTATCGCCATGGCTAAGCAAGTCGAACAGCATGCGGACGTCTGGCTGGCGAATAACGTCAGCATAGCTGACACGGAAGCCGGCCAGTTCCTGATCAAGAGCGGCCCGGACTTTTGGAGCGCTTCTAGACAGGCAAGCACGCGGCCGTATTTATTACCTACCCCTGGCCACCCGTTACCCGTTGACGTGGCGGCTATTTCACTAGGGCGCCTGGCTACGGTAGCCCCGCACCCACATCACCCGGCACCTGGCACTTACACACCCGGCTGAGGACGCAATCCCACTCTACCAATATTGTTTGGGATCATCCATCGAACTAGACTTGGAACTTGTCTTACCTACCACCTGCTGTATGTTTTAGCGTGGCACTACTAGAAATAATTAGCGGACTGCGGCAGCAGCAGGAGCAAGATGACATGCACAAGGGACATGCGCAGCGTTAGACCAATGCCAGCCTGTAGTATCACAGTACTACACAGCCAAAGTCATCAATGCCAGCCAAAGCCATCAATGCCAGCCAAAGTCATCAATGCCAGCCAAAGTCACCAATGCCAGCCAAAGTCACCAATGCCAGCCAAGGTCACCAATGCCAGCCAAGGTCACCAATGCCAGCCAAAGTCACCAATGCCAGCCAAGGTCACCAATGCCAGCCAAGGTCACCAATGCCAGCCAAAGTCACCAATGCCAGCCAAAGTCACCAATGCCAGCCAAAGTCACCAATGCCAGCCAAAGTCTTCCTTAACTTATTGCCCTCTGTCTGCCTCAACGGGGCATGGTTCGTGCATGGCCCGTTCCCCTCTCGCTGATCGCTTGCGCGTGTGCTATTACTGCTGCCCAACAGGTCCTTGATTCTTTGCTCTACATGGCAGTGGGCGATGCCCGCTGGGTAAGTACTTGGTTTCTAACTAGGGTTGGCAAGAATACTATATTTGAAAACCCAAATAGCATAGTATAGTAAGAAATAGTACCATATATAGTAATGTAGTACTATGATACTATTACTAGGCAGGTGCACGCTCCCAGTAGAAGGGGGGTGTACGGTCAACCGTTGTACCTGAAAATTACACCGTTGGAAAGGTCTTCTTTTGTTCTTTCTAAATATCTACTTAGACATTAGAAAGCAGATCGCTGCGGTCATCCAGATCACTTATTGTTAGTTCAGTGCCCGGTGGGTGGACCCCAAACCCCATGCCCTATGGCATAAACATGCCGGTTACCGACCGTTTGGGGCCCATTAACCCAACCGGCCGGTTGAATGGCGTTAACGGCCCGGTTGGGTTAATGGTCGGTTGGGTTAATGGCCAGTTGGGTTAACGGTCGGTTGGGTTAATGGTCAGTTGGGTTAATGGTCGGACATATGTCTCAAGGCGTGTTATGGCACATAAAGACATAATCACAGATAGAAGACCCAGTGTTCACAAGACAACACACGGACGTCATACTAGTGAAGTTCCTGCACTACAACCTCCCGTACGGCCCAGTACGTAACCCTCCAATTTGGCAAACTGCAGCAGCTCAATCTATCATCGCTCAGTCATCAATCTGCATGTTAGGGATGTACGGCACACCCTCCGGGGTCAGCATCTGCAGCTGCGCGTTTCCCTGGGTGCCCTGCTGCTGCTACTGCTGCTGCTGTGCTTCCTGCTCCTGGGTTCGCGGCGCTGAGCGGCTCATCGCAGAACAAGCAGACTAGCTTTGGTAGACCACCCCACCACTCCACATCGAAGTTGTCCCAAAGACCAGCCGTCTTAGCGTTCTTCTTCTGGTTACGTAGCTTGTTGAACAGCTCATTCCGAGAGCGGAGAACGTCAGGGGGGACGTCTGGGCCAGGCTGCAAGGCTCTGATCGCCTTGTCATTCTTTATACTGGATTCCCTCGACATTATTCATCAAAACTACGTAGCACAGCTCGAAGACGCGGCTATGGCCCTTCAAAAACCAGCTTGACTGCAGATCTCGACTTGGTCCAACTAATACTTGACACTATCCAAACCCAAGTCTAGTGCTATCTAGTACTATTTTTACTATATTATTTTACTATGTACGCACGCGGTACGAGCGTCGTAAACTAGTGCCAGTTTAGAGCCCTGCATAGTATGTAGTACTATTTCTAGTACTATTCTAGTATAGTACACTTTTCTAGTATAGTACCCGTGCCAACCCTATTTCTGACGAAAATAGAGACGGTGGCTGCGCACGACTTGTGGGTGATATCTCTAAGGAATAACTGCAGTACTACAGTGCTGCATGGGCCGTCTGTAGACTTTTTTCTTTGTAGAAGCTTGTCAACCATTTAAGTGTACGTCGCTCGAGGGACTGCTCCCGTACGTATGATATGCTTGCTGTGCGTGGGCTGCTTGTTGCAGGTGGAGGATTTACAGCTTGCTATCCTAACAACGGAGGGATTCGGCATCACCTCCTTCGCTGCATGGTGCGTGAGGTTTTTTACTGGACCTTGTTTGCTCCGTCAACTCGTACAATGGTAAAATATTTAGTAACGTTGTAGTACGGTCCGTTTTGCTACTTATTAGGTAGGCTATGGGTGAGCTAGGTATATAGGTAAGTAAAACCTTATGATCGTCAATCGTTTGCACCCTGGTACATAAGATAAGGATAGTACTCCTTTTCTGTCGTACGGAGGGTGCGATCTATAGACAACCAGAATCGTGCAGTCGTCTACGCACTTCCTTGCATGCATGTCTTGCGCGGACTGAATGTGCATAGAATGGCATAGATGCGCGCCTCTCTTGTTGCTGGCAGCCGAAGAGATACAGGGAATGCGCTTTTGTGCGTATGCAATATATATATCTATGTTACACCTTTATTACCTTCGTTACTCCCCGTATTTCACTAATACTCACCCGTATTTCTTAGTGTGTCGTACTGTACGACAGCTATTTCAGCCTTGCAGCTGCTGTAATCCTTGCAAAGCAGGCTACTATGCATATGTTTACGGGTCCTCCAAAACGGAAGCTGAAACAAGTGATGTTATACGCTTGCCTTGTTGTACGACGTGCAGCAGCACCACCACCACCACCGGCGGCGGCGGGGTTATCATTAGTTCCACATAGGCCCTGCCTTTACCTGCCTTGCTGGATGACATCTACCTATCCCTTACAATCTATTTTGTCCTTGATTGCATGCAACATTGCAGTTACCTAGCTTACATTATCCGCGCCTTGGTCGCGCAAAGGTATAAGCTTTATAACACCTTCATGGTCATTCCGGCGGTGAGTAGTGCTAAGGTAAAGCTAAGTAAGAAGTAAAAGGAATTTTTGGGCGAGGCCCCAGGGAGCCCCCGGGATGACGCCGCTAGAAGGGTATCACATGCAAACAGTTATAAATATTGTGCTCATGCGTGGCCGTGGCGGGAATGGGCCGCGTTATTATGGGAACCACCGTGACATGCGCACCAGGGACCAAAGAGATACTCATTTGATAGCTCTTAAGCACCGAGAACCCGCTAATGATGTTCTCTGAGATACCTCATCTGGAGCTTGCTGCTGATGGGGAGTCCTGCTAAGGGGGCAGGGTTAAGGTGTTTGGGGTAAATAGGGTGTTCGGGGCCCAGAGGGGCACGTCCTTCCTTCCTGCACATGCTGCTACCTCCACCCACCCATGCACCGTCTTCGTGCTGTATGTGGACAGCCGTAATGATAAGTCACGTTTGCGTCGAATATACACCTGATGCATTTAAGCCTGGTCACTAATTTAAATAATACAGGTATATTTGTTTCTATGTAACTGCGTGATCCATATAGGTATGTATAAGCTTACATCTCGATTTATTGCTGCGTTCTGTGTATATGATGAAATACATCGCTGCTGATCGGTGTGCACGCACACATGCATGGATGCATGCAGGGCCTTGCACGCACTCTGGCGTCGCAAAATACTTCGCTTGACGTGGACGTAAGTGCAGAGCTCCGCCGCTAGTTAATAACTAGCAAACACGCACCCATGCATTCAGCGTGCTTGTTGGGTGGAGCACAGACGGAAGGCATAAGCTGGACATACATCATTCGGTTGTGTCGTTGATGATACATGCCGGGTCGTTATTACGTACACGCAAGCGTCGTGGTGCGTGTAACCATGTGGTCAGTGGTAGGCAAACACTGTTAATGCTGTTAGTGCCGTTGCGCACGGTGGTGCCGCGGCTGTGCACGGCTAGATGTACTAGCAGAGGTAATGACATGCATCCGGAGCACCTTAACAGTTATGATGCAACTAACCGGAGTTTCCTTCATCTATCATGGATTGATCCTTCCGATGGCACGCGCGAGGCCGTGGCTATACGGATAGTACGGCACACACATCGTCTACAAATACGCGCCAATACCGCTTCTCCAGCATCTATCTATAGAGGCCTTTTCGTCAGCGGCCAGCAACTACAGCATGTCGATTTATGGTGCCCACCGACCGCTTGTATGTATTGTACACGGTCGTTCCCAAAGACACGATATACGATGACCCTGTCTACAGACCATAAGAAAAGTTACATACATACGCAAAGACACCACCTGCCACATTCGCACTTTCAGGGCGACGATGACGAAGATGAAGATGATGAGGATGACAAACCTTCCATAACTGGAGGCCAGCAGGAGGAGTTAGGGAGCGATGGGGGCGGGTCAGGAGAGGGCTTGCCCGCGGCAGCAGTGAAGCACAAACGCCGCGCTACACTCAACGTGGAGCGGAACTTAGACGCTACGGGTGGCGGCAGCGGTGGCCGCAGCGGTGCCTCCACGTCAGCGCGCGGCGGCGGCAGATCGTTATCCGCTGGCAGTGAGGATGAGGTGGTGCGCATCAGCGGTGGGCATGACAAGAGCTCCCTCAGGCAAAGACAACAGGCGGAGTCGCTGCTGCTATCTAACGTCAGCTCAGTCGCTGCTGCTGGCGGCAGTGGCGGTTACTTGGGGCAGTTGATGCGCCGAGTGCGCGGCACGTTTTTCCGGTGCGTCCACGTGTGTGGCCTAGCTTTGCCTGGATTCCTGCTTGCTTGCCTAGTTGGGGAGGATGATGCATAAGGACGACGCGTACAGTTATGAAGCGTCAGGGAGGCCGAGGCCGGAGGGAATAAGGCGGCATTCTTCCGTACCGGAATAGATATGCGACTTCTAGGGCCTTTCTACCGCACAATCTGATGTGTGCTGGCATTGTTGCTTTGCTTATGATGAGCCTTTTCCGACGACTAATAAGGCATCATGAAGCTAGGGAGGCTGGGCGGAAACAAGAATGCAGTGTCAGCGTCATCAGCGCCGGCATCGTACGTCCATTATCATGATGACCTGCTCGATTCCCACGTACTACAATCGTAACTTCTTTAGCTTTAGCTGCAGTCATCATCACCTGCTGCTGGTATTGCTGGCTCCGTTCCGCTTCCCCCAGACGTGGCTCGGTGGCGCCCCATCCACTTTTGGCCGACAACGCCTGGGGCACGGCCTCAAAACGGAAGCTGAAGTACGACTCGCATGAGACTCTGATGGTCGTCACGCCGTTCGCCATGTGGGCGTTGCTGGTAGGCTGTTGATTGACCATGCATGAATGGATTGTGTTCGTTTGACATCTAGTTTTTATCTGTCGTCGTGTGCTAAAAACAGCGCAGCCGCCGGAAGTGAAAAAAGTACCATTGACTGCAGCACGTGATTCACAATGCTTTTGTCGTCAGCTGTTAATACATGTAAGGTAATTATAAGCAAGCGAAAGTCTCGCACGCTCACTACGGACGGTGCAATGCATCGATCGGACTGGCATGGTGGCATCTGTATCAACGTTTGCATGGGGCGCATGGGCGCCTGCTGACGAGGCGAATAAAAAAATGGAGGCAGCAGTACCTAGGCCTTGTAGCCTTCGTTCTCCGTACTGTGCGCTATACCTAATAAGCAATAGCGCTGTGGACAAACGTGTGCAGGTTATTGTGATATACGCTGTGGCTGTATCAAGGATTAAGGTACGTCCGCACTTATGCTGTGCAGCCGTATGTCTATGTAGGCTGAACGTACATGCATACATACGTACATGCATGCGAGTGCACCGGGAGTGCACACATTATATACCATGAATCCGTACTCGACCTATTTCTCGGTCCTATCTATCATACGATGATCCTGTCTATAGACCATGTAGACCTTATAATCGTCCCTAGCATGCATCTGACTTGCTGTAGTAGCCGGTACACTGTACGGCACACATAACCTCTACAAATGCGCGCTAAGCGCGACCGCCAGCATCTCGAGAGGCCTTTTCAGCGGCCAGCTACTACACTTGCGGTCATAGGCGATTTGTTGTATACATCCTGGACATGGAGATCCCTCGATATGCGCATGTCACGGGATCTGCATCCGCAGTTCGGTGTTTTTCTGTAGCAGTCGTAGTCGTGATATAACACAATTGCACGCTGTGGAATGCGTGCTGACCCCCCCCGCCACCCGTGGCGAACTGCTCTTCCTTTGCTGTGCCACACCGTTACACCAGGGCATTGTGGAAGTGGTTGCCATACACTCCGTGTCCAACTTTGCCGCGGCCAGGACTTACCGAGCGGTCGGTGCGGGTGGAGTATGGGTGGAAAGACGAATGACGCAATTGGGATAGATGTGGTTGCGTCCAGTGTGGAACATGATAGCTAATAATTATAAAGGTTTCATCAACTGCACAGGGCAACTAGCATTGGCATGCGGCATTTAGGGTTGCGGCAGGCCCGCACTCCGCCATCCTTAGGCATCCTGTATACTAAACAACAAACAAAATGGTTCCTACTTTTGTCGGGAAGGGACCCAGCAGCAGCAGCAGGAAACACAGGTTGAGGTCGTGATAACCAACAGCGGGTACAAGGTCTGCTTTGTTTCCATGTGGTGAATATATTTTGCTAGCTGGGGTCGTACTGATGCCGTACGTTCTGCGGGGTCTGGCCGCTTTTTGGAAATTACATTAGCCGAAAGGCCGGACGTGGCACGGCATGCCATCAGGTGATGACGGACCTCCATAGAAAAAAGTCATCACCTGATGTATGCGCAACGACTCCCTTTGCTACTGCTGGTACTACTGCTGCTGCCGCTTACCATTGAGTCCGGTTCGCACCGCCGCCCTTCCTGCCTTAACCCGCTGCGCGTTGCTGAATGTGCATGTGCGTGTCTGGCCTTCCTTCCCTTCCCTTCCCTTCCCTTGCCTTGCCTTGCCTTGCCTTCCCTTGCCTTCCCTTGCCTTCCCTTGCCTTGGCCGTAGGTTTTTTACAGCCAGGTGCGTCCGAACATGCGTAGGGTGGATGACATGCACATGAACGCGATCATGCGTGCTAAGCATTAATGTTTTCCAGATTAGCTGAAGAGCCAGGAGGGAACATAGACCCTTAGTAAAAGGTTTGTTCAGCTGGCGTTAAGTAGAAGATGCATGCATGCCTGTAAGGACGAGGAGTGCATAATAGCAGCCAACACATCATGTCGTACATGCACGTGTTTCCTTCCCCCCCTGCTGTCTCTCCTTTATGACACAACTGCTGCTACAACTGCTGCTGTTTACAAGAAGCAGAGGAGCAAAGCGAACAAACGAGCTGCTTCCCTACTTACCTGCCAACTGCCCTACAAGTCACAAGCTATATGATAGTTTTTTAATCAAACGGAAGCCTGCTGCTAGTGAAGCGAGGCATGTACGTGTACATGCATGCATGCGCCAACGGTGCGTGTTCGCCCGCTGCAGGAACTAGTCTCCATTGACGATCCGGCGCTCCTCAAGGCGCGTCGTGCTGCAGTGGCGAATGTCTTGAAGCTTGTGCGGGATGCCTGGTACACCCTGCAGCTGGGAGAGCGCGCCTTCAAGTCGATAGGTGCGGGTGAAAAACGGAACCAGGAGCGATGCGGCCGCAACAGGCCCAATAAATAATACAGCGCCTATTTCCGCTCGTAGCTCTCGGCATCTGTTAACTGGTGCACATATATCTATATCTGTCTTTGGCCAGCAGGGCGCGCAACCTCACCAAACGAATGGATAGCTAGCGTTCGCTATCCATGTGTATGTATGTGTGTATGTATGTGTTATATCACGACTACAACTGCTACAAAAAAGTACCGATCGGCGGATATGCAGATCCCGTGATATTCCCAGGATGTATACAACAGCATATGTGTTACACACCTTCTGGAGTTGCGTCACTCCTTTTAAAGGTGTAACCCGGGGGCCCGGACCTGGAGCCCTGAAGGGGCCCCCCAGGGGCCAGACAAGGGATGTCCAAGATGGTCCGGGTGTCCGGTCACCCTCATAGAATTTTCCATTACAATACCCCACATTGATATCGTGTCGAGGGGCGGGACTTGCAACGCCTGAGTACGTAATTCCAGGGTCACAAGTACATGTGATGCCTTGGTATGGTGATGCACACGTACACAGGTGCCTATAGGCACGTAGCTAGCTAGCTAGCTAGCTAGCTAGCTAGCTAGCTACGTGCGGGGCAGTAGCGTAGTGGCTTGCTTAGCTCGCCGCCTTGCTTGCTGTGCTCTAGCTAAGTCCCGCCGCCGCTGATGCACATGCGCAGGAGACGACGCGGAGCGCTTTCCCTTGGTGAAGGAGGGGATGGCGTATGCGTCCCAAGAACTTGCGGACCTTTTCTACAAAGGTGGTCCGTGTCACCAGGTATGCAATCATCCATTAGCCGGTCTTGCTGGTCATGTCGCTTCTGCAATAAGCAAATGCTTTTGGAAGGAAGAGGACATGAAGTGCAAACTGGTGATCGGTAAGCCTAACGTCTCTATCCGTACGAACTAAATCCGGCAACATGAGGAGCCCACTGCCTTCTCATTTTGTGCATTTGTAATGCTTGTAATCCGTGATTACCTGCTGGTGGCCTGGTCCAACAACTTTGATTGAATGCTGAATGATTGAATGCCTTTGTCGCGACCCTCACCACCAAACACGGTGTTTGCTGGTGAGCACGCAGCTCCGCCGTCTTAGCCGCCCGGTGATTACTATTTCCAAAACAAACAGGGCGTTAGTTATGCACGCACATGCACGCACGAATGCGAAAGCTGTCATATTGTGCACACGCGCACATATACGCCGCACCATCACATAATGCAGGCGGCATGTCCAGGGCCAAGTTATCGATTCTACGAAATCACTCGGACAAGCCTGGACAGCATGATGCAACAGTACTTGATGCGTCTCGATGCGTTGGCGTACGACAGGAGCCCCAACCCTCCCGGACTATCCAACTGTAAGTTCTTAGAAAGGCGCGCGCATGTAGTCATACAGGGGAGTGCATCCCCCAGGAGCAGTATCCAAACGTGCTCCTGTTCAGCGTCTGTTGTAAAATGTTATATCGTCTGCGAAGTGTGTCCTAGTGTAATGGATAGGGACGGTCCCCATCTAACACACCAGGGCGCGATCTATGAACAATGAAATATTTCACAGCAGGCGAGCGCGGGGCCCCATATGGATGCATCCATCCAGGCATCCCCCCCGAAGGCTCTTAAGGTGACCCTACATGCGGCAACCCGTTGCACGGCAGGATCGTGACAGGGGTGCGTGCATGACCGTGGCAATTGCTCTGCGATCCAACTGCATGCATGCATGCATGCATGCATGCATGCATGCATGCATTGTCTCTATTTCGCCAGCAGCTATATTGTTCGTTACAAAAATATATCTGTGCCCTGCATGCTTGCTCATGCGTGATTTGGGGTATGTACATCTGTCGTATCAAATGTAGCCAGCCATGCATGAATAGAGGGGAATCATGATTTCTTTATTTGCTTGCATGGTAACGGGCAGCAAGGGCTTGATAATTTTTTAACAGGCGGTTCCGGCCCTGGCGCGCAGCACAGTGCATCCCAATAACTGGCGCTTCATGCAATTTAGCAGTATTCTGGAACGAAACCCTAGGTGCGCAGTAATAGCGTAGGATACCCCCCTGCACAAGGAACCTAACCTTTAAACTGCAATTTGCGTGTTCGCTTGCCCGAATGCCCACACAACCGGTTCGATTATTTGCAGCTGACTTCGACCTAATTTACAACATCGGCACAAAGGTACGCGCGCGCGTGTGTGTATATGTGCGTGTGTATGTGTGTGTGCGTGTGTGTGTGTGTGTGTTTGTGTGCGTGTGTGTGCGCGTGTGTGTGCGCGCATGTGTGTGTTTGTGTGCGTGTGTGTGCTTGCGACGTTCGTATCGTGCAGATGTGCACTGCTGCCGCACTTGCAATAAATCCCCCCTGATGATTGCCGTTGCCAACGAACAAACAAATCCTGCACACATGCACGTGCACGTTACAGGACTTGTTGAATGGCGCCGTTGCGATCCAACTAACCCACCTCGACATCATCTTGAACCGCTTCAGAGGTCAGTAGTCGCCAAATACGCATATTCAATAATGTGACGCTCATTGAGGAGCGGCGGTGGCGGCGGCGGCGGCGGAAGGGGAAGGGGCCGCTTCTGTATTATGGGTGCATCGGTGGGGTGACCCATCGGTGGGGTGACCCATCGGTGGGGTGACCCATTGGTGGGGTGACCCATCGGTATGGTAAAGGCCTCGGTAACTCCTCCTCGGTAACCCCACCCAGCGAGGCCCCACTCTACCGACCGGTTGGGCCGGAGGGTACCGATCGGTGACCGACCGGCCGAATGTGTATCCGCCGTGGGGACTTTGCGCGATCACTTGCGCATCACGTTCTCTGCACCCAGCCGCCGGGTGCACGCACGTAAATAGTTATGCCGCGTCGCATTATTAACTGCCCGCCGGCGGCTAGCTAGCTAGCTATAGGTGGATCAGCTAATGAGGAAAACTATGCCTGGTATATGTGCAGCAGATTCTTGGTGCGACAGCCGAGCAAGCACCTGCTAGATACGCCGTTGCACCCGACTGATGAGGAGCTTCTTAAGTACCGCAGTACGAAGGCCGCTTGCCGTGCGTGGCTGTGGGTGACTGCGGATGCAGGTGTGTTTATCCTTCATGTGGTCCTCTTCATCCTTCTGTGGGTGATCTTCGGCGGCTTCATGGTGCTGATGCTCTTCCCGCTCTTGAGGCGGATATCGCGCGAGGTCGGTGCGGCGTGTGCTTGCAGCAGTCAGCGCTAGACAGTGCTCTCCGCTGGCGTCCGTCGCTCGATGCGATGCTTGGGTGTGCCAGCTATGCTATATAGGCCAATACATGCATCATATTCATACATGGACACATACCTGTAGAGAGTAAGCTATCCATTTTGTTCGTTTCGTTTGCTTATCAGCAAGCAGGGGAATTATGTCGTTCGCTCGTCCTGGAAGTTGAGGCAGTTGTGGTAGTTAACCTGTAATGCAGCAGTCCTGGTGTCAACAGAAACAGCGTGTGTGCCGCGAAGACACATACTTGCTTTGGGCGAGGAATTCGAGGTCAGGTACTACTGGTTAAGCACACACCAATGCCCCCGGAGGTTCCGGGATCGAGACCTGTCATTGTCGAAAAATCCTTCCGATGGTGGAAGGTAAAAGTGACCCTAGTCGATGGACGGTGGTAACTTGGGATAAAGTGGATCTGCGAGCTGACCAGGAATAGAGTTAAGCCGCCGTTGATCCGGCAGATTCCGTTTGGATGCTGGTGGTGGGTGCGGAACCTGAGCGATCCACTGAAGAATTGGCTAGGGTGACTGGATGAGGGTGCACCGAACTTGTCACTACACTTGCCAATCCCATGCATGCGCGCATACAGAGACGCCGGGTCGCTGAGCTCCTCAGCCAGCTGCCCCTGGAGCTTGATGTGGAGAAGCTGGTGGCAAGGGCGCTAAGTGCCACCGCTGGCGCCAGCGGCGGCGGTCCTGGTTCCTTCAAGGGCGCGTCCCTGGGTGCCAGTGGCAGCGGCGGGTCTGGCGGCGGCGGCGGCGGCGGCCTGTTTGGGGCCATCTCAAGTTTGCGCTCGGCCGAGCCAGCAGCAGCAGCAGCAGCAGCTGGTAAGGGGGGATTTGGGAATATAGTTGGGGCTGACTAGGCAGGCAGGCAGGCAGGCAAGCAGGCAGCAAGTATGCGTTCCTCGGTTATCGACTACATCAGTAAATTTTTAACCACCTTTAATGTCGTATTCTGGGCATATCACGGGATCTGCAACTGCCGATCGGTATTTTTTCTGTAGCAGTTGTAGTCGTGATATCACATATAGGCGACATCCCCGTGTAGGGTTAGGGAGATAGGGACCGCGCATTACGCGAGGGTGTCGCCTATAGGTGGTCCAAACCTTTACTGACGTATCAGCCAGTGGTGGTGTCAGGGCGGATGCACGCACGCAGACGTGTTGATTCTGCGTCACCTTCCCCGACACGTCCGGCTGCATTGCGGCACCCCGGCATTGCTTCCCTCCCATGTATGACTTCATTGTGTGCTGCGCTGTCTCTCTCTCTCACACACACACACACACACACACACACACACACACACACACACACGCACACACACACACACACACACACACACACACACACACACACAGAGAGACACACACGTAGACAGACAGGCACACACGGACACACGGACACACGGACACACACACTCACACACGCGCACATACTCACACAGAGAGACACACACACAAAGACAGACACACACAGACAGACAGACAGACAGACAGACAGGCACGCACACACAGACAGACAGACAGACACGCACACACACAGACAGGCACGCACGCACAGACAGACAGACAGACACACACAGACACACAGACACACACACACGCACGCACACACACACACGCACACACACACGCACGCACACACACGCACACACACACACAGAGAGAGAGACACACACACACAAAGACAGACACACACACAGACACACAGACAGACACACACGCACGCACGCACGCACACGCGTACACGCGTACACGCGCACACGTAGTAATAGAATGAGGACGATCCGCGCTGTTCGCAGGGTCGCCCGGAAACATGGTCGAGACGGACAACGCGAGCAAGTGGAAGGCAATTATCAAGTACGTACGTGCGTACGCAACACAAAGGAGGAGAGAGTATATGTGATTGTGCATGGCCCGCATCGGCGCCATCTGCATGCTACGATGGAAGATAAAGCAGCTAGGCATGCAAAGTATGGGGCCTGTGGGCAAGGCATGGGTTGACCTTTGCCACCATCGACATTTTTGTGTTCATGCATGCATGCCTGGGTTGCTGTCTTGTTGCACCTGTATCATAAGGTGCTGATATTGTTAATCGACGCAAATTTCGGTCACGGTTATTATGTATGCTCGACGCCTGATGGCGGCTTGACAGCACTGCTGCAAAGCATCGACTACAGACTACTGTCGTAGCTGGCCGCAAAAAACGTTACTACTATAAGATGCTGGTAATAAAGCAGCTTTAGCATGTACTTCAAATACGTGTGTGCCGTACTTAACAACAGCTACTACACGTCGTGTCCATTGCTGGTCCGTCGTGATTACACTTAAACCGCCTCCTCGGCAACGAGGCCACCAGCAGCAAACCCAATTAAACCTCTTCCAGTTCGCAGACAAAACCGTTGAAACCGCCACTCACGGACCTGCGGGGCCGGGCGAGTGGGTGGATAGACGGTACCGGCAGTTGACACGAACCCACCATCAGGGGACATCAGGGGACATCAGGGGTCCTGTTTATTAGCGCCCGCCCGCCCGGTCTTCCGCACGAAGATCGCCCAAATAAAACACATAATTTGGTCCCATGCACGCACTCCTCTCCTACAGGTCCGCCAGCCATCAGGCGAGGGCCCTATCAAATGGCAAGCGGGCCAGCGGCAGCGGCATAGCTAGCAAAGGCGGCGCAGCCGGCAAAGCATCAACCCACGAAGGCGGGGCCGCCGCCACCGCCGCCGCGTGGTAGCATCCACGCAGTAGCAGGTGTACTATCTAGTCCGTGTATAGCGGTAACTGCTAATAACAGCAATCCTGCGGGGAACCGCTATTGTCTGCTTTGTCTACTGCCTATTTGCATGATGTAGTGCTCAATGCGATGTGTACGTATTGTAGGTCGGGTTCATGCATAAGTGGGTGCATCAGTGCATAAATTTACACCTCCGTCGGGGGAGGAGCATTGAACACAGCCAGCAGGAAACGTGCGCACGCACGGTGGAATCGCCTCACAATATGTACATACATATCGAAGGGAACCTTACATACGCGCGTGTGTGTGTGTGTGTTCGAACTCCTGTACTCTACTCCTGTAGAAAGCAGTAGTAGGGTGGCCTCTCCATTTTTCATAGAAACGCCTGATCTGTTAATGCTTCCCGCCTTACTTTCGTCGTGGAGTGTGCATAATTATCCAAGCTATAAGGGGGCATCAGCAGGCATGGCTTGTGGACATGCGTACATACATACGCACATCGGGCCCACAACGGTCAGTGAGCACGGGGACGTGCTATACACGCATGCATGCATGCATGTTTTAGTCGGCCGTGCATGCATGGCGCATTGCGTCCAGCCCGATTCTAAGGTTCAGAGTTTTTCATGTTGATCAACAGCTGCCCGTGCACAGAATGGTTACGCTTGTAGAGATGCATGGCTGTAGAAGGTTGAACGTTGGAGAAGATTAAACGTGCTACACGTCGAGTGATGAGCAATGTTGAAGCGATGAAGCGGGTGATGAGGGATATCCTGCTTTTTAGTAAACAGGAAGCACATAGCCATGCATGTCAGGTGTTTAAAGTAGTCAGGTTAGGAAGCCTTGGGATCCGTTCTTAGGAACAACGGCAGGTATATCTCCGTTCCCCGTTCTGGCTGCTGTTGGCAGCATACTAGTACTTGGCGTTATTTTACTAATGATGAAGTGCATACGGATGCCTGGCTACTGGCTGCTGCCTCCGATGCCCCCGTCCATATGATGGGGGGCCACCTCCCATTTCAACACTCCTCAAACACCCGAGGAGCCGGCAGGCGCATTTGAACCCGGGTCGGCCGGGAGCAGAAGTCAGGCCTTAACCTCTGCCAGCCGCCTGCCATATGCCGCCTGTATGTGTGTATGTATGTTTATGTATGTATGTGTATAACGTAGTTGTTATCACGTCGGTGCCCATAACGGTCAACAGCAGCCACGTATGCGTACTTGTATATATGTATGTGCACGTAAATACATACCAATTGCAATCAATGATAGGGGTAGTGTTTCTACGGGCATTGTTTCCGCCACTTCTTCCGGCTAGCCTGATCAGGCATCATTGCGGCTTTCATTAATCCGGTTTGGTTCGGTTCGGTTCGAATTCGCTATGTAATTCGCTTGTGACTACATAATTACGAACGTACTGCTGCGCATGACATGCATGTCTTCGGGGAACTCCCACGGTACATACAATCTGTACGTATACGTAGATGCTATATATGCCTCCGTGCTTTCTACCTCGACCGGTGTAGATATACGATCACCTCCATTATGTGTGTTAACGCACATATATACGTGTGCTTATCATCCTCATCTATCCGCGCAACTGATTTGGTACGTATATATACGTACCGAACCATATCAGTGATGAATTCCCAAGTCTTTTTTTGCGGTGCGCGGCACAAGTTTATAACTTTGAAGTTTGCGGAGTCTATATGTATTACGAGATACGTTTTGTTCGATAGGTAAGTCCTGCCTGCCAGTATGCATGCATGCGATGCCTGGAGATGGGGCCGCGGGCCGAGAATGAAGGATGCATCAGAGCGAGGGTCATCCTGACCGATTATTCCGTCGTGAGTGCATGTGTGCGTGAAGGCATGGATGCTAATGCATACCTACAAGTTGTGCAAGATCCATTTCCCGCAGGCATCATCATCATCATCATCATCATCATTATCATCATCGTCTGTGCATGTCCACGGCTGCGGCTGCGGCTGCGGCTGCGGCTGCGGCTGCTGACGATGCGGCTGCTCGCACGCACCATGCAGCTTGCATGCATGCAGGTTGATTGATCATGCCCATCATCTCTACTGTAGCTGCGTGCTTCAGCCGGAAACGCACGAACACTTGGATGCACGTGCACGTTGTATGTTCGATTGTATGCATGTGAGTATGCAAATGATGGCGGCAGTGCATGGTGTGCCTAGCTATCTGTAACACAGCAAAGGCGTAACCCGGGATGCTCAGATTGGCATTTGCGTCGTTACATTGCCCCCCACTTAGCAATGGACGTCCTCGGCCATTATTTCGAGCACAGGAGCCATCCCACCTCGCGCCAGTGCGCTGGTTTATCCATTACACCATGAAATCGCCAATTTGCGACTTGCTGGTTGCCAGAATCGAACCGCCGACCCGAAGTTTATTTCGGAATTCGTGCGGTCCCGTCTCGATACCATTGTAACACAGCAAAGGCGTAACCCGGGATGCTCAGATTGGCATTTGCGTCGTTACACTATCTGTTCAAGGTGACGGAGGAAGATGATGCCGTACGACGATGCCGTACGGGGATTTATTAAGTTTTATTGCAAATGGACGGTATGGTTCCGACAATCCAAGGAAGAATGCACGCAATGAATGTGCTACTACTTTTATTGTCAAAGGTGCTTAGTTGATATGAGTTGCCTGTATGTCTGTAACCGACAGATCCGGACACGGTCCACACGCACACTCATCATCGTGATTATTGATGGACACTTGCGCCCTCGATCTGCGCACAGTAACTGGATGGGATGAATAATAATCGCAACCAGAGTGGTAAGTGCGTATCCTACGTTTCGGCCTCGTGATGCTGGCTGCAGCTGTGATCGGCCGCAGAATCACAGAGAGGGATCCTATTACTAATCGATATAATAGTCATGTATGTATGATATGTGGGACAGGGGGGTAATATCTTCGCCCGTGGCCGCTACCTGGCGAAACCTTGGTACTATTGGCACCCTCATCCAGTCACCCTAGCCGCCTTCTTAGTGGATCGCTCAGGTTCAGCACCCACCACCGGCATCCGCCGCTGCATATCCATGAGATGCGGTGTATGCGACTGAGTACATACCTAAATCGTATTCACACATGCATACATAGTCTGTGCATGATAGATGCTTGTCATTGCCTGTATGGGCCGCATTTCGAACTCAGCAGCAGCAGCAGCAGCAGCAGCAGCGGCGGCGGGTTGAATGCATGGAACAATTGTGTCGTGACACCGGCCTCAGCCGTCCGCCGCCAGTGGAGGCGAACACTAGACAGATGGCATACGACGGCGCAGACTGACTTCTTGTATGTATGCAACTAAGCATGCCTGTAAGTAATAATAGCATTCGGCTCGCTGGTGCATGTTAAGTTGAATGGTCACGTAACGCATTAGTTGTTTTTGTTACAGAGTTGGAGGCTTCTGGGCCATTGGCACACATATGCAACGTAACGCATTTATAAACCAAACACCTCCCTGCCTAGCATATCTACCCAGCAGGTACCGATCGCACATTAGCGCAGTAGTACATGCACGTTTGTGTGGGTCCGTCCGTACATGCCATGCTGGCCTCAGCTAACCTTACGACATGCATTCCTTGCACAGCGGCCCAAACCAATGCCGCCGTCATCGACCCAGCTCCTCCTGTACCATGCAGCTGCGGCAGTTCTGTGTTGGCTTTGTGCTGGAACCGTAGAGCACGAGAATATTGTACTCTGTTGGTTGGGCTCCCCTCGCTAGGATACAATAAAAAAGAGTAAAGGTGTCAGTTCTTATTAGTAGTAGGATGCGGTGGGATGCAGAACTAACGTCACGAGCGCAACCTGCCTCGCCCGTGCGGCCCATGCATGTCGCATGACCTGGCCCTTCAGCACCAACCAAGCGGTGTCCGCATGTGGTGTCCGTATGTCTGTCACGGCATGCATCTATCAGCGACCTCCGGCAGCACCAGCAGAGCCCCACCGCTGCTGATGCTCTATGCTTTGTTGCTGCTGGGCTGCACCAATCGCCGCGCCCAGCTGCTCAGCCATGTCGTCTGCTTGCCGGCGCAGTTCGACCGCCACGCCAGGAGGCAACTTCGCCTCCAGGCGCCGGATCGCGACATCTACACCGGCGTTCGACAGCTGCGCCGCGCCATCGTACCATGCCTTGCTGGCATTCATCATGAAGGCATTTAACGGCGAGCCCGCGTTGACCAGCCGTACAATGACCTGGCATGCATGCAGTAAAAAGGCAGATCTGCGTAAAACAGATACCGAATATGTAGAGGTAGTATTGACCTTTCAGGAGCAGTGAACTAGATTGTAGGTTGTGGTGTCCTACCGATGTACAAATGTATGTAAGTCCACGTACCCGCAGTACGGCCTCGACACGCAGCGCCGCGGCCTGGGACAGGAGCTGTGCCGCAAGTACGGAATGCTGTGCGCTGGTGTTGGTGATGTGCCTTGCAGCTGCAGCCACGTCCGGGTCCGTAAGCACCTTCGCGCCGGGCAGCAGCTTCGCTCCACCTCTGCCTAGGAGCATCAGTGAGGGAGGCCACAAGTCGTCTGGCCCCGCACCACCCGGCCCTAGGAGCTGCTGCAGTCGGCCGCGAGGCAGGATGCCGCCCGCCGGCTGCAACCTCCCCCCTTGTGTGGCGCCATCATCCTCAGCAGCGGCACCAGCAGTAGCGTCTCTGAACTGCTCGCTTCCTACGAAGATGGGGTAGACGGGAGCTGGTTCCTCCCTTTGGCCGCCCCCCTCCTCTGCTCCCGCTGCTGCTGCTGGGCCCGGCGATAAGGACTGAGCCGCGTCCGACTGGGGCAGCGGCCGCTGAGCTGGCTGCTGCGTGATTGGCTGGTACGTGCTTGAAGGTGGCCGCTGATGATTGCGCTGTTGGTTCTGTTGTTGTTGTTGTACACGTACAGGACTGCCGTCATCGCCTTCGTCGCCGGAAGTAGCTTTGGCTTTAGAGTCCGATGTAACAGGCTGCTGCACAGTAGGTTGCTGTTCCTGGCTTCCGCCGCCGGGAATGCGACCCCTGGGTCGTTCCGGCGCTCGGCTGCTGGAGGGGGCCATGCCATCACCATCAACACCGCCGTCGTTTACATCCCCCTCACCATCGGGCCCATGGGTCCCATCGTAGTAGTCGCTGTAGCCATAGCCGTTATCCATGTAATCGCTGCGGTAGGCGGGACCAGCACGCTTTAGGAAGGCTTGGTATTCGTCCAGCGTCTGGAAGGGTGTATGGGTACCGGTAGGGTACGACAGGGGTCGGCGGAGTGGCCGGGTTGCTGCCATGCCAAGGTTTACGGATCCTCGAGATGTTCATGCATCTCGAGTTGCACGGCCACGGACGATAGGTGTAACCAGCTCGCACGAGCACGTGCACGAGCCTGGGCCCCCAGCCACTAACAGGCTAACGAGGACTCCAAAAGGGAAACGGAACGTGAAATCTGCACCACAATCTAGTAATCTCACGCAAGCACTGCTAAATCGGCATACTACATACGTACGTGCCTTTGTAAACCGATGTTCGACAGCGCTCACATCAACCCGTACTCTATCTCTCCCACACTCGCGCAAAGGCGCTTCCAAGTCTGGAATCGCAAGAATATACTAACAAGGCAGTTCATTAAGTACCTAAAAAGTGAAAAGAAGGGAGGTAGGCTGAAGTAAGCTGATCTAAATAGCTATATTCCTGGGCCCCTACATACAAAGGATTGTGAGGGGACAGACTCAGCAAATGTTGGTCAGGAGGAGACAGTGACCCCTCCTGCCCTTCAACCTTTTGGTGGGTGATTGCGTTGGCGGTCTTTCTGTTGAATCCGAGGAGCTGTCCTCGTCCGGGGTCAGGTCCCGTAGCTGCCCTGGGCCCACCTTGGCCCACCTTGGCCCACCTTGGCCCACCTTGGCCCACCTTGGCCCACCTTGGCCCACCTTGGCCCACCTTGGCCCACCTTGGCCCATGCCAGGGCAGTCAGATGAACTAATAGATGCAAAATACGCACTACCCCATCACACGCTCGCAGACGTTCTGACCTGCAAGTTAAACCATTGCATGCAGAAGGGCACCAGTCCGGTAGGTGTCCGCGTGCCTCTGCGCTGTGCCGATGCGAACCGCTCTGAAGGCAGGGCGATGGTGGTGTGGTTGGCGGAGTCGCCATTGCCGCCATTGCCGTTGCCATTGCCGTCCTTGCCCTCTTTGCCGCCTTTATCGCCTTTGCCCTCTTTGCCCTCTTTACCGTCCTTGCCGCCTTTGCCCTCTTTGCCCTCTTTGCCGCCTTTACCGTCCTTGCCGTCCTTGCCCTCTTTGCCGCCTTTACCGTCCTTGCCGCCTTTGCCCTCTTTGCCCTCTTTGCCGCCTTTACCGCCTTTAGCGTCTTTTTTCAGCAGGTTGATCCCGGTTGTGGCCAGGCCCGTCACGAGAACCTGGAGGGGCGATATACACAGGAAGGGTGAGATGCTGGAAGGTGATGACCGAGCAGGAAGGAATCAACTAGAAGGAAGTCAAAACAGAGGCGAAAGAGCTGCTTGCGGTGCACTCTGCGAAGCATGTGCGGATAGCATGATGGGACCCAACTGCAGCAAGGGACGTGTCGGTGTCGCATGTGAAGAGGCAACGCGTTTGGCTGGGGAAGGAGCTGGACTTGGAGGAGCTTGGTGCCGGGGCAAAACTTAGCGGATGCTTGGGTTCATCACATGCTGGCGGATTGCAGCAGCAAAGGTGCGGGAGCTGAAGAATAGGGAATAACAGACTTCGCGAGCTGACGAATAGACCACCATCATCACACATGACCATGGAGCAATGATGCAAATGGAACCCTAAGACCCTCCCCCTGTGAGCAAGCCCCACATACAGCCCCGCATGCTGCAGGTCAGGCCCGGATGCGGACATGTGCATTTAACCAGGAATGGGCCCCCCCATGCGTATGATGAAATCTTTTGACGTACAAGATCTACAAACGCGCACCTGCGTACACGTGACGGGGTCCCAGGGCGTAAAAATGTTGTACGGATATGCGATGACTTGTCCGTACTGCTCGACCCGCGGGTCTAAGCAAACAGCAGGCACGAACGAGGCGGCACAACGGGTGTTGTTGCTTTTGAATGAAGGGACATATGGCGGGGTTCTGGTAAAGGAGGATTCTCGGCGGGCGCTCTGCTTTATTTACATTAGTATATACGGCAGATTATCTCTCCGGGAGGTACGGCAAGCGTAAAACCATTAGCTTAACCCAAAACTGGCGGGTGAGCTATTCGCGGCAGATATTACGCAATCATTAGTAGCCATGTTGTGGCTCTTGCTGCGGTGTCAGCCATGGAGCATGGGAGACGTTATATGGCTGCAAACATGAAAACCAACCCGGCACTGTTACCTGGCCCTTCCCTTACGGAAGAAGCAATTTGTCGAGTTATTGTTGACTTTTGGGGCCGCATTCAGGGTTTCGCAGCTTTGGGAATTCCACGGAAAGGATGGGATTCCGTTGGCGCACATCACCCCTTCTTGAGAATTATATCTGGCAAATTGCTGTGCTCGCGAGAGCGGTTACCGATGAGAGGTTAATTATCTGAGGTGATAATCTTTTGGTATATTAGTCTCTACTGCAGTGCACGGCCAGCTGGCCCGATGGCTCTACTCTTCGGGAGTCTGGAGCCCACTGTAACAACCACACACACATTAGTAGCCATGCTGATGTATATGCAAGTGCAAGAAGCACGCTAGAAGTACACTACTCGCTCCTATGGGAACAAAATGCGGGGTAACATTGGTAGGCAGGCTGTGCAGTAATAGTTCCCATGCGCGTAGTGTGGCAGTTATGCAGGTGAGCAAGTACGGCTAGCGGGGAGCGAGGTAGGCGGAGGTACAAGGAGACTCAGAAGACGCATCTAGCATCCCGGCAGGCTGGCGCACACAATAGGTGCGAACCTGTCGAACGGTGTGCGTGCCTAATTAAGAACTTCACACCTGCAAAGTTGACGAGCGCATTCGTTTGTCCCAACGCCTCCACTCCCGCGAAGCCCAACGGCTCGTCCCCTCGAGTCACAATGGCCCGTGACACCGCAGGTTTGGTGCTGGGCAGGTTTAGAGCAGACGCTTGGGACTGCATCACATACAGACCGACCGACCGACAGACAGACGTCCAGCAAGTCAGTAATGCACCATCTGGCCAGCAGTATCGATACGGACAAGGAACAGCTATACGGACCGTGCGTACATGAGATGTCCGTGACGCGACCCAGATCAGCTAACCTGGGACGTTGAGGCCCCCACGGTGCCGCTGAGTGCATTGGCGCCGATCTCGGTCACGAAGTAGTAGCCGCCCGCGGCTTGAGTTCCCGATGTGCCCGTGTTGGCCTCACTCAGGAAGTAGGCGCGGCTGGGAAACAACGAGCAGCATTCTGTGGCAGCGGCAGCGGCGTCCGTGGTGCGGTAGCGGAATACAGCTAGGGAGTGAACTACTACTCCTGCTGGGCCTTGTGAAAACGACACGTGTTTATACGAATGACCTTGCGATATCAGATGTGCATCCTCATAAAAAGAAGCACAAGGCACACGCCATACGCCACAATTCTCTTCAGCTTTCGACCTGCACAATTGTAAGTTTTCCTCAGCGAGTAGGTATGCTGCAGCAGTCGCTTTATGTGGCATGCATTTATGATCACAGCCGCCTGCTTCGTGATCATAGCCTAAGAAATATATCATGATCATAGCCTAAGAAATATATCATGTGGGCACAAAGGAGAGCATCACCACAGCACACTGTCACACCACCGTCTGCAGCAGTACTTACGGAAGAACTTAGGTACCACCACCCAGGCGGCTGTGGCGGCAGAAGGGCGGCCCTGGCCACCTTCGCCGGTGATTGCAGCCCGCCAGCGATTCTGACTAGGGTTCAGAGCCAGGGCCTGCAGGCACGGAACGAGCCACCACGCAGGCACGAACGCACGCAGCATTCATCCGCTCGGCAAACGGTGTGCCTGGTGGAAGCAAGACATGCTCTGACATGTTGGAATCGTTCCCCTTTTTCGCACAGCTACCCCGCTCTATTGGTGACGGCGGCCGATCGTCTGAAGCTTGCATGGAACCTAGTAGTGCAGTGTCGCCTGGGTTTTAGGGTTTTAGGGTTTTAGGGTTACCTACCTGGGCAGTGGAGAAGCCCGCGCCCAGGTTCACCGTGCCATCCTTGGTCAGCCGAAACTTGCGGTCCCTGGCCAGGCTGACGCTGGCCTGGCCTGAAGGAGCGCCTGCATACCTGTGCAAATGGACCCGTGCGTATGTATGGCCAAGGTGGATTACATATTTTTGGTATCAGGTCTGTGGGTAGGCGTCCCAACCTACGTACCTGCGGTTGCAAACTACGCACACGCTGTGATAGCTAGCCGCCCAAAGGGCTCTTGCAATGCCAGCAGAGCGCTTGTCTGTGTGTTTGGCCTACTAATGTATGGCACACAGCTACTGCACATGCGTATACGTAACGAAGGCATCCTTTTTTACACTCCAACTCTCCTTTTACTTGACTCGCTGTCCGTTGTGGGTAGATATCTTTCCTTCAAGCCTGCAGCTCATTCCGCAGAGGTTTTGAACCTCAACAGGAACCCCAGCGCCGTCCTTGGACACGTCTTAAGATACACATATACCGTACGGACGCCCAGTGTCGCCAGACAGACAGATAGACAGACAGACACGCATGCGCAGGTATTGCTGGTGCACGTTTCCAGTGTAAAGGTAGCCGTGTAGGGCGGTTTGCCGTTGCATATGCATACAGCAGACTTAGGAGCAAGGGGCTTAAGGCATATCTCCCCAACACTCCCTAATGTACAGGTTGCGCGGGTAGACCTTTCATTCAGCTGCAGCAGGTCCCCAACAATTCACTTCGTCACGAACTAGTGTATCGTATATGTCTGTCTGTATATATGTACGCTTGCATGCACCGATAACCTGGTAGCTGTTACCCACGTACATCGTGATTGAGTTTATGGAGAGGATGCGGGGGCCCAGATACACCTGCTGTAGCTGGCGGCCCCGCTGCCGGTGATGGGGGGAACTCCGCCGTGCACCTCCGTTGCGTGTTACGGCCAGCTCCTCCTCCGGCCCCACATTGCCACAGCTTGTACCCAGCAGTACTTGTTTGGATTCCCCACCATCCTCTGCCATCCCGTTGCTGCCCATTTCATCCTCTTCTTTAATAACAACGGTCGCGCTTAGGTCACTGCCGCGCGTACTGGCACTCGCACGACCTGTAGTACTGCGGCTGTGGCTGTGGTTGCAAGCTTCGAGACGGCGGACAGCCTTGCTTAATTCGTGTTTTTTTCCAGATCCATCAGAAGTCTGCTGAGGCCTCATCACTGACTGGGCTTGTGCTTCTCGCCCGCGTTGATCGGCACTATCGATGGAGCCGCTATGCTGCGGATCTCGGGCTACACTGCTGCGAGAAGCGCCTTTTAGCGACGGAAGTGGAGGTTTCCTGTGGTCGCGGCGCTGTGTTTCTACCCTCGACGATGAGGATCGAGCTGTATCAGCAGCAGGAGCAGCAGGTACGGCAGGTGGTGGCAGCGGCAGCCCGCCGGCGGCGGCCCGGCGCTGCCACCGCTCTGGGGTTCGTGGGATGAAGGCCTGGAGCACGACTGCGGAGCGCGTGCTATCACCCGCTGTGGTGCTGTAGGCTGTGGTGATGCGGGAGCCAGCGTCATAATGAAGCGAGCGACCCGGGGAGGTGTGGGGGGTTTCGTCGTTGCGGCTGATGCTGCCGTCATGCCTGCTGTGACTGCCGTGCGCTGCTGGTGCCCATGCATCGGCAATAACGATGTTAAATGGATGCGCGGAATTGTGGCCGGTCAGCATAACGAGGACCACAAGCATTAAAAGCGTCTTCACCGATGCCGCCGGCGGCAGTATGCGGGTTGCTGTCGGAAGCTGAGGGAGCGCGCTCATTTTGAGCGCCCGCATGGCCATGTATGCACGTGTAGGAACGCTGGTGCGTGAATGGGTTTGTGGTCTGCTGCCTGATGTACTTCTTTGTTTCTGATAGAATGCTTAAGCCACTGGCACGCACGCAGGCATGAGCAGCAACCTCTCGCTGACACAGGAGCGCCTGTATGTAGGCGTAAGGCCAAACCTAGAAATGCACGCGGGGCTCAGATAGGAATCTTCTTCTTCCCGAGTAGCGCATTAGATAACCTAAGATCTAAAGAAAGCTGTCCTGATTAGAGATAATTGTGTTTCCCCCGGATGGGCCTGTACCCGTGCGCTGAGCCGTCCAAGAACCAGCACTATAGGGCGCTACATGTCGCTACAACTGTTGCTTGCTAGACTCACTGCGAAGCCCTGGAGCATAGGAATCAAGAGCAAAGAATTCCTTTTTCGGGCATATTGTAGAGCTTTCACAAAACTGCTGGGCCCAGTATTAGGTTGCCCGGTGTGATGGCCGATACGTGCCGACGACTGGCATGCTAGTTCCCCGGATGGAATGGTCATATCATTATTCATAAGCTTAGCTGTATAGCAACGCCTTATTCGCATGCATTCAGGCTTCCAGAGTTCCGGCTCCTTAGCCGGCGCCAACCGATTCCGTTAATCAAACGATAATGCGGTAATTGCGTTGTTGAACCTGCGCAAATTTTAGGGCATCTCGTAAAAGCCATACTGCCGGATCCTACTAAACTGAGTGATCAACCTGTAGGCACAGCACTTACTTTACCTTCCTGTGGCAACGCCGGAACTCCACAGATGTCTTCTTCAGTTAAGAGCGACACCAGCAAACGCCTGGGAGCACTTCTTTTCGGGGGGTGGGCAATGCTTGCGGAAAACTGCCCAGACTGTCAGGTGCGAATTTACGCTGGTATTTGCACCTGGCTGTTGGATGATAACGCGTGATACGTGATGTGTGTGTCTGGTAAGATGAAATTACGTTTTGATTGTTTCGTATGGCTGTATGGAACAGCTGCTGCTTCGTGCCAATGCCTCACTTTACGTTATCGATTGTCCGTAAACTATGAAGGTGCCGTTAATGAAGGAAAGGACGTCCGGAGAACGGCTATGCGTCAACTGCGACACTACATACGTCCCAGATGGCCAGGTAAGGGCCCAAGGTTCATGCATTACCCTCTCGCATCCCGACAAACAATCTTCTCTCCCGGGCCCTTCATAGACCGTAATCGCTTGCGCACATCCGCAGGGCCTGCGACCAGCCGTAAGACCAAGCCAAAACCAAGCGGGTGCAGAGCAGCCTCAGCTGCGGCAACAGCCAGAGCAAAACGAATCAGCCTTAGGTGGTGGGGATCTATTGGACGAGTACGACCCTCGCGCCGACGCTCGGCTGGGGCCCTTTGCATCTGCCGGCCAAGCCGGTACTAGCTCAGCACCTGATGGCGAATTGGGAATCGGCATGGTTGGTGAAGCTAAAACTGATGGCAGCTTGAGTTCTGTAGCCGCTGCATCCACAGTCGCAAGTTCTAGGAATGACGGAGCGGAATCGGCGACGGTAACTGCGAGGGGTCCCGGACGGACAGACGCTTCTTCGCCACGGACACGAACCACCACACCGGGGGCTCCAGCTGCCAGCCGCAGCGCTGCGGCTGCCGCGGCGGACACCTCTCCCAGCGATATTGCGGACCTTCTGGCTGCCAAAATGCTTCAAGTGGGTGAATGAGGGGATGGGAGGTAATTGCGCCGTGTCCTATCCAACAAAATAGTTGAAGATCAAAGACCCTATTTACTAGACCCTATTTACACTATTGAGACAATCTCAAAGGTTAAATTAATAACTTGGGGGTTTCCACTGCCGGCGGATCAGTGGCAGGTGGTCGGGGCGAACTGCTTCATTGGTGAGACATGTAAGCATGCGAGTCCGTTGTTACATCATGTTAGCGTCTTACGTAAGCTCCCGTATGCACGTGCTTTGTCAGAGCTAAGCTCACGTGACGCCGTACGGCCGTACGTCTGCATGACTTGACTGAATGGCTCTTCCGCGGTTCTCGCTTACCAGGGCTGGGCGCTGCTGGACAAGCACTGTCCCAGGTGCGAGCGGCCTGGCTGTGTACGACGGCATACGATTGTACGGCAGGGGACAATGAGTTTAAAGCAGAGGCGGTGATTCTCCGGGTCACTTGCGGAAGATGCTGCCCTGCTGAAATGACGGCGCGGCAGTTTGCGTCACCCTTTCCTCTTCAGCACACTGCCAAGGCTCAGTGACAAGCACGCGTGTTGCTGTGACATCGTACCGCATGCACGTCATTGCATGCCGTACATATGCATGCAACCCTCTTTTCCGCCCACACGGACGAACATGGTTGCGGGGGCGATGGTGATGGTGCCCCTCCGCCCGCGCTTACCACGCTTCATTTTTTGGCAGGTGCAATACGGTGCTGGTCAGGTCAAAGGTAAACAAGCGTATGTTCTGTGTTGCTTGCGATGCCTGGGTGCTCACAGAGGCTGATAGTCAGAAACAGCAACAGCAGCAGGGGGAGAAGCAAGCGGAGGAGGGGCCGCAAGAGGAAGACAAATCACTTGCGGTGGCGCCTGCAGCAGTGCCTGCAGCGGCACCGGTGCCGCAGCCTGCAGCGGCAGCAGTCTGCGTGTCGACCGCCAGGCAATCACAGCAGGGCCCCCCTGCGTTACCGCCGCAAGAGAACCCACAGCATGACTGGCACCGCCAAGGCGTCGCCTTCCTGCCGCAGCATCATTATAATCATGAACAGAAGAATATGCATATGCACGTGCAGCTTCCACCCATGTACGAGCATTTCCTCACGTCCACGGCTCCTGAGGTTCCGGGCGGCGGGGCCGGGAGCAGCTCTCGAGGCTCGTCTCCGCCGCAGGGGGTGAGTGGGTGGGGAAGTTAGCCGCGGGGGGAGCTGAAGAAGCGGCGGCGACTGATCAATCTGCTGGTGGACTCAGTATACAGGAAGGCAAGGCCAGGAAGTGGTTTGCCTGGCAGGCATGTGGTCACATTTAGCCGTTCACAAGCTCCGTACCGCACAGTGTCTCCAGAACTTGTGGAGGGGGCTTGTAGGCTCGGGGTGAATTTGTGGGCTCGTAGATAGGGGCTGTCGTTGGGCATGCGGCCTGGCCCAGGCTCTTTTTCTTCAAGATTACCTAGGAACTAGGGGACTTATTTTATCTGGCTCAGCCGTCACATGAGAAGCCACATGCTCTTCATGCCCCGGGTTGATGTCGCATCCGCACATCCACGGCGCTTCTCATTGTCTATCGATCCGTCAGGTCCAAGGGGGTTACCCTTCAACAAGCCACGAGGCGCGTGCCGGTTCGCTAGGGACGCCAGCACAACACCAACACCAAGACCAGCAGCGCCAGTATCGGTGCCAGCAACCGCAACACGAGGGGCCCAGGCGGCAGGCCCCTTCAACAGGACATGCGGAGGCACAGGGTACAACAGGGTACAACGGCCCCAGCACGGGTGCCGGCACCAGCAACAGCGATAGCACCAGCCGGCAACCAAATGGAACAGCTCTTCTGTTGTCTATTGGCAGCACGGTTTCGCGCAAGTGAGTGGGTTTTGCCACTGTTTACGGGGGAAACGAAAGGAGAGAAGAATCTGGAAGCTTTCCTTTGAACTGCGGATGTCTAAACTTGGTGCAATGAATAATCCACCGAGGTTGCGATCCCGCGAACATGGCCGGCATCGTAAGCATGTTGATGGAGGGAGGAGTGTTGAGCACGGAAGCTGAGCAGGAAGAAGACGCGACGCCCTTTTTACCTGAGGGAAAGCCAGGGAGATCATGCGATGTGATATGCTAAGGAGGGCAACCTTCCAGGCCTGGCGTCAGTCCGCATCCAGGACGTGGTCCACCTCACCGGGAGAGCCTCCAGGCCTCCAGACTTCCTCCTGCTGCCAGTGTCGACCCTGCACGTCTTCTATGTGCGCTGCTTTCCCGCGGTAGCGTTACGCACTTCTTAAGCTAACTGCAGGACACAGGTCAGATTTCCCCCACTGCTCGGGATTCCGCCATGCCTGCAGGTTATCAGAGGCGCAGGGGCTGTTGGAGCGGACCTCTGTCCTCGACACGGAGCGAGTTCGTTCCTACGTGGCGCTCATCAGCGACTGCCTGGACTTGCTATCCAAATTGCATAGCCTGCAGCAGAAGGGGTGATGTGCTTCCTGGTGGTGATGATGATGATGACGTCGTCAGCGACTGTGGGCGTGTTGTGTGCGTGCATGCTTGGGTGGATGGAACCGTTTTACAGCGTATCTGCATTTGCTGTGTGTGCTCAGGGCCTAATGTTCTTGGGAGCATCAGTTATGCTACACGATGCCCTAAAAAGGCGCCTTCAAACTTGCTGAGGTAGACCGGTCCGTGAAGGAGTACAGCGGGTGATTCGGCGGTTCTTTGCATGTACGGACGCTGACAGGGCTTTGCAATTGGTGGGAGGGGATGGTTTGAATGACTTTCCTGAAGGAGAGGATGCTGTAATAGTAGTGGGCGCCGGTTGCAAGGCTGTGAAGCCATGCGTTTGTTGAGCCTCGTTAATGAGGTGATGGTCTGGCCGCAGTGGATGCCCTAACGAGGTCTCTGCAAGGGGCCACCGTGTACCATGGCCATCGCCCGCAAGCAATTGCGGGTCATGCCGGGAGGTTGTATTGCGCGGCCAAAGTCCCGGCCGATCAGACCAACCCTTTCCAACTGGCCCTAGGATGCCAAAAGGTGGCGAGAAACAGCAAATGCCGAAACGTCGAAGAATGAAAACAAGAAAAATAAAAATAAAATAAATAAATGTTGGAAACTGTAAATCGCCAAGAAGCTATGTGAAATCGCGGCAAAAAGGTCAGAAAAATCAAGTTCAGCAGGCGATCCTCTATCGTAATCTTACTACTATGCAACGTACGACACACGCACGGGCGCGCACCGCACACAGCCAATCTGAGGCCACCTAAGCTCACGCGCCTGTGCGGCCACGACCAATGAGCGGGGCCCCGAATTCTGAGTTCACCGCCTGATAGCCGTCTTACCAAGCACATCCACGTTTACATCTTACACTGTCCACCCAGCTATCGGCGGGCTATCACCCCCACGGGCGCCTTGGCAAGCAGCAGGTACCACACACGTACAACGGTCGCCGTACTACCCACAGTTCTAGGGAAGATCTAGGGATATCTTTGGATATCTAGGATATCTACTCCGTGGAGACACATAGTGCACACGCATTATGCTCCCAGCTGGGTTGTGTCGAAGGTACGAAAGCACATCTCTGAACTGCACCCGCATGGAACGCGAAAAAGGACAGGTGATAATGACAGCTGAGCAGGTGAGTCATGCATGGCGCAATAATCCACAGCAGCCTCAGCTCCAGGAGCATTCACATATGCCTGCGTTGGCACCAGCTTTCGCTTCCAGTCATAGGTCATAGGCAAACAGCAGGCTGTCGGGGTATGTTCATGCCCCCACCCCTGGCCTTCTCGTCCGCAAACAGTCCAGCATCATGATGGTGCTCAGTTCCTCGTAACGTCCGCTGCCGTTGGAGCGGCCTTGGTGCCCGCCCAGCTGCCCCGTTCTGCGTTGGGCTTTGACCTGGGGCTCTTTCCGCAGGCACCGCACTTCGCAAGTGAGGCCATCTTGCCTTTGAAGTCCCCGTGGAGACAAGCCGCACAGTACCTAGAGGAAAGGTAGAGACCATATGGTTTAATCGGCTGCAGATGCAGCAACCTAAGCGACGAATGCGGCATACTGTTCATTGGAAATAGACACTCGAAGAAAGGAGATGGGCACAAAGCGTGGAGAAGAATTTTTGTCTGGGACAGGTTTTGGGGGTACTATGGACATAATGGGCCTCGGTATTGTTTTGTGCCGGTTCCAACAAAAACCTTCCCAGGCCGAATTTGTCATGGGCGTTTCAGATAAATCCTAGGTATGAATCCTGGTCCCGCATCCCTGGTGCTGCTGCGACGCCCCTTCGCAAGCGCAACTAATAACGAGGACAGCAACTTACCGCTTGCCGCAGTGCAAGCATTTGAGGTTGGTAGATGGGCCGTTAGAAAGGCAGTAGAAATTGCACATGTTGATTTGCCCTGACTTTAGGTTGAAAGGTGCTGCCGCTGAAGGCTAATTGGGGCAAGATTGCAAGGAAATCAGGTTATACAGCAAAATCAGCAGCTATCATGGCAAATTAATGTAATTTTTAGATAGAATAGTTTGTTTTTAGCTATGCAGCCTCTTTTATAAACCGTCCAGTTGTGTCTTAGGTAATGATGACAAATCGCCACGTACGGCATGCCGGTCCAGCTTCCGCGCACTGTTCAACGCCTTATGAGGCCTTGCGGCTTTTTAACTCTATGGCCCCACTGGCCGGATCAATCCATTTTTAGTTTCAAATATATTCATCGGTGCACCGGGCGGTGCGTTCGAAGGGCGTACAAAGGGTTAGCGGAGCACCACCCATGGGTTCTTTAAGGTTTGCTAGCGATACGCAACCGTAATCGACGGCCTGGTAAAGCTTGTGTACTCCTTCATATCTTCGGATCAAGGTCATTCCGTTTAGCATACTGCGGAATTTTCCTTTCCTAGCAGGTACGACAACACATGCTGAAGTGGAGCCACCCTGTAAGTCGGCTAGGCCCGACATAGAGGTACAACTGTTTCCAATGGGGCTTGCACTCTTTCTCGTTCCGCGTACGAACACTGTTTCTTCTGCAGTAATTATAACATACATTTACATGTGCAATTTAAGTTCATGCTTTTCACCGGGAAAGGTGCGTGCGCCTGGGAGAAACTTGTGAACCCCGGCTGGTTGGAAACACCCTCTTAGCGTTATCAACGCGTTTAGCACAAATCGGCCTCGTTGTTGACAATTAGTCAACTGCCAAAGTTCTAGGGTTCAGCAGACGCCTTGCCACGTCGTGCTGATATTCATAAAGAACACCCTTCAACACTCCCCCAACTATACGGTAGGCAAACAGGACAGGGCCCATTCCAGTTCAACGTCGGCTCCAAGCAAGTTATTGACACGGATGAGCACATAAGTTATAAACGCATTATACCCATCAGAATATGTACAAGCATGCACAGTTATAAAGCACGGCTATGTATGTACGCGCCAGGCTATGTACGCGCCCCTGGTACGCGCAAACGAAGTATAGCGCACATACCATGGACAGATCCATGCTAATGGCGCGCTATTATTTCACCCAGGCTACTTTGGCACTCCAATTTCGCCATGGAGGACGTCGGCTTGGTCTGATTTCTATTCATCTGAGGCTTTACTAGCAGGTTGCCGCCCCTTGTTCGTTGGTTGGTTAGTGTCCGTTGCCAACCGTAGAGGTTAGTGTCAGTTGCCAGTCGTGTCCGCTGATCTCAGCGGGACCTTGGTGCCCGCCCAGCTGCCCCGTTCTGCGTTGGGCTTTGACCTGGGGTTCTTTCCGCAGGCACCGCACTTGGTAAGAGATGGCATCTTGCCTTGAAACTCCCCGTGGAGACAAGCCGCACAGTACCTGACGGCAGGGAAGTTTAAGACCGGATGGTTAAACGAATCCAGCCTACCAGACGCAAATTTTGGTGAGGTCTGTGCGTGCGCGGTCTGCACCTCAAGTAGATGCCTCCATGCAGTGTCACTTCTTCACCCGCACGGTCAAGTTATGGCCCAACTTATCTTTAAGAGTATAAAATAAATATTGAGCATGAAATTTGATATGATGCAATGCCGATTGTGTGTTGGGGCTCGCCTTCCGATGCGCATCCAGTAGACTGTAACGCGACTCACCGCGTCCCGCAGTGCAAGCACTTGAGGTTCGTAGATGGACCCTCAGAAGTGCAGTAAAACTTACACATATTGTATAGTTAGTATAATGGATGTGGCCCTTGGCGTTCTTATCCCTGTAAACCAGGGTTCCCCTATGAATGTGTCGGTAAGTAAAGCCTTAACACAAAACTGCAAACAATTTTGACTTAAGCATCGAATGTATTTTTATGCGTTTAACAGACCAACTGATCTCGTTATACTCCCTTGTATCGTCTTGACCGACAGGCTGGAACTAACCTCCAAGTACGACGCTCCGCTTCAGCTGCAACGGACCAGCAACTCACGTCGTTAGGCTGAAACCACGGACTTATGGTATCAGGATCTGTAGGAGAATTGAATTTGTGCAACACAAGTGCACCTGTGTGCCTGTCAAGTCATGGTGACGGCCATTTTGGCAAACATCCCCGACGAACTGGGTTTTTAGTATCGACTGCGGTTTTTTATTTTGATCTTTCTTAGCATAGTGCGAATTTATAAGGTTAAAAATGCACAAATTGATTATGCTGGGGCGCATCCAGCTATCCATCGAGGACGATCATGTCACGGGACAAACCAAAAGAGCGCGTCTGTCATCTGTCACTGTGACCCTGCTGATAGCTTTGCCGGCTGTCGAGAGCTGCCGACACTTGAAATTCCCAGATGATGCCCACACTACCAATGGCTAATGTAGTTTACCTTGATAGCTTCAAGTGTGCAAGCTTGCATGGAAACAGCGAATATGTCCCTATGTGCCGGGCTTAACCCATACTACTGGTACACTACAAGGCCGTAAGAAATCCCGCATGAATCCACGAAACACGAATCAAATCTGCACCAACCCGTCCATGGGTGCCGGAACGGACATCGCCACCGCCGTAGAGGTGTTGTGGTGCAGATTGCAGACCGCCTTTTCACCTGCCAGCGAAATGCAAGCACTGAGAGGTCGTGGCGGTGCCGCCAACGTCGAATGTGTGGACGGCTCAGATACGCGCTACGAGGTGCTCGCTTCCGCAGACCCTGCTGAGGTCTTCCACGACTCCCAGATGGCCACCTGCCTCTTCTCCGCGAACCCGTGCATCCGCGGTCCATTGAACACCTCACGGCAAGTCCATCACAAGTCCATAACTGATGATTGGTCCGATGACTGGTGCCGAATGGGAAATTGCATTCAGACAATGCAAGTAAATGGACTGCTAAGAAACTGAAGGGAAGTAAGTGGACTGCTGAGAAACTGGCGAAACACCCAGTTTGGAAAAGAAGGCCTTGGTTTTGTAACAGGATGTGGCCATGCGGCGCCATGGATGCGGGTGTGGCTGGTGTATATGTTGTTGGGTCTTCCGGTTTTCTAGGCAGTCCTGCTTGTGGAAGTGAGTGCGGACGCAGATGCCGAAACTCTGACTTACCCTAGCGCGGTCCTTGGAGGATCGCCATGCCACGCCTTACTCGGCCTTGCTCCCGACACATACCGCATACCTGTACACGAAGCAAAGACGCTAGCGCTAGGAAGGATACACCCAAGGAAATGTCTCGTAAGCCCTTTTCACCTTGTGGTGTCTCTCTCATGTGCAGGGCTTGCCGGGACGGCCACGGCGGCGGGCCCGACAGCAGCCACGGCTACGAGGGCCATGGGAGCAGTGGAGAGGTCAGCGATCGAAGCTTGTCGCACGTAGGTTCGGATGCTCCACACACGCCTGAGACGTCCCCACCCGCGCGTGAACGCCACGATATCGGTGCCGAAAGCGCCCTGAGTTCGGTGGCTGCACCCATCGGGTCAGCACTCCTGGGCTGTGCTCTGGGCACTGCTGCTGCCTTCACCATTTCGCCCTTTATAGCCGCGGGTTTCGGAGCGGGCGTGCTGCTTGTGAGTTTCGTCGCGACAGCCGTCATTCCAGGTGACGATGAGCCGGGCGCAGCAGCAGCAACGACACCCTTGCTGGCTGGCTGCATGGTGCAGGGCCCATCGGGCGGCGCTACAGCTGCAGCGCTGATGGCAGCGGAGTCGGCTGGCAGGGTTTCCATAACGCGCTCTGAAGGAAGCCGGGAGCAGCAGCCCAGGGGCACCGTGATGAATACGTCTGCATTGCCGGGTCTTTCACCCATACGCGCCGATTCGACGCCAAAGCATTCATCGTACGATGGAGATCAAGGTGCTGGACATGCATGGTGTGAATGGTTGATGCCGTAATCCGTTGGCGGGCCACATGCTTGGTTTTATATTCTGCTTTTTGGGGGCGAACAGGCCGTTGTTTCACTGTTCCATGCTGTGCGCCACGCCTGGTCCACGTTACTAGCCAGAAAGTGGCAAAGCACAGGAAGTGGGCGCAGCGAGCTATGATCCTGTTTAGGCAGCAGCTCACTATGCCTGCGGGACAGACCTGCGAAGACCAGATGCGATAAGGCATCCTGACAAAGGGGCTACGCTGTGTCGTGGCTGGTGGGGGCGACGAAAACGGTATGAAGATGGTGAAGTGGCATTGTTCGACGACTTAGAGTAAGTACAGTGCGGCACACGACATGCAGCTCGTATCCACCACAGCTGCAGGCGCCCAGGGATCCCTGTAGCACCAAGTCGAGCTATATCCCGGAAGGGCCTGCAGTTGGCATGTAAGTTGCTTGGCTTGTATGTTTGCATGTAAGCCAGGCGTAAAGCTAGTCGTATGTGACCATGTAGAAGGCGCCCAGAAAGTAGCACTGAGTTCAGGGGGATGGCGCCTTGAGTGTACTATTTGTAACCGAACATTTGCAAAAGGGCGTGCAAGGACCAAGGGGCGAAGTACGGTGCGCAGACGTCTACACCGACGAACACCTTTTCGATGGCACGTGTTCAGCAGCTTTAACTCGATGGCACGAGTTCAGAAGCTCGTTACGTCGGTTACCCTACCGGGCAGGTGCTGAAGCGGCCAGTTACCGACCGGTTTGGTAGGGTGGTTAGCGACTGCTGGAGATAAGCAAGTCGGATAATCCGATTGACCTCCGTGAAGGCACTGGGCGACAAATGCAGAGGAGCAACTGCCTCCCGGCCATCGACAAGCAGCTTGTCGCCAGGCTTGCAGCGGCATATACATGGCAGCCGTTCCCATAAAAGCCAGCATTTATATTTTTCTGGTTGCTTTTTCCAGGATGCGGATTTCCTCGCGAACATGGTGAACAAGGTTCTCTAGCGTATTTTTCATATACAACAAGTTGCAACCGCAAACATACATATATCCCTCCATCCCTCCATACACTCCTCCCTTCATCCATACATCCCTCCACACATCCCTCCATACATCGCCCCTTTCATGCGTTCCCCCCTTCCATACACCCCCGCACTCCTCCACACATCCCTCCATCCCTCTAGACATCCCTCCCTTCATACATCCCTCCATCCACCCTATGCCATGAAAGGATCGGTAATCGACCGGTTAGCTGTAACCCGGTAGGGCAGCCGGCATTTCGAGTAAACGACCCGGTAACCTTACTGGTCAGTGAACCCCCACCACGAATCCGCTCCTGAATTCTCAACATGTCCCGTTGGGCCTATACGGACGCACGCCAGGCTTCCAACCGGCAACCTCCAACGGTCCGCACTTTGCAAACATGGCAACTTTGCACTTTGGCAATTAAAGCGATTATGATGACGCTGGTTATGCATATTGTCTATGAAGTTACAGATTTGTATGCTGTGAGGTTGGCGCTTTCGGGTATCTAGACGACATCAACAGTCGCAGTAGCCCTGACACGGACACCAACTGAACCGCTTTGGAAAACAGCTATATCTAGATCATCATTACAACGCATGTGCATATGGCCAGTACGTCTGTAAGCCGGACTGCTCAGTATGGTGCCAGGATGTGGCGTGGGAAAGAACAAGCATCGTGTTCCTATGTTCCAGCACGAGCTCACGCAAGCCAGGCGCCTGCGATAAAACTCCAACCAAGGACGCGACGTGCTGTCGTGCGGTCCATGCCGGACGATTACTACGGCGATATATTCAACAGCCCAATTTTCCGCAGCGAGCTCGTCATGCAAGAATTTCAGAAGTGGGTGCAACCAACGACGCGTGAAGTGCCGGACCGCAACATTTGCAAGGCATGCGTCCCAGAATGCCTGACTTTCCCAAACCCGCCTCTCCATCCCCCAACCTACCGGCCTCACGCCCGACCCCCTGGTCATGCCCTGACAGGATGGTGAAAGAAACCGTCAGCTTGTCCCAACTGGCAGCAAAGTTTCCGGATTTCGACCTCGCAGGTGAGAACGTAGGATGGGCATGCGCGGAGGCTCTCTCACGCACAACATGCACAAACCTGAGCCAAGCACACACAGACATATACAGATACGCAAGTCGGCATGTCCGGACGCCCAACGCCGTCTCAGAGCTTCCGTTTCGCATTCTCGCCTTAGGTTATCAGGACGTATTGTTGCACCTGCGCACCTTATCCCGCACCATAACTCACGTCGCCGTACGCGCGTGCGTGTCCCTGCCCTCATTTTCCTTTCCTGCCGTGGTCATAGGCAAGAGAATGTACCTAGACAAGGTAAGCCAGGTCCCGGAACTGCTCCAGGGCTCCACATACTCCACACTGCCATGTGCCGCATCCCACCACCACCACCACCACTACATTCCCGCATTCCGCAACCACATGGGTCCAACTCAAACCCCCACAAGCCCGGGCTAGGTATTCACGCGCCAACGCCACTCTTGTCCTGGCCGCTTCAATGGGGACGAAAAGCGAATGGTGGCTGCTTGAACACCCCGTCCTCCTTCCCGCCCCACCTATCCTGAACCCTTACTCTTTTCCTTTCCTTGCGGAGACGATCCCCTTCGTTTCGTTCTTCTCAGTTACCATACTCCTGTCCTGTCCTGTCCTGTCCTGTCCTATCCTGCCCTCATCTTGCACCTCTTCGGCGCGGTCCTTGCAGATGGGCGAGGTCTCCAGTCGTTACGAGGTGTTCATTAAGCGGTTGGAGCTGTCCCAGGACCCGGCAGCTCGGGAGTTTCTGCGCTTCACAACCGCACAGATGCTGGAAGGGGGCTTCACGTACAGCCAGATGTTCTCGGGGTGAGACGGACGGGGTGGCCGCCGCTGCTGCTGCTGCTGCTGCTGTTAGTGCTGTTGCTACTGCTGCTGCTACTCTACCGCTGCTGCTACTCCACTGCTTCTGTTGCTGCTACTGCAACTGTTGCTGCTGCTGTTGCTGCTACTGTTGCTGCGGTGGTCATGTGGGTCGTGGAGAGAGTGAAGGGGCTTGGGGGGAAGGACGCAAATAGGGCCCCCGGGGCGGGAGTCGGTTGTTACCCATTTGCAGAATCAAGGCGACGTCGCTCCTCCTCCGTCGCTTGTATGAAGCGGGAAGAGGGCCCCACGGCCCAGGCTGGAGGGCGCGGACCTCCCAGGAACCCCCCAACATGCGGCCCACTATCCGGTTGATTTCCGCCCGCCCTCCATTTGCCGCTTCCCTCCCACTCGCCTCCCGTCGGCCAGGTTGAAGCAGAGCCTGCAAATGTACCGACAGTGAGTCGGGTTGCCTGAAGTGCCGAGTGGGTGAATGTGCTGGGAGTGGGCTCGAGCTGAGAGTGTGACAGTACTGTGCGTCTGTATATCTGGATGCGTATCTGCCTGACCGCTTACCCGCTTAGACTGCCCAGGAAATGGCACGTAAGCCAATCGGTCCGACGGGCCCCACCCTTCCCAACGCGACCGTTCGCTCCCGCCCTCGCACGTTGAATGAAGAATGGATTAGCTGTAGATAACTTAGCATCCGGTGCCGTGTTAAGTAGGTCAGGGTGTTTGAAGTGTGATGGTAAGGTAGAGGGTCTCCCCTCGGTCGCGTGCGCATGCGAGTGTGCGTGTGTTGTCTGACGCTTGCAGAGTTACCCCTTTTGAGGCTGAAGACCGTTTTTAAGACGTTCTTTGCTGCTGCAGCTGCTGCTACCGCCGCTCTGGCATTCTCTCTCCCCCACCCACGTCATTGTTTCGTCCCCCCTACCACCCGGTGGTGGTGATGTGGGGTCCACCTCCTGCAGGTGGGTGGAGCACGAGGAGAGAGTGAGCAGCGACCCGGTGGAGCATCAGAAGTTCCTGCAGGTGCGTGGGGACTACGTTGGGGTGCGGTTAGGTGACCTGGCCAGTGCCAACCCCGGATCGATATGTAACGGATCGGTATGTAACAAACACACATACATACATACACACATACATACATCTAAGTCATACATACATGCATACACCGTGGAAGAGGGGCTGCGGCTGACGATGATGGCGAAGGATATGAAGTTTTGGGGGGTTGAAGAGATGGAGCGGGAGAGGGGAGACGTGGCATGGCATGGCAGTAGGTTGGGGAGGACATGCGTCCGTTAGTGTCTACTACCCCGTTTTTGAGCTAGGGTTTGTGGGGCTTGGTGCCGTAAGATCATCCGCCTGTCAGTACTGCAACACGAAAGGTTTTGCGCTTCGTGCACGGCACCAGCAGTGCCAGCAGTGCGTGGCACACACCAGCCACAGGACAGCAAGCGTGCGACAGCTCCAACCCACAGTTACCTCTTCCCCTCCCCACTCATTTCGACGTTCTTTCCCCGAACCCAAGCCCACATGTGTGTCTGTGCATATGTATGTTGATGTGGTTCCGTTCAGCTTCTCGGTGTGTCTCTGTTTCCCTCACACAGGACTTCCGTTCCATGTGGGAGGCCAGTTTCCTCGGCCGGGTGGACCTGACCTACCTGTTCGACAAAGTGGACCCCAAGATCCTACTTAAGGCGCAGGCTGACCCGCAGGTGGGTGCGTTGCGTTGCGCGTTTGGATGCATGTGCGTGGATGTGCGAAGAGGGAGCACCCTCGTGCATGCGCGGACGCATGTGTCTACAGCACCTAGCGGTCTGAGATTTGCGAACGGTCCTTCCGCAACTGGCCATCCACATATTTGGCTCGGTACGCATGTGCGTGTGTGTGTGTGTGCGTGTGTGCGTGTGTGCGTGTATGTTGTTACAGGGTGGTTAACTTCGCCAGCGGCCCCCTTTCCCGGGGCAGTCCCTGCTCTCCCCTGCTAGAGGGGCACCCTAATCCGTCACCCCATCCGACTTCAGAATGTATTCGTTGGGTTCGGCAACTCACCACCAGCATCCAACTAAAATCTAGCGGATCAACGGCGCATCAACTTAGTTCCTGGTGTATATGTTTCGATCTAATGGCGCCAAGTCGATGTTGGGCTTGCACGCAATGGAGCAGCGCGCGAACAGCATGGAGCAGCTTCTTTGCTTACCTGCCTGTCCGTCTGCCCGTCTGTCTGTCGGCATAGCCTGCTTGCAGAGCTGTTGAGCTGAATAACATGTATTTATATACATATACATGTGTGTACAGAAATAAAATAGTAATATATGTTTTCCTGATGCCTTCTGGTTTGAACCACTTCCCCATTCTCTAGTGCCTTGGTGAGGGAAGGGAGGATGAATAGAGGGAGGAGTGGCTGGATGGCTGCAGCACTGCTGGGGGGTGTCGCTGTGGCCCCCATCTGATACTTCCTGTTGGTAGCCCTCTTCCCCTTTAGTTCTCCGAAATTGAGGCTGTGGACGTCGACAGCTGTTCCTCTTGGACATGGCGTCATCATCGCCACCAGCAGCAGTAGCAGCAATCATCATCTTGTAATTCCCTCCCCTTGTTCTGTCCCTTATGCCTGTCCCCGCTGTCCCCTCCTCCCTGCACAGTATTGGGTGGCCATCAAGGAGATCGCCAGTGACCCCGGGGCGATGCGGAAGTGGCTGGACGACCCCAACCTGGGTCCCTTCGTGGCGGCGCTGTGGAAGAGCATGCAGGACAAGTCCAAGTAGCGGCGGGCGCGGGGCGGGCGGGACAGGACGGGACGGATCGGACGTGGGTTGAGATGTAGGCCTCTTTTCGAACGACGGGGGACTACCGTGGAAAGGTGCGGATCGAGGCGGGAGGAAAAGAGGGGCAGAAGGAAGGGGGGAGACCTCGGTCAGTTGGTCGGTCGACTTCAACCTAGGCTTAGCAGCAGGTTGGCAGGCAAAGTAGGACGACACACAGACCACAGGATACTGCATGGATAGCTGGATGGTTACTCCGTTGTATTGTTATTGAGCACTCGTGTGGGGTTGCTCTGGTGGAACCAGGTGCTGTGCTGAGATGCGCACCCAGGCACCGGCTCAGCGCGGGATGGTTTCTCCACGACTTAACTCTGAAAGTTGCCCTGCTGTGGTTCTTCATGGATGGTTTCAATTTCGCGCGGAGATATTTGTTGGGCATTTTCTGGGTGCTGTGGCAGTATGCTGAAGTCCGCGCCGGCGCGTGGGGGAATGCGGCGATTTTTCGTTTATAATTCTTTCAGCGAACTCAGATTTTGGAATCCCTGATTTTGGAATCTCTGATTTTGGAATCTTAAAGCATATTCTAGGCGTGTCCTGGCTTCCCTGGGAAATGCCGATGGGTTGGTTTGCCGGCCAAGGCCTGTGGTTTAGGTAAGCATTACAGTTCGTACGGCTGCAAAGGGGCCCCAAACTTCATCAAACTGCATCATGTGCATCGATGTAGATATTGCATTTCACAGAAATGGTCGTGGCCCCCACTGCATAAATTATTGCTGCAATTCGCCAGAAAGTAAGGACTAGGCATATACGCTAACTTAAAAGGCCGATTGGAGCTATGGCTCGCGCGGGTTCGGGTGGGCATATGCATTTTGTTATTGTTGGAGGTATATCAGTTGCTTCCGCATTTCTGCTGTGGTTACTAGAGCTGCGGCGCAGTCGCAGCGGCAGCGATGGCGCTATGGATAGGCCGAAATACGTGCGTGTAAGTCAAACCCATAAATACGCGATTCACGCCTATGATGCACTACGAGATGTGTTCTATTACTCTCAGGGTATGCGCGAGCGGGAGTACATCCGTCTTATCCCGGAGGATGAACTGCTCCGTGTTAACGGTCTTCTGAGGCGGGTTTACAATGCGCGTGGCTGGACAAACGATGACGAATCGCGGGGACGTGCGTGGGCCGATATGCTGGCCGCAGCGCAGAAGCCCGAAGGTGGCGCATGGCAGCTAGACTTTGACATGGACAAGGTTGTGCCATCACAGCTCGCGGCGCTCTGTGCCGCAGTGGAAATCTACTTCCTTGGGGGACTGCTGGCACAGCAGATACACAAAGTGCGCCGACCCCCTCTCAAGGTCTTGCCCGGCGAGGATCCTCGGGATCCCTACTCATGGCTGTCTGGCCTACACGACGATAACACCATTTACGTTAATGCAAACCGTTGGCGGGAAACCATCTCTGAGGACAATCCCATGAATTTCGAAGGCAATCTCTGCACCAGCAAGCTCGAGGCGCTGGCCCACGCCCTTGGTCATGAGCTGGTGCACGCGGTGGTGTTGAACTTTTTCCCAGACATCGATGCCAAGTCGACAGCGTACCTGCCTGATGATAAGCACGGCCCGATCTTCATGTTGCTCAACAAGCGGCTATTCGGTCATGTCGGGCACGCCAGCCAGCGCCTCTTCAATGTGCGATGATGCTCTGCCTGCTTGGCTTCATGTAAACCCCAACCAAATGTTATAAAAGACAGGGCCTGACTGTGAACGGGCCCTTAGCATGAACTGAGTTGCGCCCGCCAGATTCCGCGTGGAATCTCAACACGAGGGTGTGACTGCCAGAAAATTTCAGCGGCACATTTTCATGGGACTTCACACAAGAATTCCACCACTAATGATGTACGACAGTACGAGGGATCGATGAGGAGGACTGTTGAGAGGAAGAGAGGTAGAGTGGAATAGGGTGGTCAGGGGTGGTTGCTATGCAAAGTTAAATGGGAGTCCATGCCTTGTTTGACCTGCTCCTCACCTTGCACATCCCATAGTTCATCTCTCTCTTGCCTGTCTTGTCTCTCCCTCTCCCTTCACCTGCTGCTTAACAAAACATTATCTCCTCACTTTCCTCATGCTGCAGGCAGCAGTCCTGGCTCACCAATCGGTGCGCTACATTAATTACCTCCTTGGGGAACCCTAATAGAGTGGGGTGTGTGCTCTGGTTTATCGAAGCCAACAAAGCAGCTGAGACTGCAAGCCACAAAGGCACAAGTAAGGCCTTGCTGTGCTTGTGGAAGCCGAATGCTCAGTCAGCGTGCACACAGGACGCCTGCTCCGAGACCAGCTTGTCCTAGCTCTGGTCCTGTCCTTTGTAATGATGTCTGACATATACATAAGCATGCACACATGCACATGCATGCCAAAGAAGCCAGAAGAAGCTTGAAGGGTTGGTCGTCTTGGCAGCATCAGCACCTGTAGATGCAGAAGTCATGGAGGGCTCACTGCCACCCGTTGTAGTGTTGAATAGCGTCCTGCTTTTCTGGTAGGAAATATGGCTTCCAGGTTGCGATCGGTATTATTGGTGCTGGCATTATATCCTGCGATATTTTATGACAGTGACGGCTTCTATGCTGTAGTACATGACGACTTTTGCGAATCTTAAGAGCCCAGCTGTGACAATGATGTGTTCTTTGCCCAGGGGTCCGGGCCCCGACACCGTTATATGCCCAGGTCAGGTATATACCACCGGATTGTGCAGACAGATGTATCTGGTCTGGTCTGGGTTGACACTACTGCGATTCGCGGTTTAAGGTCCTGGGTTCGATTCCTGGGGAGACCCCCGAATTAGTCGGGAGCGCGAGATTATGGCTAGCTGCTGAGATGTGGAGTTGAGGTCGCAGTTGATGGACCAGATTCGCACGCTAGATTGGTGGCGATTGCCGAACCCTCCGTCTCTTCGGTTGTTCGGGTGAATGGATGAGGAGGGGTCCTAGACGGCTGGACCCGCCGCCTTGGACTTACAGTTCGTATGGCGAAGTATAGTGTGGTAGTGGTGGACGGTGCTATAAGATGGTGGACGATGCTATAAGATGATAAATCGTAGAACTGACAATGTGATAAAGCGGCCCAGAAGCCTCCCACTCTGTAACATTACATTACAAAAGATGTATCACTGTAAGGCATCATGTGGAAGTATTGCACAGGTCCTGCCACCAGCAACACTGTTTAGGTGACATTCTAAATATTTTTCTAGAATGGCTCCCGTTGAACATTACTTACACATAAGAACAACTGGAAACAAGTGTACGGGACTGAATTATTACAAACTCTACTTGGGTAATGATGATGATACAATACGATAGGAGCTCTCCTTGAAGCTCCGGCTTGACTTGGCTGACTCACTCCAGCTTCGTTAACTTGATTTGCGCGATCGCAGTAGGCGAGGACGGGCTGGGAACGGATCCCTGTCGAGCCTAGAGGTAGGAGCACTAAGGGCGGACCTTATGGAATGCTGTGTGTACACTCTCTGTCTATCCTGCTCTGCTGCGCGTGTCGAGGTAGGGTAGGATTGCAGTCTTGTTACACCAAACAGTCCTATCAACCCTCCTATAATTATATTATCTTCAATAATATAATGGTCTATACGCTCACGAAGAGTTGCTTCGAGAGCCAAACGACAAATGTTTGGCCTCTTCGCACTCACATTTATGGCGAAGCACCGACTGATCCACGCCGGGCCTTATCACACCCGGCCCTACCCTGGATGCGTAACGCTCATCCGACTCACGACAGATAAACGACAACCTAACATCTTCAAATCATAACGGAAGCGCCTTATACGCCACCCAAAGTCTCAAATAAATCAACACGCGGTTCGCCTTACTACCTTCGGTTGGCTTAGCCACCTGCGGATAGCGACTAACTCGGTCGTGGCACGTAATTTGTGCGCTCCAGATGTTTTGGCGTGACAGCTGTCACGCCATATGACGTGCTAACAGACATAAGAAATGCGGATGGATCACCCCCCCCCCAGCTCATGCGCGGATTGCGCTAGGTGAGCTGGCGGTAGACCACTCAAAAAGGCACTAAAGTAACTGAACGGCGCGCGTTGTGTCCTTAACCAGGGCGCGCTTCCACAAAGCATTGCTGAACACAACCAACCAAAACTTAGTTCCTACTTGCAAAACACTCAAACGGTCGTCCCGTTGCACAGCACGGAGCCAATGCAAATGTGCTGGATCCGCCTGCGTGATATAAGTGCGAGGCACAGCAGCGATGACAGCTACCTCAGCATGCTGACATGCCACCGGCAACCCCACATCCATCACCTCCTCAGAGATATCCAACCCTATGATTGGCATGGCGACTCCATCAGAACGAGCCTTTGCAAAACTCTGCGGCTGTGTCGCATAGAGGGTTGCCTTATCGGGCATATACCGAACGGTGCAGGCACCCTCCCGCAACTGCTGCATTGCCTTCTCATCCCACTTCCAGGGAATAAACACTGATCCCACACAACCAACTGCGACGGCTTGCGTTAGAACGCTAACATCCTCAGCCCTCACAGGATCCTTCCTCATGATACCTTTACATCCGGCGGTCACCAATGCCTTTACTTTGCTTGGACTGTGCTCTCCCGGCATCACACGGGCCAAAGCTTGGCTGACCCCCTTGATCGTGTGAAGCTCGAACGGGCCCGAGCACGGATGCTCCTTGGCCTCAGAGATTCCCGCCATCACTTTCTTGGCAGAGGGGCGTGTAGGGGCTACACGATTGCGCAACTCGCTCACACTAACCACCTCAACGTCTCCGTTGTCGTACACCACCTGAAACACGTGGGACCTTCCCCTGCGGCCAGCATACGATGCTACACCCAGCGACCGGGTGGTGCGACGCCCTCTTCCCTTAGACTCTCTCATAACAGCCACGCCTTGGAGGTCGCGCAGGTACTTGGGTGGCTCGGGAGCTGCACCCCGCGCAGGTGCGCAGGTTCGGACGACTTCCCTTCCAAAGCTTCAGCACTAACTCCTTTCGACTCACACTTTGGGCAAATCCATGCGCCCTCCGGTATCTCCTTCAAAGGTGGCTTAAGACAATAAGTGTGCCATCCAGTGCCGCACGCATCACATAACAACATCCATTCTTCACCATCAGGAAATCTGCACACCTCACAGGGATGCCCTGGAGATGGCCTAGCCAATCGCGGGTCGACCACGTGATCATCGATGGGCAAATGACAGGGCGCACAGTGACTGACATGGGCAGTAAGCGTGCTGCCACAGCGACCCTCTAGCACCAACACCCCGGAGGGCCTCACCTCAGTAACCCGCAGAATATCCGGCTTGGCATGCGGATCCAAGCTGGCGCGAGCGGAGGTATTCCGATAATACACGTAGTCACCCATCTCAAAACGACGCAAACGCGGCAAAACGGCTCCGCCCCTCATGCGCGCATAACGAAGAGTGTCACGATGCTGCGCAATGAGTAGGTTGCCGCCCGCCACGGCCATATGTCGACGAAGCGCGGCAGCACGTTGCATAATAGACCTTGCCGCCGCCTCTGGGTCATCCAAACTCACGTCCCTTTCGAAACGCTGCTTAATCGCCGGTGGAATGGTGGGCTCCACGGCGTGCATGACGTGGTACGGCGTAACACGCGATGCTGACTGCACGGAGCAGTTGTAGCCCAGCATGACGTACGGCAGATGCTTGTCCCACTCTTCAACTCCACCGCCAGCATGTGCAATGCGCCGGAGCGCGTTTTTGCAAGTCTGAACAGCACGCTCTGCCAGTCCGTTGGCTTGCGGGTGGTTCGCTGAGGTCTGACGATGATCTATCAACGAATCAATCAACAATTGCGCAAACTCAGCTTTCCACTCACTGCCCTGATCTGTACATACCTCAGCACAGGCCCCATAACGGCCCAAAATGTGGTGCTGGAAGGCGAACGCTGTCTGCTCAGCATGCTTGTCAGGCAGCGGAATGAGAACCACGTACTTAGAAAAATGTTCCACACAAATCATTACGTAGGTAAAACCCCTGGGGGTCTTCTTGAACGGACCACACAGGTCCACACCCCAGCGGTAGAATAAACCCGATATTGGCAGCGGGTTGAGCTCCAGCGCCCTGGC